AACCCCCCCCCCCCCCCCCCCCCACCCCCCCCCCCCGCCCCCCCCCCCCCCGCCGCCCACCCCGCCCCCCCCCCCCCCCCCCCCCCCCCCCCCCCCCCCCCCCCCCAGCCCTCTTGGCTTTCGCGCGTTTCTCAGCTGAATTACTTAGTATTATGACATATTCAAGGATCCCCTACCCTGCCTCGTCCTGCGCGAACCGGTTTGTAATTATACGTATTGATAATGTTCGAGATGCAACCACGTAGAAACCTCCTCCTCAGCCCACCTCTCTCATCTCTCCCCTGCCTTGCCCACTTCACCTTCGACTTTTCTGCTTTTCTACGTACTCACACTACTACTCGCACTACTTGTACGGCCCGAGCCATCTCCCTTCCCTGGGCACCTGGGCACTTAGCCTTAGGTACGTAGGGTTCTTCGAAACATTAGGTCTTGTGCTATTGTTCCAGAACCGCTTTTGTTGGAATATCCACCCCCTCTTCATAGGTTGTTATCACTCTACGAGGACACCTCTGTATGTCGAGTCTCTATGTAGAGAGAGGGGGCCCGACTTAAAATAAGGTGGGTTGTGCCCTTCAGTCTAATGCATACTTAACTTGGTCCATAACGTGGTCTCGACTCAACTGAAATTCCACACATGTAAGGAGGTACCTACCCCAGACACACTTTTACACTTCTTCACCTTTTCTCCTGTTGCTTTGTTCCCTTCCTTTATGGAATCCGGTCCCCCCTTCGCCTACGCCTCTTCTAAGGAGTTTTCTTTTTTTCTGTGCTGGCGCAAAGCTGGCCTTCCAGGAAACCTCAGCAACATATGATACAAGCTGGGAACCGTGAACCGTGCAACTATCTCCATCACCTGTACCCGTCTTGGTGCACGCGTGTCGACTGTGTTGTAGTTGTGTCGAGCTTGGAATTACGTAGAAGGAGACTTACTCGTTTTGTACAGCCAAAGAGGTCCATGTCTTTCTAGCCCGAGCTTCTTGCTGCTTTTCGCCGCATTCGCGCTACATTCTTATCACCAACCCACACCTCAACAGCATCTATCTATCCATACAACCCTTCCCAACGACGCTACAGCACTATCTACTTACCGAACCTACGGAACCTGGTCGCCTCAACACCTGGCTATCACCCGACGATCACCAGGTTGTGGTAAACCGAAGACCCGCCAGGGCCGCCCATCCACGAAGTTCTTTTCACCTTTTTCGGTTTAAACATCTCCAGTCCACGCAGCTTTTGCCTTGACGTGAGCACCCCGGGCCCTTTCTACTTCCCGCACGCCTCATCTAACCTTTCGTCGAGCTGGCCGCAAGGCTTCTTTGGTCTCTTCCGCAGCCCTTCTCCCTCAATGCTGTTCGATTCGGGTTTGCCTCCTCCGCCCTCCACTTGAGGCTACGTGAGTTAGGTCTAGACATATTATTCAACATCAGCTATCTCGCCGAAAGCACTCCAGACCGTCGTCATCGACCAGCATGTCGGGCGACAAGTTGAACCCAGTCGCAAGCCCCGAGAGCGATGTCTCACCCAAGTCGCAACCAACCCCCAAGGGCGACTACTTTAGCCTCGCGAAGAAACAAGCGCCCGTCGCCGGTGACGGTGCAAAGCGAAACACCTCCGCATCCCATCCCGAGACCAAGCATCTTGTAACGTTCGATGTCGGAAATCAGGGGAAAGAGACGGATAATACTGGGGATGCGAGCGCAACGACGCCTGGTGAGACCGCCTCTAGTTCAGGTAGTAGTGCGCCTAACTCGAGGAAGGGCTCCCTCGGCAACGTCACCTTTCGAGCGCCCCATAACCCATCACTCCCGCAGGGATTAAAGAAGCCCCACGGTGGAAGTCGTATCAGAGACGCCTCGCCGCCTCATCGCAGGTGAGTCAATTACATCTCTTTTGCTTTTTTTCTGCCCTTGTCGTTTCCACGGTCTTCTTTCGTCCCTGCCTGGCTACGTGGATGGGCTCGCAACCAAGAGGGTGCAGATGCTATGATGCAATCTGGGCTGTTGGTCTCGGACAATTCACCGTTCAATGGAATTCTGCATCGGCCCAGACACCTGAAGTAAGATAAACCGAAACAGGCCGCAGCCTGATTAGTAACACCCGGCATAAGCTTTGCAATTCGCTTCTCTAGAAATCATAATAGTCCCGCTGCATGAAGCGTTCATGATCAGAGGCCTCCAAGTGTCCCAATGGCAAAAGAGTCGAGATCTCTCGGTTATCGCCAAGCTAGGTCGCATGACGTCTGATGAGCTCCGTCAACTATCATCCACAACCATTCGCTAGTCACTCCACGATACCCCGCTTGCCTGTTTTCCCCCACCCCCCTCCTCTTCCCCAATGAACCCCTGGGCTCTGTCCTCTTTCGGCACCAAGCAGTGGCATGATAGAACAGATGAGGCTAGGTCCATCGTCGCAGTCTCCTCCTATTTGCAGCTCCGAATATACCTGTCTCACTCTACGTCTACCTTTTCTTGAGCGCATTGCGGGTGTATCTTATACCTCCTGCCATACAGGTCCCTAATGGCAACTGAAACGCTGACCCAGTCTCCTCGTTCGCAAAGGTTCGAGTCCCATGTGGCTTTTGACAACATCCCCCTCGGCGACCCTACACCATACAATCCTATCTCCTTCACCCTCAATGTTCGACATGCAGGCTTTCAATTCAGACGCCGCCACCGTATCTTTATGGTCGGTGTCGATGATAACTCGTATTCAGATCACGCCCTCCAATGGCTTCTAGATGAGCTAGTCGACGACGGCGACGAGATAGTGTGCGTCAGGGTGATCGAAACGCAAATTCGCTTAACCGATAAGACATACCAAGAGGATGCCAAAAATTTGATGGAATCGATTCAAGCTAAAAATACCCAGAACCGTGCTATTAGTTTAGTTTTGGAATATGCTGTTGGGAAATTGCATAACACGTTCCAACATCTAGTAAGTGTTTATCTAGGTCTAGCCTTCTCGATCTGATTGACTAACCAAAGTTGCCCATTAGATCAAAATATATCAGCCGTCCATGTTGATTGTCGGGACCAAAGGACGTAGTATGGATGGCGTCCAAGGTTTCCTAGTGAACCGTAGTTCATTCTCCAAGTATTGCCTCCAATACTCCCCGGTTCCCGTTGTTGTGGTACGCCCTACTGAGAAGCGGGAGAAAAAGAAGGCCAAGCGAGCTGGCGATCCCTCTCGGCAGGGCTATATCCATATACTGGGAGGTCAGAAGCATGAAGCCGATATGGACAACAGCAGTGTATACGAAATTGAACCCCACCTTACCGCCGACGAGGAAGCACATCGTGTGGCCGTTGCTGTCGGGCTTCCCGCTGCCTATGACCCTACAATCAAACCCCTTGAACCCTCGACTTTGTTTAGGAGATCTAGCCGACAGCCGCCCAAGACTCGCGCAAAGGGTTCGTTGTCCGTGGAAAAGAAGCCCGGTGAAGAGTCTGAGTCGGAAGAAGATGAAGAATTCGAAGTTACTTCAGGTGCCGATCTGCTAAAGAAGCAGAAACTCCTAAAGATGGAATCGCATGAGGGCGCTGCGCTCCGCGCCGAGACCAGTAAAAGTAGCACCGGGTCTCTCGATAGTGACGAAGAAGCCCCAGGGGGCGGAGGTGCAAAGACGTGACATATCAAAGAATAAAGATCAGCTGTCTATAATTGCCGAGTCTATGTTTCTTACGCCTTGAATAATAGATGCGGTGTGTGTGCGGCGGAGAAAGCAGAAAACAGGAAGGACATGAATCATTAGGTCGTTGACACCTCCTGGGTGTCCTCCACCAATATGGCCACGATATCCTTCCCGTCGGAGATTACATGATAGTGATCTTAGACTGGCGTGTCGACTGAAAAACTGATACCACTTTTTTTTTTCTTGGCAGACAACTCGCTCATGACGGATTCCACAATTATTTTACACGAGTTTCACATGAACAGCGTTGCAGCAGGCGAGTCTCTGGAGTGGCTATGTTCTAGCTATTTTTGTATTACAGGCATTGATAGAATTTACAGATGATGGGCTGGCTATCCATCTGGACTCGCGTACTGTTTCAGTGCCCATGAAATCTCTGCTCAATGAGGAAAGCCCATAATATAAATACAATTGTCCTGGCAATGACATTGATTGTAGTCTGGTCTACGCAATACTTAAGATGCCCTCATGATTGAGCATAGGCACTCATATTACCCGCTAAGAATTTCTTGGGAATCTATGCTAGCTGAGTGACAACATCATGCCACCTGGTGGTTCACAACAAAAGTGATTTACTACATCATCCTAAAATCGATGGTTCAGCGAATGAACGGATGGGTTTTGAAAACGTGTTAAAAGACTTTACTCTAACAAAGGCATTCTCAAATATCTTAAGCATGCATCTATCCTCTAACGAAAGGCCTATCCTATCGGCTTTGCTTGAATTTATTGTATGTACTTATAGCGGCTAACCGACTGTAATAGCAACACGGTATTGTCAGAGTCTGCATGAGACTAACGATATCCCATGGCTGTAGAAGAATGTCTAGTTCATTTACCCATGTAGACATCAATAGGGAGAAAAAAGAAAGAAAAAAAGAACGCAGAGCATAATCATCAATTCATACCCTTCTGTGAGTAAATATCTACATATCAATATCACATACTACGAAAGAGACAAATCAATGCAACGCAAATCAAAATAACAAGGTATGTCAGCAGTATCTATCTAACAGCGACCCAGTGATGAAATTTTCTGCAGGTACTGCTAGCGAAAAAAGACTGCGTTGAAAAGAATTTCCTTCTCGGCACATGTAAATGATCAGGACAATATTGGGAAGGGGTCCAGCATATTTTTCAAAACGAAAAATAAAAGGATGAAAGAATGTCTTGATGATAAGGAATAGTGCCTTGAAAAGAAAGAAAAGAAGAAAGAGAAAGAAGAGTCGCAAGACAGAAGTCTTCTAATAATTTGGCGCCGCGTGGATGTGGAGTTGGACCGAGCCACGGCTTTCTGTGGCTGTGGCATCGTGGCGTGTACCTAGGTACCTGGTGTTGGGCTTCGAAGGATAACTTATTGCTCAAGACATCTTCATATGGCTTGGCAATTGGATTCAATAGAACTCATGTGTCGTCACCTGATATTCAATTCGAGATCTCATTGTGTAAGTTTCGTCTAGCTACTCCTCTTTCTAGATATATGCCCCAATATTATCGTGCCTCGCCGCCGCAAGAGGAAAGGCAGCCTAGCAGTTTCGTCGTATCAGGTGTCTAGTGACTGATTACTACGTATACCGAAGTGATAATAGACAGCCAGATAAAGGCTCGATCAGCTCGATACGTTCTATAGTCTCTTCTTCAAAAAGTTTCTTTACTAAATATGCATCGACAGAGGTATAGTCATCATCGTCCCCGTTGGTCTGTCATCCTCTATGTTTCACGAGTCGTTAATACATGAAAGACCCTCAACTCTGTCCCACGTAGGTAGTAGAGAGAGAAAAGAAGAAACACACAAGAACGAAAGGGCAAGGAAAGGATATGAGACTTACTATAGTATACCCACGCGAATGTGATCTTCTCGTATTTGAACTCAAATGCCTGGCTATTCCTTTCCATGGACGTCGGAATTCTCGAGGCGAGAATCGTCATCGCCTCGCTGTCTTTACCTCCCAGCTCCAGCTTGTACGTCTGACATCCTAAGGGAATTTGCGCGACCAAGGCTACGGTAATGGCGCAGCCGCGCGTGGTGGATAAGTGGCTTCCGAGCACGTACCACCACTCGGATCCCCAACAGCCTTCGATCGAGTATGTGGGCTTCGTGAGCTTAGCCAAGATAGAGCTCCAGGGGTCCATCGCGGATGTCAATTAGGACTATCTTCACTTTGTCCTTTTTGGTCTCCTGGGCACTGTTGGACATCAGCTAGTACTAGGTAGAGTCAGGGGTAGATAGACTCGTTTGACATTAGCCTCGCCGCGCGATGTATTGGAAGAGATATGGTGGGCAAAGCTCTTAAAAACATAGATCGAGTTGATATTGATAGCTCTTTTGAAAGATGAATTAGACAGAGTGATTTGGAAAATGGTTACGATACCATATAGTTTTGCCTGGTTTGCTCTGAATGTACGTACCCATGATATAGCCGAACGTTACAAGACATCATGGGACAGGAATGAGTCAAAACTCGGAAGTAACGATGCTTCTAGAGGCAGCTGACGTTCTTCATGAGTGAATGAGCTGTGGAGTACTGAGGTACTCCGATGTACGAGGTATGGTGGTCATGCAGTTTGCCTGTGGTAACACCAGACTGCTTTCTGTCCCGTCACCAGTAGAGGTTTATGTCGGACATGAGCAACCAAATCTCCTTAGCCTGCATCAAGTTGCCGGTTGACGGTAAGGTGCGTTATCCATATGCTTATTTTTTCTCGAAAGATTGATGGAGGCGTCGAATGAAGTCACGGGGATATGGGCAAGCCACACATGGCATCGATAAGAACACCGGTTGTATGAGCCTGATTGTGGGCAAAACAATACACGACAAGCACCAACAACCGTGGTGGGCACGATTACTGTGAATCGTGAATCATTAAGTAGGTGTATTTTGCAAGTATGCGGATACCCATAGTTATCGTTTCTACGGGTGAGCAGAGTGGATGATGCAAATCGATGTTATGTCCAATTCTGCCCATGCACTCATATACTTACAGGTGATGTGCGTATACAGTCCACATCTCAGTCCGAGCAAGCTAGGGCTATAAATCAGCAGAAAACAGAGCACAGTATTCAAGACGCATTGATTTCATAATCATTTATGTTATTTCGAATTTTTTTCTCGCTCGTTCACTTAATCATCTCCATAGAGTTTCAGGACCTCGACAGCATTTCCACCCATGACCGCCCTCGCAGCCTCACTGTCTGCGCCTAGGGCCTTGCTCACTGCCTCCTTATTCCACGTCATGCTCTCCCATTCGCCTTGCTCATCGCTATTCAGTGGCGGGAAGAACGGGTGGTCCGTACCAAACATAAGCCTATCGACACCACTCGCGTCGATGGCGGCCTTGAGCCCGACGTCTGAGTAAATGACGGCATCGAGGTATACCTGCTCCTTTAAAACCTGCCATATCGTTCGGCGCGTAGATTTGACCTTTCCCTCACGCACGAGATGGCCATCGTGCACAATACAACTCTCAATACGCCCAGCTAGAAAAGGAAGTGTCCCACCACTGTGAGCGAGCAACATGCGCAGGTCCGGGACAGCATCGAATACCCCCGCCAGGTACATCCGGGCAACGGCGATAGTGGTCTCCATGGGGAAGCCCAAAGCAAGAGGGAGGACATGTCCGTACTCCTCGGTAGCGCGTGGACCCCAGACCTCGCTTGGAAGGCCATAATGCGGGTGTAGGAAAATGGTCAACTTATTTGCGGCCAGGGCACGGAAAACGGGGATCAGCGCTGCGTCGTCGAGCCCCTTTCCCAAGCCTGAGGTGCCTAATATCACGCCGCGGCAGTACTTGAGGCCTTTGATATGTCCGATGGCTGCGAGCAAGGTCTCGGGTGGTGCGGTCAGGGGTAACGTGGCGAAGAAGAACAGTCGGCCCGGTGCAGTGCTACACATCTCACTAAAAGCGCTGTTGACTGACTTTGCTGTCTCTCCTGCCGTTTCGGAAGGCACGAAGTCCAACCACGGATTCGCAAGTGAGATGACGGAAATATCGATTCCGTGCGTGTCCATGAAATGAAGTTTCTGAGCCAGTGATGAATAGTGAGTCGTCACGGGACGGCCCGGTAGGTTTGTAGGGAGTGTGTTAGGATCAGAGGCTGTTATCTTGTCGAGTGCCTCTGCCTCTGCTGGTAGGATAATATACCGAGGATCCTTGGCACCCTCAAACCGACGGATCAGAGGTATTGTCTTTCTTGACTCTAGAAGTTCGACATAGGCAGGAGGATACATGTGGGTGTGGATATCGACCACTTTGGAATCTAACGAACTCATTTTTTATGCCGATCCAAGCCAATAAGGCATCCAGTGAGCAGATATTTTGAGTCTCGGGCTTCTTTGAACTGGAGGGCCAAGTAGCAATGGTTGACAATTGCGAGACTATGATGTGAAGTCACTCCAAGACGGTTGAGCTGTTTTTAGATACCGTAATCGTGCAAGTCACTATCTATCGGTTTCCTAGACTCCTCTTAGTCGACGACCTACCTACTGATAGGTCGGACGATGTAGCTGTATCTGCCCCGCCTTGATGCTTCCCCCTCCCTTTTCGCGTGGCGCTTATCTTGCTGGTGGGGTTACAACGTGCCAGTATAAAGCACATCCAATGATCTTGATTTCTGTTGTGCAGTATATTCGAATAGCTACGTGCCAGTGTCTTTAAATTTCAGGTCGAGCAGGTTCTGATACCCCATACTGTGTCCATAGAACCGGAAGCGGGAGCCCCTATTTGATATCGTTGACTTTATTGGTGCATGATCTCGAGGCTTACATAGCTTGTGCGCTTATCGGAACAAAGCGCCTCGCCTGAATCTTGAACTGACTCTGTTTATATCATCCTTATAGACAAGGATGGAGTCAGCAGCAGTGAAGAGTGAGGGATTGGTTATTCCTGTAAGTCAAAAATTTGTTATTGCTTGAATACGAGAAAAGGCCCCGCGGGTTGCTGATCATTCTGAAAGCTCATTGACTTCTCTCGATTCCTTGACGGAACGCCAGAACAGCGAAAGGAGACGGCTCAGGCGATTCTTCATGGGTTTCAGACAGCAGGTTTTGTCTACTTGAAGGGGCTTCCCATCACCTCAGAGTATCGCAAACATCTGTTTGGGACTTCGGCCAAGTATTTCAGGCTACCAATCGACACGAAAATGTCGCATTGCTGGACCACCCCAGAGGCGAACCGTGGCTACTCAGCTCCTGGACGCGAAAAGACTACGACCTTGAAAGATATAGAGGATGTCAAGAAGCTACGCGATGCCGTCCCAGATCTCAAGGAAAGCCTGGAGATCGGCCGCGAAGGCGAAGCAGGACATCCGAATCACTGGCCCGTAGAGGAAGGTGAGCTTGTAGGGTTTAAAAAGACAATGCTGGAGTTCCATGAGAAATGCAAGGACTTGCATATGGAGGTGATGCGTGCCATCGCTGTCGGCTTAGGCATTGACGAACATTGGTTCGATAATTTCACAGACGTCGGCGACAACACGTTGCGTTTGCTGCACTACCCCGAGGTGAAGAAAGACGCCTTCACGATCAACCCAGGGCAGGTGCGTGCCGGTGCGCATAGTGATTACGGATCTATCACGCTGCTCTTCCAGGATTCGAGAGGTGGCTTGCAGGTGCAGAGTCCAACGGGAGCCTTTGTCGACGCCACACCGATAGAAGACACCTGTGTGGTGAATGCGGGCGACCTTCTTGCACGATGGAGCAACGATAACATCAAGAGCACAATTCATCGCGTTGTCGAGCCGCCTGCGGGTGACGGCGATGTCTACCCTGCTCGATATAGCATCGCGTACGTACTTATCTTGCAACAAGTCACAAGTCACAAGTCAACCCGGAATGTGAGAAAAGCTAACCAGAGAGAGTAGGTATTTCTGCAACCCGAACTTCAAGAGCCATATTGAGGCCATTCCGAGCACATATAAGACTGAAAAGGACAGGAAGTATCCGGGAATCAATAGTGGAGACTATCTGGTCCAGAGATTGGCAGCTACTTATTAGTCGGGCAAATTGTCGTCGGTACCACGTTTCTTAGGAGAACTTGAAGGTTTTTGGATATCTCTTTGAAGAGTTGTTACCTCCTACTTACTCAATGAGCGAGCGAGTGATACTAGGTAAAAACATGGCTAGATTCTGGCTGGAGATGGTCATCTGGGCAGTTTTCAGTAGGTACATATTACATATGTGGGTATCTGTTAGTGTACTTATATACTATGTACCTGTACCTGTTCTACAGTAGGGACCTTTTCAGGGATCTGCAATGCGCTACTCGAACGTCATTATAGAGGGGCTCGCTATAACAGACGGTTACCAGGCATAGATTGGGTGATAGCGGGGCTTGTCAAGTAGATATCCTTATCCCATCTCAGATCCATCTCTTCCATCCAGTCCGTAAGGCTGTTCGAGAGTTTAGCTTGTGCTCTACATCGGCTTCTATTCGTCGAATTCATGTGACCTAGCGGATGTTTCTCCTTTTATTTCCCCCAGTTTTTGAAACTGTCGATGGGGCAAGATGAAGAAGACGCTGCTTCTGTGCTTCATCCACGGCTTCAAGGTATGAGCGACCCCAGCCTCTTCCTACCTAATCATGTCATGCTCAGATATCGACCATCTAGGGGGGTGAAGACACCTTCGGAGCCAATTCAGAGTTTGCCCAGCATCTTGCCGCCCTACTCAGTGCAGCACTTCCCAAGATCGACGTACAAGCCGTCACTTACCCCAAGTACGAGACCAGGGGCGACTTACACGAATGCGTATCACGATTTCGCGACTGGCTTCTTGAGAGGGTAATCGACATCGAAGTTGCGAATGGCACACCTTCACCGACTGTGGACCCTTCCGTCCACACGATATTGATAGGGCATTCTATGGGCGGTATCGTAGCCGCCGAGGCTGTCATCGCTCTTGCCAACGAGAAGCCCATTCCGCACGATGGAGATAATCGATCTGGCAGCGAGGAAGATAAAGAGGACACGGAATCAGGGCGCCAACGAGAATCCTCTCCCGAAACTTTAAATAGCTTGATGTTCCCTTACGTACAAGGTATCCTGGCCTTCGACACGCCGTTTCTGGGCATTGCGCCAGGCGTCGTAGCGCATGGCGCCGAAAATCACTACAACAACGCCGCGGCGGCGTGGTCACAGCTCAGCGGACTTTCAACGGCATTTTGGAGCTCAGACAACAAAGAACAGTCTCCTCCAGGCAATAAAAAACCCGTGGCCGCGCTTCCTGCGCCGGCGAACGACAAGCCGAATGCACCCAAAGGCGGTGGATGGGGCAACTGGGGCAAGATTGCAATGGCAGCGGGCGCAGTCGGCGCAATTGCTGCCGGCAGCGCGGCTGCGTACGTGAATCGTGAACAAATCACAACGGGATGGTCCTGGGTATCGTCGCATCTCGAATTTGTGGGTTGCTTGGCCCGCGGAGAGGAGCTCAAGAACCGAGTCCGAACCATGTTACGGCTGAATAAAGAGCTTGATATTGGGTTTGCGAATCTTTACACGAGGCTTGGGAAGGCGGCCGCTCCGAAGCAGGTTAGTATGGTGGGCACGGTGCTTGGTAAAGAAAGGACATTCTGCAATCTTCCCTCCAAATCAGCTGCTGGTGTTTGGAAAGAAGCGATCAATGATGCGGCCACTGATGAAACGGGGGCTCATATGAGTAAGTTTGAACACCGCCCATGTGGCCTATCTGCCAATCCTTTGCTAATATGACTTGTTAGCCATGTTCGAGGCGAAAGAGAACCCAGGGTATGGGCGATTATCTGAGGACGCGAAGGACTTGATTGTGGCTTGGTCAAAGAACGACTGGTATGAGACAAGTACGCGCGGGGATCTCGAATAAATCGGCGGTACAGAGTATTAATTTAATTATTTGTATATATGTCTTAGTTCGACTTCATTCCCCCTTTTCCATGTTTGTCTATATACCATTTGTATTCTATTCGACTCTTTTGATTTTCTCACCGTAGATACTCAGTAACTCCTCGTTTTACATAATAGTAATATGCGCTATTGGTAGACATTCCCAGCCATTGTGCACACTCCTATAAACCATGTCTATGGAGGTTGGCGTTTATTGTGTAGCCTTTGTGTTAGATGCTTTCAGAACCTTGCGCCGCTGCGCCATCATGTGCGTATATAGAATGTAGGCAGCTAGAATTTAATAGAATTGTCAGCAAAGCCCATATCTCGGAAATACCTCTAGCTTCGAGCCACTTTTACCCTCGGAGTACATCACTCCCAACATCACCATTCAAGCGGGCATAAAAAGACTGGCAGACTTACAGGGAGGATAGACAAATACAACGTAGGCCCACAGCGCAGTGCTATAGAGTGGATGCACGTTCTTTGCAGGCTCGACAGCGCGCCAGATTAGCCACGCCTCACTGGAGATGCCGAGAGGATATAGTATGAAGAAGGCGTGATATCGCAACCAATGTAGCACCGACGGCTGCCAGCCCGAGAGCGTCAGGGCGAAGTACGAGTACCGGATGACCTCCGTGGCCGACCACGCTACCAACATGCTGCTGTAGGCCGGGCTGGCGCCGAGCTGGGGGAACAGGTCTGTGATTCCCCATACGATCGCGTATCGGCTGAAGACTTGCATAAAGGTCGTGAGTATAGGGGCTCGGACGATTCCTGTATGGGGCAGTCAGTCGTATGAGATCAAGAGCGTCTCCATGGATATAGGTTTGGTGGGGGATGGAGGGGCTTCATTGAGCTCCAAGACCGACTTAGACGTCGCAATTGATGCAATTGAAGAGGCGTCTGCTTACCAAACAGCGAGTGCAATACCTCCATGCCCGCGAGTGTCTGCGTCCACTTGCAGAACTCGCCCACGGCTGGATACGCCAGACGTGGGCCGCGTAGCGCATTCACGCCCACGATGCGCCCCAGAACGGTGAGCCACAAGATGGCCGACACAGCATTGTAGAGAACAAGGTAGCCGTTCTTGACGGGAGACGGCTTCCGCGGCGGCTTTTGCGTCTTGTCGGCCATTCTGCAATGTGTAACCGGTGATTGGTGACGTAGGGCAGTGGGATAGATAGGAGTTTGTCAATTTCAATAAAAAGATGATGGGAAAACCATTGGGGGCCAAGCTAGCGCTAAGCTCTGGAAAGGATCCCTGTTCATGGCAGTTGTTGAAAATCCCAGCAAAGCAATTTCCTGTCTGGGTAACCCGCCCACTTATCTTGACAACTGAGATCTACTACCCCATACTCTGCCCATATCATCTACAGCTTCCACCAACAAGACAGCCTTCATTCATCAATGAATTGGGCTGATTGCTTAGACGGACCCGGATTACCAGCTCCTCTATTCAAAACTTTGCATACGTCCGTATTGCGCTTGCTAGCCTTCATCTCGTCCTCAAGCTTCGTAAACACAAGTCTGCAATGTTGAACGCCCACCTGCATCTGCTCGAGTCTTCTTCTTGCCAGTAAATGAATCCCCGGTCAGTTATCTGTGACGTATTCTACTGTTCGAGACAACAGCTTGACTACAATGAAGACCCATGTAGAGTCAATTTGACCGTGTACGTTACGTTTGTAAGCATGACAGGTAACGTAGTCCTACAAAAAGGACTCTAGAAGCAATCCCCACTTCTGAATTTCAGATGGAACGCGCGCCAGAGTAGACAAATCAAGGATCCGCAACCGAGGTGTCTGCTAGTATATGTTATGGATTGAGTTTACCTTATAATATATAACTGAATACGACCCCTCCGAGGCCACATTCTTCTAGTGGTATATCTTAATCTTATTCCTTATCGTCCTTAATGAACCACCGTCGAGGTTGGAAAGTGACGCACATATCATATGCCTTCTTGCCAACGTAAAGTCTCTCTCAATCCTAGAAGACACATCCATACCAATTTATCACTTGGCGGTGCCCACCGTACTGTCCGAGCTTAACCTCGTATAAGTGGTCGTATACGATCGAAAAGCGTAGTCCCTGTTCGACCTCAATCACTTGAATGTGAAGTGCAGAGACCAGATCAAACAAGTCAATCTTCGGTTAGATCGACCGTCACTGTAGAGCGCTTCGCAGCTCGGCCCTTGCTCGCCTCTTGATCGATGTCTATAACTTCATCCGCTTCTCGCTTCATAGATCTACATTTATATTTGTTCGCCTCGATCCCCTAGGTAATATAATTAGTTCTGGCAAGCATTATCTTGAGGGCAATGGCATACATTCATCTGATCAAGTCTCTCTTGAGCAACTGGGCCATACACTGTTAGCGAATTGCCAAACCCAGTTGAGATCTCGAATGTAAGCGAGCGCAAAAAAATAAAAATAAAAAAAAGTTCCTTGACGATCATTACCGACAACTCTCTAAAGAGAAAGAGTAATAGACATTATAAATTCCAAGATAAGCTATACTTACGGCGCAGAACCTCGGCCATAGATAGATCTCTGATAGATAGGTAGGTAGCGGAACGGGTTGGCCCAGTCTCAAGCTTAGCATTGGAGTCGAGTGATCGCGGAATTATGAGTTCCTCTTCTAAACACTCTACAAAAGTGTGGGTAAGTAGTGAGCCTAGTTTGATGGGAAATCCCGTACCTCGAGATTTATACATGAAGCGGAAAACTGCGATTGGACCATGATCCGTGGGTATTCTTGGGCAAGAAAACCATATAGGTTCCTTGATTACTTCTGTCTCGCCAAGGCTGAAAGGAATTATTAATATGTGTGTGACAATCTAGTTTGAGAGATTACTTACGACGTCGAATGGGAAATGAACCTTTTCTTGAGTGTCTTTTCTGCAACTTCAAGTGTGCCGGTGCCCTTAAAGGAACGCGACAACGGAATGGTTTTGTTGCCTCTCATCTTGCGTTCAAACGCGATTTGGATGAGGCCAGCATTTTTAACCATCTCCATGTCTTGGTTGGATTTCTTTGGGCTTTGGTCCTCAACTGGATGAAAATTTAGCCAAACACTACGCAAAAGTTGAGATAGCCGCACCTATGCTTATTGCAGAAAACTTAAGTGGTTTGCGATACCACTGGTTAGATCCCTTCGAGTATGACTTGACTCCAGTCACTACCCGAGCTTTGTACCCTGGTCTAATAACTCGTCGAAGAATCTGTTGCTTATCGACATCTACAACAGCAGCAAGATGATCATGTTCGACATCATTCCAGCCATATGTATCGTCGTCTATGGCTACGGTGATCGAGAACTCTACATCGTCAATGGACTCAATGTATCTCGAAACGACGGGACATCCAGGATCACCATCAATATCTGACTCTGATGCATGAGGGTCGATATACTCAGTAGCATCCTCGCCATTTACCTGTACCGTGACCTTGATGCCAGGAACTTCATCAATAACAGCCATTGCAGCTGCCTAGGTTGTTGGCGTGTTCCGGAATGGATCTAGGAAGCTGCTTGATAGACGTAACCGAGAAATAGCGGCTATAAGGCTCGATGATTGGATAAAAGGAAGGTGAGAATGTAGAAGGCACATACAAGATGTGAGTGTTTAGAGCCAACAAATGATGTGAATCAGGGTGGAAAGTTTGTAGAATTAACATGGGAAGTGCAGAAAGCGCCTTGAGTCGGATTGGCTTCGCCCAGCGTGGCTGAAAAGGAAACAAACAGAGAAGTCTGGAAGGTGAAGACAACTTCTCGGGAAGGTACAGAAAGATGCTCGGTATGTATGTACCTACTAAATACCTACCTAGGTACTTATTAAAGCACAAGTTGGAAAGATAATGGAAGTAGACTCAACTGAAGCCTTCCAGAACCAGTCACCTTAATGTCTATATATCATTTTAGCCTGCTAGACAAGAAGAACCGAATGGCGGACGTATTTACTTGTCAGGTGCTCAGTAATCTCTCAGGGCTACTAGACAATCACCCAAGTGGTTTAGGTAGTGGAAAAATGGACGGGCTATCTGATCTTGATATATACACACCAAACAGGTAGTTTTTCAAATTCTAAGACGAGTATCATCGGGATGTAGTTTCTGCTCTGAGCTAGGCTCCTTTATTGAAACATATCTGGCCACCTATTATACATATAGCAGAGTAATTCATCCGAAGAAGAATATCCGGCATTACCAATTCGTAGGGAGACAGTAAAGATAGACACCACCTATAATTCTATCCCAATAGTTGTCAACTGACTAATGTCCTTTATGATCAGCACATGTGAGCACCACTAGTCGTCTCGCTCATAACCGTTCCTGCTTGGCCATTGCACCATAACATCGTCAACACTTCCAAACCTTCATCCATTGCAAATGGCTGATACACAGTAACCTCTGGTATAGTCCAAGATTCGAAGAACCGAAAGATACAACCCAGACTCCGCCAGCTGTGTCTAGCGAGGGCTAGAGGAAAGCACCTAGTGTCCTGTCCTCTTTCCTAAGCACGTCCAACTGGAGTCGTGACCACGGCGGCAATGGACGCACGAACAGTCTCGATCGTGATCTTGACTGGCGAACTGTCCACCATCACCTCCGCGGATTCCTCTGTGGCCGTAGGTTCTGGCGTGATAATATCATCACCGTTGCGCGGAAGGCTTGCGGCCAGCGACACAGTCACAACGGGCGGTTCTTGAGTAGTAGGCGTGGGAGAACCGGAGAGTAGTGGTGTGCCTGTGCTGTCGATTATGATAGGCGTGTCCGATATGTCACCGATGACCGCCACAAAAGCTGTGGTAGTGTTACCGACAAAAATTGCGTTTGAAAATGCGCCGGAAGGAGTCGCGTCGCTCTCCTGGGTGCTGTTTTGATGGATGTTTGCAACCGGTCGGTTCATGATCTCGCGAGCGATGGATAGTATGTTTGGGAGCGCCAGGTTGGGCATACCCAGTCCATCTCCGCTACTGCCAGAGTTGGACATCTTTGCAGTCAAAGTGTACTTGCTTGTCGCTCTGTTACCGGTGATTATTCGCTTGATATTCGGGGCGTCGTCTTGACAAAAGGTAAGCCTTCAGAAGAGTCGCTTGATCTTATGCCTTCAAAGTGGTGGCTTCGCTTTTTCTGTAGGGCTGTCCATAGAATTTATAGGCAAGCATTCGACTCAAGGTTGATATACCAAAAGTTACGTAGCGTTGGCAGGACAATCACAATCGCGCAAAGTGCGACAATATCGCTGTCAGTCGGTACGACGAATTGAGTATTGTCGAATGTTTGTCCATCTGGAAGTAAGGGACAAGCTCGCCCTTGGTCTTGAAATTATTAGAGTCTCATTATTCGCTCTAGATTGCCACATCACTGGAACCGAAAGAACGACGAGGTGCCCTACCGAACGAGATGGTTTGATTATTTTTAGAAGCAAGGCACTGAAAGGGTTTTACGTGCCCTAGGGAGATCAGATTTGGGTTTGCTATAGAATCCCTCATCAATCGTAAGTTCACAGTAGGAAAGAGATTAATAATAAGGATAAATGAGAAAGGGAGAAAGGGATGATGTGTTCCCACCGACTTCTACTTTTTTCCCTATCATATCAAGCCTCTGTTCTTCTGGATGTTTAAGTTTGCTGTCGCTGCAGGATATCAGCTTCGTGATATTTTATGCAGGTAGGCTGTGCTACGCTGGCGAGAACCAAGTCTCGACGCTCTCTTATGTATGAAGGCAAAAGGCGTTTCATACTGTCAAAGGGGAACGAATTTCAATGCAAGCAAAGCCAGGATATAAAACCTCTGTTTATTGGATTTGGTCTTGATCGAGAACAGCGGAAGAGCGCGAGACTGCGAGGCGTTCTTCCAGTACAATGAGTTGCCGATGCCTCACTATAGTGATTCACTTACTATATGGTGAAATTATCATATCGGGCTTGGGTTTCGAACAAGCGAAATCGGGTAAACCTCAACAAGTCTAACCTATCACAACATCGTGGCGGTGTCTAGAGCAAGCCGTTGAAGCCATGCAGCTAATCGTTAGACAAGATGAGTCAGCCCGCCAAGAAACCAGCGCCCCCCTGTAATGCTGTGCAGATGAAGACCCGAATATGTAGGACGACTCTGAACGACTTTCAACTTAGCGTCAAAGTGCTTACAGCTGACCCTGCGATCAACCAATTAGATGTTGGGTCAATGATGTTGACCGCGGTCTACTCGCTCGTGCACCGCCGCCTCGTTGTACTGCAGTAAGGGAGTGAATATCGTGGCAGCCAATTATACGACTGCCCTCATATGGCCAAACCAGGCAGAACTGCAGGCTGAGTCCTGATGCCTGCCGCAAGGGGTGATACAGATGGGGGCGGTTGGTCTCTTGGAAAGGGATATAAGCCCCCGCCGCTCGTTAATGTGATCTACCTCTTCTCTCAGTAGTTCGTCCCTTCCCCTTGAAAGCCTCCCATTTATTCGATTCTCAGACGTTCTATCAGCCATCAGTTGACATACACCAATGCCAGCAATGGAGCCGCTGCCACCACCAAAGCCCCTTCGGTGCGGTCTTCCGCGAGTGAATCGTCAGCGATCACCCTCTCCTGTATCGGTCTTTGACGAGGAGTTGGACTCGCCGCGGCGTGACACCGATTCTATCTCGATCAACTCAATGGAGAGCTTGCCGGATTTCATGGGGCGCACGGCGGTCGACATCAACAATGATCACGTCACGACTGTCTACGAGGCCTGGGAATTGAGCCTCATAAACGATGGACAGGTTCGCCATTCTTGGAAGTCAGTCTTCGGCATCAATGTTGGCACTAAATGGATCAGCCGGAACGATGGGTGCATCTTAATGAACCCTCTTGTCTCTTTCGAGCAAGGGGAGTTGGCCGACATGCACGAGGATGCCATTCGAGGCCACAAGAACAAGCGTGGGACTAGCCAAAAGGTGGCCTACGACCAAGACCTTGCAAACAGAGCGTACGACCTCCCAAGCGAGGTCTACGATAGGCTACAGAGCTTGCTTGAGGATAAGATCCTCGCAACCAACAAGAACCCGTATCGAAAGCGAGAATGGCGTCTCATCATGCTGCAGCCCGGAGAGTTCCAAATGACGGATCTCTTACCGGAACGCAAGCGGAAGAGCATCTTTTCACGGGAGAAGAAGCCACCGGTGACCCGCACGTGGTTCGTGATACTTCGCGGCCGGGAGGTTAAATCGACCAAAGAAGACGGTGGCTGGAAGACATTTACAAGATATTCGAACCCATGGTGGAAATCCGACAAACGCGAGACGAAAGAGGCACGAGAGCAGCACAAACAGATGATAAAGAAGATGGACAGGGCTCGTCCTCGCTATTCTCGCTATCCGCCGCCTCCGCCGCCACCAGCCAATCCCTTCATTCCTGCACCCCGACCACCGATGGGTCTATGATCCAGTCTACCTACTGAGCTCTGCTGGCAGTCCGGGATTTACTTGGAAGTTGGGCGATAGATTGGACACTCGAGAGGGGAGACCAAGGGCGATGGCCACCTCGGACTCTGATTTCTGGTAGCTTGTTGGTGGATTAGGAGGCTGACTATGATTTGTTTCTCGGAGATGTATCGGTTAGGTGGCTGGTTGGTCAATGGTATCTATTGGAGGAATGATTGATTTGATGATGTTCACGATGACACGATTGGGTTTCCTATATCTAAATTTAGTTTTTTCTTCCCCTCGGTAGCAGAATGTCACTACACCACACCATTATTTCGTATACAACCTACACTACACGTGGACTCGCAATATAAACCGACACCTCCAAATCCCAGACCGATCCCGCTGGGTCCTTGGTGTTGTCTGTAATTAATATCAGCAAGGCTCTAGATTCGATGATAAATTGGCACGAGACGCGGGACGGCGAGACTGGTCCAGGTCGTGGACGCTATAGTGGGTGGTTGTTATGTCGCAGCCAATATCGGAGCGGTCAAGCAAGGTAGCATTCGCCTAGTCGACGGTAACCCGATAACGTCATGCGTCGCAATGGTACTCTCAAAAGTCCACAAACACACCAACCAACCAACCAACCATATCTGCCCTCTTGTAACCAGATTCCAACTTTAGAATCATCAAGTTGCGTGTATATGTATGTGTATGGTAGTATCAATGGGTATAGTTGGCTGCTAGCTACCCGGGTCCGAACAGGTTGCCTGAGTTGGAAAAGGTCCGGCACAAGGCACCCTTGCTTGTTTGTACCTACTCCGTACCTGGTGGATCACCGTAATTGTGGGCGCACCTTTCTCTATATGATAGGTACGTCATGTAATCTGAACCTGGGTCTACAGTACTACCTAGGGTATGTCCCCAAATGACATTTAAGAATAACAACCACATTCACAAGCTAAAACAGGTGTTTAATATTTAAAAGGGAGTCTCTGAAACCTGGATACTGGACCTGGGTCTTGTTATTGTACCTACTTAGGTACCAGGTATGAAAATGTACAAATCCAAACAGGCGGACAGCCAGTGAGTGTACCTAGATGGATACCTCCCTAGAGTGGCAGTACCGAAGTGTAAGAAACTTGAAGGTGACGCCCAAGTACAGAAAGGGTAAGTAAGAGTAGGTAGCTACCGGCAACAAACAATAAGCATTGTAAATTCACCTCCGGTTGTCGTCGTTCATTGATCCTACTTTGTAACAACTTGTAGCTGACCCCCGGCCCAAGCTACCGGTAGGTACCTACTGCCATCGTTCCCAACCTTCGAAGGACGGCTGCGCACTTGATAACATATAGGCATCTACATATGTAGGTAGATAATCAATACATGGCCTCAACAGCTGTTGTCTCGGTCGTCAAGAGGTACGAATTGGCAGATGAATGGTGAACGATGGATGATGAATGACGAATAGTAGATGAAACACCCAGCATATGTACCTATCTCTTCTCTTCTCTAACTTAAAACAATTGCCATTAACTAGTGGTTTTCTGGCTACCCACTTCTCCCTCCCCTTCTTCTCCATCCCGTCCATCCCAGATCCATCCCTTACCCCTGCTTCCTCGCTATCAAACAGTCTGTGCGCCAACACATCATATGCAGAGTCCATCTGTCAATCCTTTATACTTACTTACTTACCCAGTACTTACCTAACCTAGGTAGTATGTGCCGACCAGATACCGACCTTACTCTCGCTACTCTACTCGCCGTGTCCCTGTCCCTCATTCCCGCCTCTGTCTGCCACGACCTGTTCGTGAGACGTGTTTTGCGCTCTCTTCAGTAGGGTCTGCTCAAGACGGACCTACAGAAGGTCGCGGCGGTCACCGACAATCTATTGTGCGATTCCACCACGTCCGACCACCGGCTGTTCCTGTACACACCCATGGGTGCGGGAGCACAACATACCTAAGGACCGTACATGACCATCCAAAACGACGGACCACCACAGGTCTCTCCCTAACCATCATATCTCTCGGCGCGCTTGCAGCTTTCCCGTTGTTTATACCATACCTACCTATACCATTCATAAGGAACCGTGCTTTCACAGTATACTCATACTCTATATACGCCAGAGTCGGCCCCTTTCAAGTCGCGTGGCCAACCTCTTCTCTCATACCTAACCTTAATAGCTACTTAGCGTAGATCATCTTGGAGCAAACTACCTAGGAGCGAAGACAAAGTCAAAACTTCCTTTTTCTTGTTTCTACAGGTGGGTTAGGAAATCCCCCTCCCCAAAACCTTTCACACTACCGTAGGCTCCTAGCTGGGAAGCTTGCCCCAGCTGAGATCCCTTTTCAGCCATTGCTTTCACTTTTCCTTGTAGCTGGGTCTTAGGCCAGGAGTCCTGACTCGCCTGACTCAAAATCTAGAGTCAAGAAAAAAAAAAAGGCCGAGAGTGGGGAGGGCAATCCGGACGTGGCCGAACACAACGCAGAATAATATCCCTCCTCATGACAACACCGTGCGTCGTCAGCTGACCAGTCTTTATAACTTCATAGACAACCGGCTGTATGGTGCTTTTGCTGTGATTTACATTATTTTCTGTGCACCTACATTCGTTACTCCGCGACTCCGCGGGCGGCCGTTCTTTCACCTCCGGTACATCGCCCCGACTTATTGACGAGCCGACGACCCGATTACCGAACCGTCTCTGATCTATTGCTTCCCAATTCCCCATCTTGAGACCCGTGCTCGTTACTCTCTTCACATTCGCTTTCCACCGTGTGCTGCGCACCGCGTACCGCGCTTCAACCCGCCGATTTCCATCGTAGAATCTGTCGTCCGAGTGTCCATCGACTGTTTCCTGAACCACGGTAGCCGGCACCATGGGCCCAGCGACAGCTGAAGGCCCGTTACTGACAGTGCCTACTGTCGGCATGTATCCCGGATCCTCGACATCAGACGCAAGTTTATACTCCCACGGTCCTGGAATGAAGTCAGGCGACTATAATTCAGAACCTCTTAGACCGGTCACGGCAAATCCAGCCCGCGCCGGTCGCAGAGCGAGTAGCTATCTGGTTTGGCGACATCAGCAGAGAGATAACCTTTCGGGTGATGGCGACTTTGCCCAAAATTTTAGCGAGCTAGTGGTCGAGGAGAAACACGAAATAGAAAATGGCGTGTCTAGACACGGTACATCGTTCAAGCAGAAGTTCCGCAGGGCATCCTTGACGTTGATGAGGGGCATGGTAGGTCGTGATCGTAGACGCTCGGAGACGGCTGTTGATTACCAGGATGATCGGCCAACAACTGCACATTCGGCCTGGAATCGGTTACGACTAGCCACTACTTTTCGCCATCCAAAGACATCCCATGATGAGCGAGCTGTCCTTGAGACTATCTACTCGCCTCTCGAGTCTAACTTTCCAGCATATCCAGTCCCTGGCCACGGATTTGCGCCTCCGATTATTCCACATCATACAGGCGCTGCTGCCAAAGCTGCCGCTGCAATACAGAACGAGTACCTAACGTTCACACGGCACCACTATCTTTCCGCAGACGAGTTCAATGACCGTGAGAGCGGCATTGGAATCGCTGTTACCACTAGCGAAGCTCATAGTGATGCTATGATGAGCGAGAACTCTACCGTCGTCAGAGTTGACTTCATCCGTGAACTGCCTCAAGAGCTGTCTATTCATATTCTTTCATATCTCGATGCTGCTCAGCTAGGCGTCGCCAGCCGGGTATCTAATCTTTGGAATCGGGTAATTCAGGACCAGTATATTTGGCGACAATCGTTCCTGAGAGAGAAAACTCATACCTATGCTACTAGTCTACCTGTCCAGCCAGGAGTTGGAGCTGGTGTGCCCTCTCTTCGTCCTAGCAACGATTGGCAGAGAGTTTACCGGGCGAGAGAAGAACTTGACCGACAATGGAAGATTGGGACACAGGCTCGGGCAGTTTATTTGAACGGACACTTGGACAGTATATATTGTCTGCAATTTGATGAGTACGCGTTTCTTTTACAGTGATCAAGTCAAGTTACTAATCTGAGTAGGAATAAAATCATAACGGGTTCGCGGGATAAGACAATTCGCATATGGGATATGCGCACCCTACAATGCCGCCTCGTCATTGGACCACCGGAAGTAGTCAATGAGACTTCTATCTTATTCGATCCGAACGGCAAACCGATACATTACGCTTCATCTATTGATAATCACCGCTCCAACCCATCAGTGCCTGTTACTGTCTCGTTTCCAGTTCATCACAAGGCCTCAATTCTTTGTCTTCAGTACGATGATGAGATACTCGTAACTGGTTCCTCAGACTCTACCTGCATAGTCTACAGTGTGAAGTCAGGTTATCGCCCTGTTCGACGTCTTCAGTGCCACACTGCAGCCGTACTCGATTTGGCTTTTGACGACAAGCACATTGTTACTTGCTCCAAGGACATTACTATTTGTGTGTGGGATCGTGAAACAGGTGCGCTGCTCAAACAATTACGGGGCCACACTGGGCCCGTGAATTCGGTACAGTTGCGTGGGAACACGATTGTGTCGTGCTCTGGGGATTTTTCAGTGAGACTGTGGAATATTGACAGTGCTAAGACGATCCGAGAGTTCGCAGGCCATACTAAAGGTCTTGCTTGCAGTCAATTTTCGGAGGATGGGAGGTTTATCGCTTCTGCGGGAAGTGATAAAGTTATTCGTATCTGGGATGCTAATACGGGGGAATGCCTCCGAGACATCCCAGCGCACGATAGTCTCGTGCGCAGTCTACATCTTGACAGCATCAGTGGTCGCCTCATCAGTGGAAGCTATGACACTGACATCAAGGTTTTTGACATAGATACTGGAGAGCAACTACTCAACTTTCCGAGGTGGCATGCCAGCTGGGTATTAAGTGCCAAGTGCGATTACCGACGGATTATCAGCACTGGCCAAGACCCCAAGATTCTAATCATGGACTTTGGAGCGGATATCCCAGATATTCATCTGCTCGAAAGCGCAAGAAAATATGAAGTTGCCTGTGATGCTGGATTCATCTAATAAACTCACCAGGGGTCTCAGCGGATCTCTATGGAACTATTCTTAATGGCGGGTGTTAATTGCGATAACTCGGAACCGTTCCACTGAGCACCATTGCTTCCTCGCCCACAAAATCCGTTGATCCACGGATCTCATTTGTTATCACGGCCAACTATGAAGTGGGTTTCGATGTGATTACCTTTTCTTTGGGAGCTACTTCTGGGTTACTATGAAGTAGCGCCCCCTTTGTATCACAATATATCATCACAACTTGGCAGCTTCCGAGACGGAAGAGATCGAGGTGGTTTCAAACAGGCATGGGGGCTAGTGAGTTCTGGCGATTCTCATTCGTAGGCGTTTGCTACCGTCTGTTTGGTACTTACATATACCTATGTCGCTGTGTGCTTTTAGCTTGCATTATTCGGAAAGCCAGCTGGCTTCTGGATCTGGCGTTTGTTCTTTTAATCCTCATTTAGCTAAGCGGGCATCTACAGCATCTGGCGCGTCGCTTCGTTTTACCTTCTGGTTTGGGTTTATCATGTATGCTACGCATCATAGAATGAGTCGCATCGTTATCGTACAAGGACGCGTTACACTTAGCTAGTTTTAAATATATTAATTGATGAGTCATGCTTCTAGTGTCGTTTGAATGCTGACTAGATTTCGAGTGTCATGCGGGCGTCCTTGACCCTTGAAGGTGAAGACCAATTCATTAACCTCATCGTTATCCCTTGTTCTTGCAGTATCATAGATGCCAAAGCCACATCAAATCTTGACGCTAACACTCTATTTCCATAAAAAGACTCGCGTCACCCTTTATCTACTCCGTATGAAAACTATTCATATAGATGAAGGGATCTGAAATCAACTACGTAGAAGAAATGGCAGGCTAAATCTACATGTATACCAGACTGGGACTAATACTGTCCGTCAAAAAGATACCTTTCATCGGTAAAGGACAGCAGGAATCGTGCGAGTAAACGCCCTGTGTAGTCGAGCGTGATGTCGCGCGGGTAGGGGTGTGCTTCTGCTTGCGGGAGGATCGGGTCTGCAGCGAGGAAGTCAAGTTCGTGCCCTGGAATTTAAATATATTAGATCAATGTTTTGGGTGATTCAAGAAAGTGCCGTCTCTCATTAATACAAAGAGGCGGTTCATGAAAGAGGGGGGGAGGGGATGAAGGGAGGGGAAAGCATCATGCGTATACTCACAGCTGCCATCGATATCTAGCAGAGCGCGCAGCGAAGCGGCCATCTCGGCTGCTGCAGGCTCAAGGTCCGCGTCTAAGGTTGGGTCTACTAGGGGATTAAACGTGAGGCCTGCGCCATTCCCCGCTCCACTCCCGCTGCCGCCAGCTGAAGAGCCGCTCGCTGTACATCCGACGCCGGGCTCGCGGACATGATGCGTCTGGTACACGGCGTGGAAGCGATACGCAACCTGTCGGAACGGGAGGTTGTCGATCTCACGGCACATCTCGAGCGCCTGCTTGCGACCGCCGACGGCGAACCCACCGGCCTTATTCGCGTCCGACGCAGCATCGAAGGCACTGCTGGCGTTACTCCGCCGGCGCGAGCGCAGCGCGACCTCGGCCTCAGACACCATGAACATGTCGGCCGCGGTCTCGATGCCCTCGAACAGGAGGCAGAGGACCAGGAACGACGCGAGACAGGACGCCCACTCGGCGCGCGAGCGCGGCTTCAGCGCGGACCCGAAGGCCGTGAAGAGGGACTGCGTCTCCTTGAGCAGGTGCTCGTCGAGCACGGCCTTGACCTGCCGGTTGAGCACGCGCGTCGTGGCGTGCGCGCTTATGCCCGGCGACAGGAACGGCAGCTTCTCGGGCTGCGTCTGCCGTAGATGGTGCAGGCGGTCTAGTGCGGAGGGCGTGAGGCAGAGCTGGCGCGTCAGCACGTAGTGCGTCACGTAGACCCCGAGCGCGCGCTTCACCATGACGGATTGCGAGCTCTGCGCGTAGTGCTGCACGATTTCGAGGACGCGCCGCGGCAGCTGTGTTCCGCGGAGCGAGTCCGTGACTTGAGTGGCGTACTGCGGCTCGGCGACTAGATTGGCGATGTACTCGCGCGTGCGCCGCTTGAGGGCCTCGCGCTGGTTCCTGTCTTTCGGGTCGACGCCCACGGGCACGGCGGGCCGCGAGTGCAGGTCCAGCTGGTTCACACCCGTGCTGACGTGCCAGTGGTGCAGGATTTCGGCGCTCTTGGGCGCGCAGAAAGAGGCCGGGATGGTCAGCGTCGACTTGAACCGCGAGCCCGAGGACAGCTCGATGAGCCAGGGCGAGGATGATGGGGAGGAGACACCGTAGAATTTAGAGACGTTGTCGGATATGAAGCGCGTCATTGCGTCCTTTTTGAAGTGGCCCCTGATGAAGCCTGGGAACAGAACCGGGAGGAAGTCTGAAAATTGCCAGCATACGACTTGTGGCAGCTGCGTCGAGATCTTCTTGCAGTTCTTGCAAGGTCGCTCTTCGTCACAGCTGACTTTGCGGCTGTACGTGGATTAAAGGGGTTTTCGTCAGAATGATTGACATGAGGGTGGGAATAGGGGGACTTACCTGCGACAGCAGAAACAAGCGCCCTTTCTCCTAATGTTCCGCGCCCTCTCCGCCGCCGAAAATGCCAGAGGGCCTTTTCGTCCACGCTGAATCCCCCCTGCCACCTCGAAACATTCGAAAAGGTTTGGTTTGCCGGACTGTTGATTAACACTGTTAGGCGTGAAGACGACAAAGTTATCCGACGTAGGCGCCGGGTGCTTCTTCTTCTCAACTCTCCCGCCGCCCCTGACCTTCTTGATCGGATCGTTGTCCTTGGGGTGTCTGGGCTTCGCAGAGGGCATGCTTGGGCTTGAGCGTAGAGAGCCGCTTGCTGCGGATTCATGCGAGATTGTGCGAGACATCTGTGCGCTGGCATCTTCCATGTCGAAGAACATGAATTCGTCGTCTGGTAAACTCACGGACACCCACGGGTCATCGTTACCAGTTTGCTGGAAGTGTAGAGGGATCCCTAGGTCGGCAGGCTGAGTCTGGATGTCCATTCCCTCAAAGCTCGCAATATCACCGGTGCTGCCTTCCTGAGCACCTTGTTGGAATTGATATGTGTCCATTGTGCCTAGGTTATTAGTTCAACCATTGATACGTTCTATTCACAAAAAAGCACCTACTGTTCAGCAGATCCGGGAACAGAAGCTCGTGGTTTTCCATGAGCTGCTGGTTATCCCAAAAAGATAGAAACTGGTTCTCGGAATCCTCTTCTGTGATGCTCGATGGCCCTTGTTGGTTCGGCTGTGAAGTAGGAGGCGGTAAGGGTGACAGAATCGGTGGTGATGCTCCCAAGTTATGAGGGTATCTAATGATACCCCATCCGTTGAAGCTGGAACCTGGACTTGTGGTGAAGCCAGGCGAGCTGGACTCTACATACTGCCATGAATCGGTATCTTCCGTAGAATTAGCGCGCAGATAATCTTGTCGCGATGGCGAAGCAGATACCGCTGAAGCCATCATCGTCCTGCGGTGAGTCCGAGGTATCAGGTTGCGATGCAGTAATGGTTTCTCATGAGTGATGTTGACACTCTGTCGCTCGTAGGCCGACGCACTCAGCGTCCTACCTATACGTAGCTGCTGGTGAGAGAGAACCCACCCGAGGTCCGATTGCCGTACCCTTTTCCTTCACGTATCACAACACTACTGCCAAACTGCCAAACTGCTTTCAATGGGAGACGATACAGAGACATTTAAATAGCGACGAGCAGATTAGTTTCATGAGCTGAAACAGAACATGACAGCCTGCAATATAGCGTAGGCAGACTGCTTGCTTGAGCACAATCAAGAGGTGCAGCCCTTTGAACATCCGCTCAGCCACGGGAGACTAAGCTGAAAAGGATACCGAGAGTGCTTGGCAGGCTACTCGATTGAAGACTCGGTGTCCGTTAAAGGCTTACGGCGCATATATCCATACCTACATTAACTACGCGTACCTACTTATACCTGAGTAGTTTCCGTTCCATAGTCTGGTCCTGAAAAGCAGCCCCAAAAAGGATGCCATCGCCGGCTGTAGAGGCTTTTAGGAAGGGTAGGGTTGGATGCCGGAACTGGCTGGCTAGGTATGTTTAGTTTCGCTTTAAAAGTGGCATGGCTGTTTAGAACGCAATCCGACGGTAAAGCATGTAGGTGGCCCCCTAGAACTCCTGTATGGGCAAATAAAGCAGATGAGCTAGATAAATTGGGAAAATGTTACATGATGAGGCACATCGCGAACGGGTGATGTTAGTAGGCCTTTTGTGCCCGACCTGCTGCCCAAGGTTGCAGCCCAAGCCTTCAAGCCTTGGGTTGGGGCGCCAGCTGTTGGTTTCCTGGGATCACAAGTCATACGTGAAATCTAGCATACTAAATAAGCAATGCAACGTGGGGAGATCCGAGACATCCATATTGTCTGCTCCCTGTCTCTTCCTGTCGTGTCGATGTTGTAGACATGCGAAAAGACGGGAGTGCAGTGAGCGAGCAGTGCGAGAGTGTGTATATATATATGTATATGTATATGCCTATACATTAGGAGGAAAACCCGTCTCGTACAACGCATTCAAGCGGCAATAAGCTGGTTTGCACCCCGATACCCCAGCACCAAAACCTAGCTACGTACATGTGAAAACCCAATATCAAGAGGCTTCCTGCCCACTGCCGCGCTTTCGTCATAAAACCTGTCATTCTGAGCTGGCTTTCCAGCGATCTGCGAAATAACTCTTTATTTCTTTTTTTCCCTGCAATTTGTTTGAAACGTCAAAAGTCGTATCTCGTCACACACCGCGACAGCGGTTGAAGTTGAACTTGTTAACATATATTGTTGTTTCCTTTGCTCACTGGCACATCTACTCTTCTGAGAGAGTCGGTATAACGTATAACGTAACTATGCATGCGGATATGCTCAGCGGAACCGCGCCGCCGAGGCCGCCGTTCGGTCTTGAATCTGTTGTTCAGTTGAAACGTACTACAATAGATAGTCAGCGCCCAAGTTCGATTTCGATCCAAAGCCCACCGAGAGCTTGAAAGTATGTATAGAACTGCTCGAAGAATCGATAAACGAGCCATTCCTAATACTCTTGGATATTATGGGAAAAGTTTGCGTGCCGATATTACTTACAAGTCTGTCCAGATAATCCATAGCTGCTGCATCCTTCAGGATCTTGGCAACCTGAATTCCGGCGCTAATGAGCTGTAAGACGTTGCGGTCATCTTTCAATGGCCGCGACTGATGCTTCGCAGCATGTCGCATCTCGAGCGAGTTCTCCAGAATGGTGGCGAACTGTTTGATCTGTCCATTGTAGATAACGCGTGCCGGGATCCGCCTCTTCGTTGCGAGACGCTTTAGTAAGTACACCCATTCCGTCCATTCTCGATCCTGGGGTCGCTCAACAGGACGCATGCTACATAGGTTGAAGTGTTAGCGCGTTGTGGCTCTAAGGGGTGATTTCTCGCCCGAGAGAATCTTGTTCAAGCGAACATGCACGTACTCTTGAGTGAGCGGTATAGGAAACTGATACTTTGCAACAAAATCGAATGCGCATTGCGATAATCGGTCATTAACTGCAGCCAGAACTTGATCTTGCTCTGACACTAGCAGATTCGTGGGAAGATGGGGCATCTCCCGTTCTTGCATTGCGATATAATCAGATGGGGGTCGCGCGAGGAACTGCACTTGTGGCCCATCGAACTCGTCTCTGTTCGAAGGTTTCCTCTGAGGTCGACCCTTGCCAACGTTTCTACTCGACCCTGAAGGTGGAGAAGTGCTAGCAATACTATTTCGCCTGTAGTCTGGAGTGTGGACCAATTCATCTGCAGAATCTATAGGCGAATATTTACCCTGAACTGGCCAACTCGGAGAGCTAGAGCTGGTATAGGAGCCGTACACCGGCCCGGAGGCATTATGAGACACCGACGTTGGGGTCGATACGTAATGAGGCGCAGTGGGAAGGAAAGGCTCAAGCCGTGTGAGCGAGGTGCTTGGGCCTGTTGCTGATGTTGTTGCTACACCATACACTGGTATCGCTCCGGATGGGAAACTCGTCATTCTTCGCACAACATTGTTATTCCTACTAGTTCGTGAGAAGGGATTTGCTTCACAACCTTACCTCGATGGTTGGTAGCCAGGGTGATCAGAGGATTCTGACAACAAGCCGTCATTATAAATTACGCTTCAGGAGGTTAGCTTGACTGTTGACGATAACGAACAAAGTCATATCGAAAGTTCGCACCTGCGAGAAGTTGGCCAATACTCGTTGGACATGACGGGCGCCATGTCAACACCTCAACCCTTGAGAAGAAGTCCTTCGATAAATGAAATCCACGGCAAGAAACAGAAAAAAAAGCAAGCAAGCAAGATGAATATGGTCCTGAGGCTCTGCCGATCCTGGTACTGGACTTTGGGATCCTCTAGATGTATGGGAAAAAAGAAAAGTCCGGTGTGTTCCTGGCCACTGGGTTGTGGTATCCTGATTCAAATATCCGCGATGCGCTTTATCCTGGATGCATCGGCTGTTCTCTGGGAGAGGAAAGGAAAGGGACTAGCCGTCAACTAAATCACTAGCAGAGGCGTTATATGTGTCCGGCAAATAAACGCAACCCCGGTGACTACTGAGTTCTCTCAAACATTGGGCGTTGTGCTCTGTCGCTCACCTCTGATGAAGTTCCACGGTTGGGGGTAATCGCTGTTTCTGAGATATCCAGCCAGCAAGGGCTTTTTTATGTCGTGATGCTGATGGCAGAGTTTTGCCACCATGACCAGGTAGTATCCTAGAGAGGCAAAGTCGTGCAAAATGGCTTCACCCGCGGGGGACACTTGTCGCCCACATCTCCTGGGGGCATACTAAGCAGGGCGGCAATGAGTTTGGTAACATGGCCCAGACAATATGGGCTATCATGCGCTGCCATGAGTCGAAAGGCTCCGTCTTGTCGTCCCAAAGCCGGTGAATCCAGCCGCTCCACTTCCGGCGAAGATCTGCTAACATGATCTGGCTACCAAACTGCACGACCTACGGTATGTGCAACCCTCTGGAGGACACTGGGAATGACCCTGCATCGAACTATGCCAACGTGTACACGCACCGAGGCGAACACTCTATCAGGCCCATAGACAACTCTCATAGCATGACAGGAGCGCGGCCGTGTGGAATTGCGGGAGCTGCCATTGATTGGGCACCAGGCGACCGACGACACGCCGCTGGGCGAGTAGGGCACCATTAGGCACTGAGCATCCCGAACGGGAATGTTCAGCCAACGCCCGGCACTGAACGGTATCAGGGCCCTATTACCTACATCCTGCCGAGCCTGCCTACATGTCGCGAACGATCGTGTTGCATTACCAGGGGATCCCTTACCAAAACAAGAGCGGTGGGCGCGTGCTGGCTGCTGGCGAGAAGGGTGGGCCTGGATTGGGCACGAATGTCAGAGAGGAAAAAAGATTAGGTCCCAGGTAAAAGCCCAACCATCCATCCAGACAAGGCTGGATTGGACCGACCGGTAAAGAGGACCTATCATGTGGCTGGTCAATAGCAAGGCAGTCAATGGTTGATGGCTGCCGATTCCAGAAGTTCCATCCCCCGCCATCTACACTGGATAGTGACTTACCGGGCATCTCGTGGTTTGCACGGGAGCAACCCAACATGCTGGGACGATTCGGAGCCGTTCTTGGTTCATGACATCAATATTACTACCGCTTTCCATCGGCACCACCTAAGGCAAAGTCTCTCCTGTAAGTACCGGTATGCCATGCACCCCAGACAAGTCGCATAACTGCATAGCGAGAGAGGCGAATGATATGCACATTAGTTACTTGGTAAGAGAGAATTGGGCCGGCCGGGGCGGGGGTACCTATGCTGTGAAGACATCGCCGCCATCAGATGGATGACGAGATATGGCACTGACAGACCTGACAGACCTGACAGACCAGATCAGACTTGGCCAGGCCAGGCCAAAGCGCAGAAGACACGTACAAGCTGACTTAGCTTAGGTACATATAGCAGGTAGGCGCAAGAATAAGTAAGGATATGCGGTGGCATAGCGCACGATGGGTTTCCCAATAACTAGGTATCAAATACATAGTATTGCTAAGTAGGTACTACTATGTAGCCGGGGGTAGAAACTCGGCCGGTATCTCCTCCTGACTTGGTGGCGACGGGATAGCCCGCGCGCGTCAATGCTTGATGATGAAAGAGGTTGCCAACAACAAGTGACGCCTACAAAAGGCATATCTAATCGTCGGTAAGCTTTGAAATCCAGTTTCAGGCTCTTGCACTGGACTCGTTGGGACTCCACTTCCGTCATCAACCGACCCTCAGGCTCCCCCCAGGTAACATTAGCGATTGATAAAGAAGGCATTAAAGGTGTAGAAGTTGTTGAAGATTGAAGGTGTTAAGTAAGCTAGAAGGCGGTTATCTATTTTTTTTTTCTGTCTTCAAATTCAAGTTGTCAATCTTTATATAAAGTGGAATTGGCTAAAGCAGAACTACTTTCATTTTTGGTAAGAATCATATATAGAACTAAGTACCTAGATTTTATCGAATTGACTGGAATTCAAGACCCCAACCCTCCCTTCGAGGGGGGAGCCCGAGGGTCGGTATGTCATCAACTGTGGGCTGTGTTCATCGCAATACCTGATATAAACAGCTATAAATGTCCGGTCTTACTCAGCGCTACTGGCACTTGCACTACACTGGGTTAGAAGTTCTAGCTCTACACAACCGCCGGACGGGAAATTCCACACGCACCCCTGCCAGTAGAATCGTCTTGTTGCAAATAAGTGCAGCAAGAAGTCACAACTCCTCTCTGGTTGCCGTAACTTGGGAGGGGGTGAGAGAAACTTTCTGCAACTAGTAGATAGGCTATTAAAGTACCTACATAGTACATATTACATTTAGCGCAGCCTCAATCCCTCACACACAACATGCCAATTCAATTCAAGCCGCGAGGCAGATTGAAGATGCCGTGTTTTGAGAAGTAGGTTTCATACAACCGCCTAGGCTTCTCATACCTATAAACTCTACTTTCAACTTACTTATCACATAATACACTGCACAGTATGGCTCATTGAGGCTACACATACATAGTATATTCATGCTTATCATCCTGTACTTATACTGTATAATAACCCCTATTGACCTGTTACAGTATGGCCTTACGGGGTAAGCGTGCGGCACAGCTTCTCACTATCTTCCCAAATGACCCCGAGCGGGTCCTGAGTCCGAGGGACTTGTCGGGCGATGCGATGCTGAGCGTCGACTTGTAGTCTCAGTATCAAACGTCATATCTTCAAAACTGCTGTATGTGCTCCGGACAGCAGTTAGGGTACGGATATACCGAGGTGTTATAACTGTAAGTCAGACAGAGAGAAGTCACAGGTCTTTCTGCGACGATGCTGTGCCTACACCCCGCCACAGCCAATAAGATTGCCAGGGATAACGTAGGCATGATGAAATGGCACTGGGAACGACGGTACTAACGATGTTCAAGGTAAAAGAAAATGAGTCGAGGATTTAGGAGCGGCAAATATGCTATGCTGCCTTTTTGGAATAGGTATCGCAGGGCTGCATGATGATCCTGAGTCGCTCGCCTACTCGTGCCAAGGAGAATCTCCATGTGCCTATATGTCCTCAAGTTACAGGCTCTCAACTTAAATTGGAAGTCGACGCTGTCGCGTACTCCGCGAGGATGGTTCCATGTTAGATTCAAATCACCTGTGATCACAACCACACCTGAGCAAGGCCACGCCCTTGTCAGGGCTTCAATGACACACCTACACTACACTACTCGGTGGGCTAATCATCACAGCATCTGCCATGACGATAACCTGCCAAGAACCTGGTAAGCTTCGGATACTACCCGAGCCGGGTGCGGGAGTGTAAACCTCACACTGTAGAAGCTCTGTTTGGATGAGGTAAATGGTCTGCTTTCTATCTAATAACACGGTGAATGCTAAAGTACTTGAAGCCTTGCGTTGTCGAATAATAAAGACTTGGTCAAGAACGACAATAGGTCGCTGATTGTCTAATCAACCGTGTTCTATTCCTTGAAGCAGAAGATGTCTAGTATTACCTGTAGGTCAAGTCCTTTGGCCGATTGAAGGAGGGATCATAGGCAACAGGGGTGATGATAATGTCATCAACACCACCATGACCATCAGCAGTGGCAGCAGCAACACAGCACGGGAACAAAGTACCAAGTAGGGCTGAAGCTCGTTGAGTTACATACAACGCGCACGTACTAGGTACTACCGGTTGGTGACAGAAGTGGAGTCCCAACGAGTGCATCGTACAAGTAACGGCTGCGGTTCGTCATTCCGGCTAATACATTGTTGATCAACTGGTGGAATTGACCGGCTTGACAGCCGCTACGGAGTGCTACTCTTCATATTCTTGCCGGCTGGACTCGGAATTAGAGGACAAATGGAATATCCGACTCCGAGTACCGAGAGTGTTGCTTAAACTTAGGTACACCAGAGATGCTCATATTGGGATTATGCTCTGCTTCCTTCATGTGCCCTTTAGAATGTGGCCCTGGGCCATATCTACTGTACCTGGAACATAGGCTGAATCTGTCATCAAAATCCGAGGGCCCCGATTCAAAAACGACTACACCAGGGTAGACCAGGTAGCGTCGACGCCTGCGGTCTAGTTAGTGTACGAAATATCTGGGGTCTTACTATTATTACCATCACTCCACCCACCCCTCGCAATGGTTTCTCGCGAAGAACATCCCACCGTTCATGTACCTACACTTGCCTCTCTACTAGGTAATCCATTGGACAGCTGCCGAATGAAGTTGTCTGTGAAGCTTCTGCCTAGATAGTATACCCAGTACTTTTGTTTTGTGAACCTCCCCTAAAAGCGCAGGCGACACAACATATCCACGCGGATATTGATACCCTATCAAATCGCCTCCTGAAAATTGCCCGTGTCTGAGACGTTACCAGCTGTCTCCGCAGGACCCAGATAGTTCCCTGATTAGAATCTGATGAAATCGTCCCCGCGACGGCATTTTTACCTGCCTCGAAGCCACTCTGGAGCGACCTTAGGATTTAGCACACGCCAAACGTTTCTAGGGCCGGCTTGAATTTCCTCGGCCCTTAGGACGCAACGGTTTCTCCTTGCTGGGAGCGAGTAACATCCTCGAAGACGATAAAGGCAACGACAGACGCCCGTCTCCTTATCTGCTATCCTAGGGACCGATATTGTCGAAGTGCCTTGGTCTATCCGCCATGACGGCCGAAGGGTCGACAAACATGTTCCAGCGGCAGCGCCAGAGGAGATTCCATCGGAGGTCACGTAATGGATGTGCAACAGTGAGTTCCATCCTGAGGTCTTTCTTCCTTTTCTTTCTCGACCATTCACGGAACTGGTACCGCCCACCTGCAACACAATTCAGATCTGTGCGATTTTCCACGGATCAATCGAGGTAGAGTGCAAGAAGCAGGAGATACTGACGAGTCTCTTCAGTGTAAAGCTAAACATATACGATGTGACGAGAGAAAACCGCTTTGGTAAGAACCAAGATCCCAATGCCCGTGCAAACTATTTGGGGCGCGGCCTTACGCTTCGGATAATCCCACCTTCGTATATTCTCAGCCGTCCAAGAGCCTCTGGCCTTGGACTCTTCCCCCCTGCTAATTATGCACATATCACATCGCTTGACAATTGCTAACACGGATGTAGCACATTTTGTCTTCGACATGGTGGATCTTGTCAATACCTAACCGAAAGCAACTCAAGCTCCACGAATGCACCAACCACACAAAAGCCTGTATCCACAAACGAAGAGCCTCTTGACCCAACCATAGCAGGGAGCTTGGCTCCCATTCATATCCATGATATCTCGATGGACCCTTTTGTTGGCACTCAGTATGAAATGCCCTATAAGTCACGGCCTCTCTTCTATCTGTGTAAGTTAAGCCTGGTGGCTACGCATACATAACAAACCACTTAATGGGGGAAGAACGCTACTAACAACGCATGCAGTTGCTAGCACCCGCGTGTTATATAGATCTCGTGTCGAAAGGAATCAAGACTCGTTTCTGTATATAACCCTGCCTCAACTGTTCCTTCTACCGAACCATAATGACTGACTGTCGTGTGTAGTGTACATCGAGCTTTATCACACCCAGGCTTTCTTCACGCTGCTTTGCTCCTGACGACCTTACACTGGGCCTGGCATACAGGGGATGTAGAGCAGTTTCGTGTCCCATATCTTTACCACAAGGTGCAAGCTATTCGATTCGTCAATGAGCAGCTGCAAAACCCGGAAACCGCTGCTAGCGATGGTACCATAGCCGTGGTGGCGAGTCTCGCAGTTATGGAGGTATGCTATGTGGTCTAAGTGTGCTTCATGAAGACTGCTAACGTCCTTAAGAATTCGCTCGGATCAACCGAAGCGGTATCCTCACATTTGCAAGGCCTTGCAAGGATCAAGGAACTACAAGGCGAGGAAAGACGGCCCAAAAACATGGGTCTCCTGCAGCGCATGATAGCCATGTGAGTAATGGGTTTTCATTCAAAACATCACTGGCCCTAACAAGATATCTCAGGGCAGCTCGGAGCGTGTCAAGCCGGCCGGTCTGGGACATGCTGAACATCAGCCGCACGGATGATGTGCACCAATCAGTCATCATTTCACTTCTTCGCATAGCATTGCGGCCCATCTACAGCATACCTACTCTTAGCGGCGTCGAGGACCCCGAAGAACCGTTAGCAGAGGTTCTCGCAAAGAAGACGCCACATCCCCGCACAAGCGATATCCATACGATACCAACACATAGGACGGTTGATACTAGTAGATCGGAGTTTCTCACTTGCTACTTTTACCTCTACATGATACTCCGTGAAAATAACGTGGACTCGTTCCTCGTAGAATGGTTCATAGAACAGCTGCTGGCTGATGTGTGTCGTACCGAGGCCCTTATGCAGAAAGGTCAATATAGCCAGTCGCTCTGGTTCTGGACAGTCATGTTCGGGGCTTGTGCAGCCCACACGACCAAGAACTACTCGGACTCAGAACAGTCTCACATGAAGATGCTGAAGAATATCTATCTCGACAAGATTAGCTTAGTCAGCCAGCTCTTGAGGATAAGGAATTGGGAAGGGGCAAAATCGATACTACGACTTTTTGCTTGGGAGGATAGCTTTAACGGGGAGTCAGAAGTACAAATGATTTGGGAGGAAGCAGTGTGGGGAGACAATGGGAAACGACCTAGAACGAAACATATGGATTATACAGTAGCCTTGCGTCCGGGCGAGACGGGCATAGCAACGTGAACAAGGGGGGTAATAAGAAGAGAGAACTGCGAAATAAGACAACGTGTGATACGAGGCCGGCCCGCAATGGCCACGAAAAACACCGAAGAGCCTGAACGTCCAGCCCAGACCTGGTGGGCTCCAAACTGCCATGGCCTACGTTGTGCGAGGCAATCTGTCTGCCAACTGACTTGGCCAGCACGCTACAAGAAAACAGGATAAACTGCATTGTAGATAGAGGCTCTTATGTACAAAGAAACACACGATCAGCCCCTAATTGATCGCCAAATGCTGTCAGCATGATTACTATGTAATGCTTTTGCTCTTGGACAAATACGATTATTTTCGCGTGTCGAATTTGCCGAAATCCTACGATGTGTACACTTAGCTCTTCTGAAACTCGAATACAAATCGAAGAGCCATCTCTTCGAGATGGAGGGCGAGCCAACAGGCAAGGGCGCACACCCATTCCATATTGAAACCAAGAAATATGACATGGAGAGCAACGCGGCAATGCAGGAAAATAATGATGCTGCCGGTAGTAGAGGAAAACGTGAGCAAAGGGACCGGCACAACTCCCTCACCGACTTTTCGATTTCTATGATGTTTGTTTTTGACGTCGTTTTCGTGGTCACGTCCCCCCTCATTGCCAACAAAGCATAACACTAAAGTAACCACCATCACCAAACAAGTTGAGATTAATTACACAATGGAAATCAACATATGCCGGCAGCATCGCAAGGAGAAAGTGGGTATGAGACGAGAGATGCAGGTGAAGGACGCCATGCCTTGCGATACTCGTCACTCGTCACTCGCCCGAGTATTGAATGTGAGGCAGGCCGTGGCAGACTACTTGCTCCCTCAGTAGCAGGGCAGACTGAGGCAGGGAGGTGTGCCACGGTCGAGGGGACATCCGGGGAGTACCAGTGGTTAGCAACTTGGACGGTGCTGCAATGATGTGTTGTCGCTGCAGCCATGGATCCTGATCACGCAGTGATTGGCCATGGACGGGGCTCACCTGCCCCCTCACTGGACACGACCCGGTCCACCGCTCTTCGCCAGAGCCTATGGCGAGTGCAGGAGCTGCGAGAGATGCCGAAGAGGAGAGGGTCGACGCAGATTCTGCTTCAGCTGACATGGGCCATGGCCAATGTGATGGCCGCCGGCTCGAGAAGACGAGGAATGGTGTACAAAGTACGAAGTAAGTGAGGGGGAGCAGCACAAGGGACCGAGCCTACCGCTCTCTGTAGCATGTTGTGTCCACTACGATACCGCAAGAAGAGGACTGAAATCTACCTACGAAGTAGAGAGAGGAGTGAAAAGTAATCTTAGTAGGAGATGTGGGCTACTGACGTCGTAGGATTAGCACACGATGTCTGCAAATTACCTCTATCTGGCATTGGTTGCGAGCCTGAGTCTGCCCGAGGTTGAGGGAGGGAAATCAAGGGAAATCAAGGCACTGCGTTAGCGCAACCGTCACTGCAGCATTTAGCGCTGGCAGCCCCCTGTAGACAGCGTGGGACTGGCCAGCAAAGCAGCGCGCCAACGGTGCGGTCAGCGACAATCCGCCAATCGTAGCCCACTATAGCGAAGGCCAGCAGGGGCCAGCAGGGACGTACCCTGCCGAGCCATGCCGCGCAAATGGCAGCGCTGGCATCATCTCCGCCCACTCCATCGCTCTCCATCGCTCTCCATCGTCGACCCTCGTCGAACCCTCGTCGACGACCCTGTTGCTGGCGTCTGTGGACACACAATAAAACCCCCAGTGGTCCCTCTCTGTGCCCAACTTCGCTTCTTCCCTCCTTTTTCTCTGCCCAACAACGCTTTGTTTCTGCCCAACAATCATACCTGACGCCCCTCCACTCTATCTTCATCCTCTGCCATACTCACAACAGGCCCCCTCAAAGCCCTCGACGCCTTCTCACACACTCACACACATATTACATATTACCACTGCCTTCTTGCTGTTATTATCCCAATATTACACGACAGTCGGCCCTCCACCCACAGGATCCCAGACCTCAGGCCGTATTCCCTTCAGGTGCTTCAGGTGTTACCACATCCACGGAACTCTTGCTACCTGCAACCCCCTTGGTCGTCGACATATCCGTCTCACACAGCCCATAGGATTACCACATCAGTGTTCTCGACGGTTGAGCATCCAGTCTCACGTAAACCGCAAGAAATTGATGCCCTTGATTTTGCCACAGGATCAGGACCACTTTGATATCCCAGGGGACATGGCCACAATGCTTGCCTCACGAGACAGTATGGCTGCATTCAACTCCTTAGATCTGGACGATGTCCACACTCCCGCGAGGTATTTTGCATTGATTTTTCTTGTTCGTCTTCAACCGGAGTTTTTGGGCAGATCTTACTCTGTATTTCTATCTCGATGTTGACCGAAAATCATGTACCAAGCCTTTCATTTGTCTTTGATCATATTGGCGCAAGTGCTCTTCAATGTCCGGACACTCCATTTGCAACCTAGGAATTGCCAGGATAGCCGAGTTTGAACATCGACCCAGGAATCATGGTATTACCCGGACATCCCACATGGTCGACCCAGGTCTCAGATGCCGAGACTTTGCTTCCACAATGGATAAACAGCATGCTTGGCAAACCCTCGCAGCTGGATTCAAGAAATTACTGAAAAGACCGTCAGGTCTACATAACGGTAGGTGTCAATCAACCAACTGGCCTGAGTGCCCTCGACAAGACAAGGACCAAATTAGCCCAAGTTGCCTAGTGACATAACCCGTGGACACTGCCTGGATAATTGCAAACCCGTATGGATCCCGTTCTACTATTCGACATGCCGACGAACCTGCCAGTCTTTCCTTTCGACGACGCGTTGCGTCCACAAGCCGTTGTCTTCCCTACTACATCTGCGTTGCTTCATCATATTCATCATCAAAATATGATGCTATGAAGCATGCGATTCCTTCCGGACCTACGTTATCTATGGACACTTTGAGCAGGCCGCTCTGTAATCCCGGGACTTTGACCACATTTCCGTGTACATGGAGCCAATTCACGAAACGATCCAGTCACCACGCCATTTAGGACACCACCCAACTCTGCAGACATCTGTGAAGAGAAAATAATGATTTCAGATTGCCATGGCCTGTGCACCTCGAGTCTGTTCACCATCCAGGCGACAACATACAGCAACCAGGACTCGTTTTAGCTTCATATTCCAGTTAGATAGTGCCGTGGACCTACGTCAATCCCTTTTCATTTCTTTCATCGTATCTTTTTGCCGGACACGGGGCCAACCTAGGAATTCATGGCCGTCTTTCCAACTGGAGAATGGACCAGGACCAGCTTCTACTATGAGCTGTCAGGTTCACAATGATCAATCAGTTCGGTCTGTACATAATGGCCCAACATACCCTCCTTGATAGTGACTAGAGCTAACCAGACTTGCTAACAGGGCAAAGTTGTGCCGTACTGGGACTTATTTTTTCTTTTCTTGTCGTGTGCTTTGGCTGTCTTTTCATATCGCCACTGGGAATGCGAAATAGAGTACTAACCTTAAACCCAGTGACTATAGCACATACTCCCAGGGAAACATGCTCTCTACTGCCAGCGGACATTTCATTTATTCTCAAACAGCACATACAGACCTAAATGGTTCAGTATGGGACACTCCAACAGAAGGCACACAGGACTTTCATGGAGATGAAGATTTCCATTTTACATATGGACAGATTACTCCCAGAGGACAGGACCAGAATGAAACACTAGATGACATGACTAGCAAATGGATTGCCACAGAGCAGGCGATGCCTGCACCTGAGCCCATGAGACGTATTAGCTCTCAAAGCTCGTCCAGGAGTTCTAAGCACAGGACTGTCAAGGCCTCTTCACACAAGAGCCGTCCTCGCATACTCTCAACTGTGTCCCAAGGCCAACCCTTGCCTGATTTTGATATTACTGGCAATCCGTCAGTGGATGGATATCTTCTTCAGGATGACGCCCAGTCTGTGACTTCGTCCACCATGTACTACCCGTTGTCCATGAGTGTCGGCCTGCCCATGGACGGCTTACCTACAGATGGAATTTCGTATTCCCCCTCGCTGCTAGCGTCAGGTTTGGCGCACCAGCATATTGATCCTGTACACATGCAGTTGAAATTCGACCCAAGCGTCGCAGGTAATTCTCCCAGTGCTTCGTGGGGTTCTCTTAGCCCAGAGTCCCGCATCTCTTCGCCCGGAGTTCCCGAGGATACATGGTCTTCTTCAGTTCCCATAGGTTCGTCGCCAACACACACTAATGACTCTTCTCCAGTCATGGACGGCACGTCGCCTAGGTAAGTTTCCAAGTCTATATATCTCCGAATTCCATCTAACGTAGTATCATTGTAGCCTTGATCGCCAAATGGGCATGATGACCACTGATGATCTCAATGGACACATACTTGCGGAAGATATGTTCGCTCTACCACCCTCCTTTACCCGTCGTTCGAGTGGTGAGGGAGAATCTTCCGCCAGGGATCACCCCTTGTATAAGAATGCGTTCCCAAAGCCCGATGGACTTTTCCACTGTCCATGGGAGGGCCAGGCCAGCTGCAACCACAAGCCCGAGAAGCTCAAGTGCAACTATGAGTATGGCCCCTTCACTGTTGCAACCGTGTTTTATACAATCTAACTCTTAATGCCACAGCAAATTCGTTGACTCCCACCTCAAGCCATATCGATGCAAGGCAGAGGCTTGCGAGAATGCCCGATTCTCGTCTACCGCGTGTCTTTTGCGCCATGAACGAGAGGCACATGCCATGCACGGTCACGGCGATAAGCCTTATCTTTGCACATACGAAGGATGCGAACGTGCCATTCCAGGGAACGGATTTCCGCGCCAATGGAATCTAAGAGACCATATGCGTCGTGTACACAATGACAATGGCAACTCCCTTGCCGCACATACAGGTCCCTCTCAAACCAGCCACGCATCTTCGACTCATTCAGCCAAGGGTCGAAAGCGAAAGAGCAAGGACTCTGTGGACTCCAGCTCTAGTAGTCGCAAGCAGGCATCCAAGTCAGCTCAAGCAGCTGAAGCCGCCGCCGCTGCCAAGGCCGCTGAGCAACCTCTAATTGATGAATGGTACCAGCACCAAAAGGCCCTGCAAACGTACTTGCAGGCATACAACAGCCCGGATGCCTTCGATCATGTCCACACACTTGGTGATGCCACAGACCACATGGAAGCCATGGGAAAGATTTCAAAGAAATTGCTCCAGACCAAGAAGAGTGCTCGGGAGACGTATCGACGATCGTACGGACACCACACTGGGTAAATGAACTGGACATAATCACATCACTCGCCACTTCACTCGTTGCACACCCAACATCTTCGTTCTGCGATCAAGCGCCCAATGTGAGCTAACTCAGCCTTTGGGTTGCAAGTGCACATGATACCTATTCCTTCCTACCTGGCCTGTTGGCCGGATGTGGAAACTTGTAGCAGTGTCTCATCAGCGATGGTCGCTGAACCGAATGGATCGGTAGTAGACTAAGGACCACGGGACTACAGCCCCTTGCTGTAGAGCATTCTGGATTCAAACCAGGAAGCCCAAAGAAAGATGCCCCAGGCCCGGGGCGGGAAAACCGGAACCACAGGTCATCAATCGCTATCCGGGATCAGCGATAGTGACCTGCCTACTAGGAGAGGAACCAGCGCCGCGGTGGCAGCTGTATTTTTTGTCGTTGATTGCTGAGTGATATTCATCCTAGGAGGCCCAGAGATTCTTGACGTTTTTGCAATTGAACTATCGGTTGTGAGACCCATGGCTAAGCTAATGACAGCTATCTCGGTCGCTTCCGCTCTTTCGTGCTGGGGATTTTTCGTTTATTTATGATTTGCTTTGTTTATTTACAGGTCTGCATGCAAATGCGATATGGATGTTACTTGGACTGGGTGTTTACTCATATTGGTTTTGTTTGGAATGGCGTTTCTTGTTGGATTATGACATGAGCTAGTTTAGCTTTGCTGATTGAAAAAAAAAATTGTCCCTTATGTTATTGACCACAACCTGTGCAATGATGAGACACGCGCCTTTATATAATTATTCTTATAAATACCGACAAGTTTCCTCGTATAACACATTAACTGTGTCTTCATTTGAACGCATAAACAAGGGGGGCACTACCTCAGCGTAGCACCATTCTTCCCCCAGCATATCTCAGTAAAAGGATCATTGCACAATTAGAGAACTATGTATCTAGATAGAACTTGCTTGTAAATTTCTAGGATGCCGTGACGCAGCTCAAAGCACTTCGAGATGTCCGAATTTCGACAGCGCCACATTCAAACCTGGCGAGAGGGGCCGGGCGACATATATACGTGACGGCTCTGATGCGGTGAATGTGTAGTACTTGTGTCCGCAAATGAGGCAGAGGAACCTCGGAAGGACGTGTCCTTGCCGGTGTTGAGCAGCGAATGCATTCCTAAGCTGTCCTCCTCTCCATACAACGGGGGCGGCGGGAAATGTGAAGGTAGCACGCGGGATGCCTCGCGTCGCTTCTGGGTAAAGAAAGGCTTTGTAGCCGGGGCAGAGGCGCATATCTTGCCAAAGAGTCGGGTTAATTTGATGTCTCTAACGCATATCCATCTGTATTCGGGTTAAGAAAACGAGTACTTACGATCCCTAGGTGAAGTTCTATGAGGCTGGTGAGCCATACGTACCATGACCTCCACGTCTCATCATAGTCCGACGCATTTAGCAAGAGCCATGTGAAAACGGTCCTTGCAATACCTGCGGCGCTCGCGACTAGCCCGATACCAAAGAGACTAGCCACGATGACCCGCTGTCTGGGCGACAGCTGTATTCTCATTGCCGTCCGGATAGGAAGTAGCACTACAGCGAAATCCGTGACCGTGTTGATGATGCCCGCGGAGAAGATGTGAGCCTCCTCGTTAATACAGTTACCCTGCGCTCTGTGTAAAGTCCAGCCATATGATACCGGCCTGGCAATTTACCTGTAAGATGATCATTGACATTTGGCCGGTCGTTGCGGAGGATAGCTGACGTACCGGCACTGGAACGTTTCTACCATGATGAAGATGAAGCAGTTGGTGGTGATCAATACTGCCAGGGCTAAGACAATGGCGTTCTCGACTTTGTTATTCGAGGCTGTCGTTAAACGTCGGACCATTGCGAGCATGGATAGCTTGGTAAGGCTTGTTGCCAAGTCAAATAAGAATAGGTGCACCAACCTATACGATGTGAGCGGGATATTGACTCGACCAAGAGTTGAAAGGAACACAGTACGTAAGGACGAGATTCGATCTGTAGAATTTGGGTTCGACGTCCCATATATGGCGGCCCCATTGGAAATCTTCTTGTGTGATAATTCCAGTGACGGTGAATGCTGTCGCGGGTAACTATTCGTCCACCTTAGTGTGACCGCAAAACACTCTTTGTGGCCGAGGTGCCTAACGTACATATGCTAAGCAAATCAGTGCGTCGTCAAGGCCACATCCCTTAGTTAGTTGTTTGCGCGAGTATAGTCGAATAAGCAAAATGAGGGTGACAATTATTAAGAGTGACGACCCGACGACTCGCCCGACAGGCGCCCTCGACTCCGGGTTAATGTAGTTGGGCTTTGGCCAGCTGGCAATGACCTCGAGGGGAGGTATCCTCATTATATATATATTTATGACTGTTCTTGACCGCCCGTAAAGTAGAGAGAAAACTTGCAGTCACCGGAGTATGAGGATAGCTCCCACAAGTCTACGTCTCTAGTGAAGAGAGACCTAGTCGAGATTATCTGAGATATCACAATTGGGGAATGTTTATTATATCAACGCCATTCTAAACAAGGAATAGTCAACAGCCACGTTCTCTCATGTCTGGGCCAAGGAGAATATTATAGCATGCTGCATACGGCAAATCGTATCAAATACCAGGGGATAACCAAGTTGCAGCTCTTGCTTTCCATTGGCCGAGATGCATAGTCGAACCGTCAGAAACATCCCGAAGCACGCGTTGCGATCATTTCTGGGCGGCGATCATGCTTTCTACCGGAACGTGAGGAGAACTGAACCCGGTTTCGCGGGAGCTTCGAACTGAAGAGTTTCCCGCTTTGCATGAGAAGACGGACACAGTGGGTGGCCCTACTTCACTATTCGTGATCATTCCCTGCCCTAGTCCAGCACGAGCAGACCATATATGATACATCCTGTTTACGTTGTATTCGGGACTTAGCGAAGCGGGAAATGTTTCACGGGGTGTGAGTGAGGTGACGTTGATAATCGGATTGCAGTATAGGCTTGCTCTAGGTGGCTGTACAGCCAATTAGGTACTCTGTTAACTTCCTCAGCTGTGACCGTAGGTGCATAATAACGCATGTCTTTGACCTGGGCATGGAGCTGGCCGTGGCTTGACTGGGGGCTCTGGACCTCGAAGCTGCGAAGTTTTTTCGGATGGACGAGGTAATCTAACACGATAGGTATCATAAGAACTAGCGATGTAGCTAGTTGCGCTCAGACCTCTCCCGGCAAGGCTTGCCTCTGATGTGAATTGATGGCGTTGTGAGCACACTACGTATGGTTAGGTAGTTGGAAAGCCGTCGTCTCACAGCTACTTGACTTTAGCTGCGGGAGGCCATTTGACACTTTCCACAAAACTGCCAGATAGGCCTGTCCTTGGGCTTTCAAACGACGAAATCGCTGGTTATTCAACTCAAGGCCATGGATGGCCTTTCCTCTTTCGATATGGCATTGCGAGGTTCGTATGTATGTCTGTGGCTTGGCCGAGTTCTTCCTTGTGGCTCAACTTATCTCGACAACCCCTCTTCCCTTCTAGCACTAGCGCCTACGATAAGAGTGGGGCCCACACAAATAGTTTTGTGGGTGAGTTGGCTCAGTGTAGGTAAATTCAGTTTCACCACGAACCTGGCTTGGATATATCCTCTCCTCCCCAAATCATCAACGAACGCAGCAATCCACACCATTAGAGCCGTATCTATTGGAAGACTGTCAACATGTCTAAGATCACAGTCGGTTCGTACTCCCGCTCCCATGTAGCTTATCCACTACTGACTTCGCGACAGCCGGAGTGCGTTCCCAAATTGAGGAACTCCTCAACTACTCCCTCAACGAGAAGAAGCGAAACTTCCTCGAGACCGTTGAGCTTCAGATCGGCCTCAAGAACTATGACCCTCGTGCGTTGACCCGATAAACATATCCAAAGCTCGCCTAACACAATATAGAGCGTGACAAGCGTTTCAGCGGCACCATCAAGCTGCCCTCGGTCCCCCGGCCCAACATGAGCATCTGCATTCTCGGTGACCAGCACGATATTGACCGTGCCAAGCACGGTGGTGTCGATGCTATGTCTTCTGATGACTTGAAGAGTAAGTCTTTTCGAATCTAACCCCCAATTTCCAATACCTTTCCGTTCCTATTTTCCTGCCTCGTGTCTCGTAGGTGCGATGGCAGATTAGGATGGATGATCGAGGTTATGAAGCTTGGGGCAATGTGTGACTTTGTCTGGCAGCCACTAATTTGAACGTGTGATAGAGCTCAACAAGAACAAGAAGTTGATCAAGAAGCTTGCCCGCAAGTACGATGCATTCGTCGCATCTGAGGCCCTGATCAAGCAGATTCCCCGTCTCCTCGGTCCCGGTCTGTCCAAGGGTAAGCCTCAGCTCCTTCCATCTGTTACTTGCGTAAACTAACGCATTTCTTTACAGCTGGCAAGTTCCCTACACCAGTCTCTCACGCCGATGACCTCACTGGCAAGCTTAACGAGGTCAAGTCCACCATCAAGTTCCAGCTCAAGAAGGTGCTTTGCATGGGTGTCGCTGTCGGCAATGTCGGTATGACTCAGGACGAGCTGGTCGCCAACATTATGTTGGCCATCAACTACCTTGTCTCTCTTCTGAAGAAGGGCTGGCAGAACGTTGGTAGCCTTACTATCAAGGCTACCATGTCGCCTCCCCGACGTCTCTACTAAGCGGTTTTTCGCTACTGGAGGATGTAGTCTTAGTGGTGCTACGATCTATGACTTGTGGGCATGGAGCAGACACTAGATAGTGAATTATAACGAACCTCCAGAACATATTGATTGAAATTTGTGCTGTGATTGGACTCCACGTCAAACATCCGTAAATTACAGCTGCGTAGTATTATTGGGGTTTGCCATAGTCCTCACGCATGCGATACCTAGGACCTGTTTATGTGTTATTTGACTCCGCAAGACTTTGAAGCTCACCAACTGCCTCGGTCCAACGGTCGCGGTGCACAACCTTGAAGGACATTCAACCAAATGTAAAAGTGCCGAGTCGAAAATGGCACGAACTTTAACATGTCATGCATTCCATTAAATCATATTCGAGGTTGCTACAAGCAATTATCACGTTCTAAGTATTATGTACGAAGCACCCCACAGTCCCGAACCTGGAAGAGATGGCGTCGGCGGCTGGTTAGGAAGGATGCCTTATTGGTATTTTCTGGAGGAGGCCGGGAACGGAAGGAAACTCATTGAAAGAAATAAGAATAACCCTCAGCAAGCCGCCGTAGCGGAGCCTTCTTTGTAGAAATAAATTTAACATTTGACGATGATAGATTTATCCCATACTGATGATGAGGAAAGAAAAGAAGAGAAAACAGGAAGGAAAATTTGGAAGGCTAAACGCGGATTTATACACCCTAGTGCGGGGGCGCTGCGATTGGCTGGCTGGTGGGGGACGAGCTTTTTTTTTTTTTCTCTCCTTTGCCGTGTGGCTTGTGTGTAGGCAATGTGGCTGGAATCTGTATGGTGGTAGGTACCTAGGTACCTAATTTCCTGTAGTACTACATAACACATAGGTACGCTACCTGTAGTTAGGTAAGGAGAAAGATGAGACATAGCTTGAATTTGTTGTCATTGTCTCGTTGTTCAGGTTCTATTCTATTCATAGATAGATATTTAAACCCCCACTCTATCCAAACATTCTAACCTAGAACCTGACTTTCGGCATATTCTCTATGGGACGTACTCTTTTCTATAGCTTGATATAACACGATGCCTTTCTCATCATGCTGGGAGGATTAGATCTTTGGCGAAGCACTCAAGTATCCATCAAGGACAGCTGCCATCAACCGATTCGCAATGGCAGTTTGGGGCGGTATGCGCAGTTTTCGTTTCTCGGACACCGGGTCTCCAAACCCAACGGAGCTGACACTCATCGCTTCCCTGACTTCATCGAATGTGTACCACTTGGCGTCTTCGAGCTCCGGGTCGTTTCCCAGATTAATAGTCTCGCCATTCGGTGCGGCTTGGCCTATCGCGCCGATCATTAAGTTGGCTGGATACGGCCAGGGCTGGGAGCTGTGAATAACAACTCTCGACACATGAACACCGCTTTCCTCCCACGTCTCGCGGCGTACCGCTTCCTCGATCGACTCCCCGGGCTCCAGGAAACCTGCGAGTGTGCTATACCACCCGGGAGGATACCTCTTCCCTCGGCCGAGGAGCAGCTTTGTGCCGTCGGCTGACACAATCGCCATAATCACTGTGGGGTCCGTTCGTGGGAAGCTGAGATTACTGATGCCGTGTCTTGTAGGGCAGTCTGCGCGTTGCTTGGGCTCGCCACCCTCGGGAACCCCCGCGAGATCTGTGGGTGGACATACTCGCTTCGTGCCCGCGTTGATGGACATGGTCCGTTCACCGCAGCCACCACAGAAAGGATTCCGTGCATTCCAGTCCAGCAGTGCACGTGCTTGGGCATAGATTGCAGCTATTGTAACCATCAGTGTCGCCCAATATAGTTAGGCATGGGACCGATGCTGCGCGTACCTTCAGGGGCATTCAAGGTAAGGAGCCTAGCTCCCGGGATGAACGATACTCCATGCTTCGCCTTGACGGCTTCAATCACACCCTTCGCTTTCTCTTCAATTGACCCCTTGGGCGTGACGTCAACGGCAAAGTAAGGGTTGCCCTTATAGTCGCGGTACTCAAAGCCAGTCTTCTTCTCATCAAGACCGAGAAATAATATAATAGGCTGAGTAATGGCGGAGTTGAAGCCCTTGATCTGCTCCTCTTCAGCCTTTTTAAAAGGCTCCAGGCCAGTCAAGGGCGCAATGTCTTCTTTGTTGACGTAGGCGAGCGTAGTAGTGTCCTTAGCCAGTGGCGAGTAGTTATCTAGGAGCAAGAAGCATGTTGATGGATGAGCAAATGCTGCGTTCAAAAAGGCGTGATCTGCCCGCAAGAATGACACTCGGTTCAGCGGGCTACCAGAAAAGTAATTAGCGACTTCGCGGCCGAACTTGCGTGACAACATAGAGTCGTCTGTGGCTAGAAGCGGCAGGTCCGGGATTGCCGTGCTCATCACCGCGATATTTCGAGGTTTCCTGCTTGAAATGGGGTTTCTCACTAGTTCCTAGTGAGGTCTTGCGCTACTGTAAGTAACTTGTCTGGACGACGTATGAACAGCCGGAGATATAGCCGATCGATGAGTCAATCAGATAAGCAAATGCTACTGTGGAAGACCAAGACCGTGGAGCTCAAGAGACGACTGGGAAAGAGCGCAAAACGAATCGAAGTAGTTCATATATGGCGTCCATAAGCAGGAGAACGATTAGTGTAGATGGACGTTGGGCATATTCCATTTTGGGTCGCGTTTATATCCGACGGCCTCCTCCTGCTAAGTGGATTTACCTGGGTGGGGGGCCTTCTCACGATACGAATCATATACCATCGCCAAATGGATTACCAATCCACCACGAGGAATCACCTCCATACACACATATCTCACAAGCTGATACTGGTCGTACTGTTGCAAGTACACATAGAATATCCCGCAGCATATTATCTCCGTGCGGTACAAATGACCACATGGAACATCGCAGGCCAGAGGCCATGTTGATTCAGGTACAATCACGACCACCAATTGATTAACTCGGTTGACAAAGACATTTGCGTGTATTGGAGCGCGGCAACAGCACAATGCATGATCATATAATCCTTCTGGTCTTGCCACCGAAACACCGAGGAATACTAATATCTATCTAGTGCATCTAACAGATGGCGATGCCGACATCCAGCCGGTAGGCCTACCTGTCAGCCTGAGACACGGGCCAATGTAGGTATATGCACATACTATGTAAGAGGACTGGGCTACACACGAGGCATTCGAGGCATTCTCTTACCCAGGCCAGATCCCTAGACGTCTTGTCTCGTCTTGACAGTCCCTCAGTCGGTCAGTTAAAAGAGGTTCCCCGCAATCAGCACGCAACCAACCTGGACCTGGGGCAGCCAGGACTAGCCAGGATTAGTCCGGGACAAGAGGTAGTGCGTCATATAGTATGATGTAGGCTGACATGGGCTACTGATCTCTGGACTCCTTGCCGTGTTTGGAGTAGCTGATCGAATCTAGATGGAACAACTGACCATTCTTAGCTCGCAACTAGCGAATGTAGAGAAAATTCCTTGAGCCTAGCAGCTGTAGATAGCCTTGTTGGGTGTTTTCCCGAGGCAGCTTTTCTAGAATTTGCATGGTGTTATTTTTAACTTTAGGGCTAGGTGATGACGGGCATCATCGCAAAGTCCCATGTCCTGCCTCCATCCAGACGATCTCTTCATCCATCCTCTCCTGGCCATCAATCTGTACAATTCATGAGCAAATTTGGGCTCGTGGTATTATTTGCAGGCTATCTGGGTTACATTGTACCGCAACAGCGAGGCATGTTTTCTGTTTAACATTGAGGGCCGCGCTCTAAACGTCTTCATCTTAACTTATACTATTACTATTATTATTTTATCAATTGCCAAGATGGCGCCTCCCACCGCGCCTCTGCATTTGGATGTCGAGGCGATATCAGGTATATGCGGGTAAGATAATTCATTGCTTTCCCTCATGGATGGAAACCTGATAACCCCATCATCGGCTCTGTCTTTTACTATCGTAACGTTCACTGACACTCGTCTTTCCTCGACTCAGATCCATCTCCCTGGTCGCTTGGGTTATAGTTTTCTCCCCACAGATCATAGAGAATTTTAGACGGAGCTCCGCCGACGGTCTTTCGGTTCAATTCATCATTGCCTGGCTACTGGGCGACGTATTTAATGTGCTCGGCGCCCTTTTCCAGGGTGTTTTGCCGACAATGCTTATTCTCGCCATATACTATACTATTGCCGACGTCGTTCTCCTAGGGCAATGCTTCTACTACAAGGGGTTTACGTGGAGGGACGACGCCGCGCCGCCGCCGAAACCCTCTAATAACGGTCATGCGAACGGCGGTACACCAACGGAGAGGTCTGCGCTTCTGACCGATCACTTCGCCGAACGCGAAAGAAGAGGCAGTGGGTGGTCGCATCTTTCCCCAGCGGTACCGATGATGCCTGAACAACTTGCTACCCCTTTACCGACCCCCACGAGGTGGCAGTCTTTCCTGTGGAACTCTGTAGCTATCCTAATGGTCTGTGCAGCCGGCGTGGCCGGCTGGTTTCTAAGCAGAGGATACACGAGTGGCAAACCCGCCATACCTGCGGATGACTACCCTGTGCTCGATCTCTGGGGACAGATATTTGGATGGCTGTGTGCTGTGCTATACCTGGGGTCTCGACTGCCCCAGCTCCTCCTAAACTTCCGTCGCAAGTCCACTGAGGGCATCAGCGTCCTCTTCTTTCTTTTCGCCTGCCTCGGCAACCTCACCTATGTCCTAAGCATCTTCGCCTACGAGCCCGTGTGCCGCAAGGCAGAATGCGAACCTGCCGAAGCACGTCAGATATATGCCAAGTATCTGCTCGTCAATGCGTCTTGGTTGGCTGGAAGCCTTGGCACTTTGCTCCTTGACTTGAGCATTTTTGCGCAGTTCTTTATTTACGACCAAGATGAATCGGAGAGGAATAGGAACGAGGCTGTAGATGACGGGGAGAACGAGAATGATAGTCTGTGGGACCACCGCCCCTTGCTGGAACGCGCTGGGTCTGGGCCATGCTGAGAATTTTTCGCTCTGTACAAACTGTTCGCATTGTTGGTCACGGAAAATTGGGTAGGTTGGGGGTTAGGTACTATAAAAGTTTAGGTTTTTTTTAGGTGCATGTTCGGTCGTAAAGATATCAGAGTACGCGTTGACTCTGTTGTACTGTATAATAGACAAGCTCTATCCATACCTACTTGTCATCTTCATTGAGCTAATGTAATGTTATTTTCGCCAGGCATTGTGATAAACCCTCTCAAGGCGGTCTAAACTTTGAGCTTGGGGTATGCATGGTCATTTCATAGGGTTGTGAAGAGGCACGCGGAACATGTCGTAGGTCCTATTGAGGCAAATGGATTAGATAAACATGCATAATACGGTACAATGTCTGAAACAAGCAGAGTAGGTGTGTATATCTGAATGGCCTATCTTTCTATTCCTCGGGTACTAATATCATCTATGAGCAAACGCGCCGTCAAGCTCACGGACCAGATACATCGTCAGAGTTCACAATGGGCATATTGACAAACTTTCCCCATTGATATTGCAACAATGTTGAATAGGGCAAAGTCTATTGAGCCACAATGGCCATTGATGCTATCGATACTGAGAATGGAATACTGGCTACATTTGTACAATGTTGGCTCTTGTATTGTGAGTGTGCATCTCTTTACAGACAATTCCTATATATATCTCAATGATAGACACAACGATCGATAGCTTTGTCTTCTTGACTCTTTTCTTATGATCCTCTAGCAACCAAGTATCTGTCACAATTCAATCCTCTTCTTCGTCATCGTAAACTGAGTCTTGCTCACACTTTTTTTCAAGGCTTCGCTATATCCCAGACTCCTAACAATGTGTATCAAGGAGCCCGTCAAGCTGCACGCAAGAGCCATGAAAAAATGGATCTCTCGCGTGCCAGATCGTCTAAGCCGAGGCATTCGGACTGTCATGAAGCTTGGAAAATCCAAGGATTGCAGCCACCACCAGCAGCACTCTGATTCCTTCGGTCCTTTGAAAACTACTGAATCTGCTAAGACCCTTCATCGTCGCCGGTCGAAAAAATCTAAGAGCCAAGATCAACATGAAACAGCGAGCTTTGAAGACGACACGCCTGCTGAACGAGATGATCATTCAACCTTGGAGGATGAACCTCTTTTGTCCAAGAACCACCAGGTGGTAATGGTACACACGTCAAACGAAGACAAACATTCGATCCACATCGTTCATTCAAACCCAGCTGGGACACGACCTCAAAGCGATGACTGGTTCATGATAAACACCCTTCCATTCCCAGATGAAGACAACACGCCTGCTAAACAAGGTAATCATTCAGCCTTAGAGGATGAACCTCTTTTGCCCCAGAACCACCAGGTGGTAATGGTACACACGTCAAACGAAGACAAACATTCGATCCACATCGTTCATTCGAACCCAGCTGGGACACGACCTCAAAGTGATGACTGGTTCATGATAAACACCCTCCCATTCCCATATGAAGACGGGATATGCGCCGAGACTGATTCTATCATCGATGATGTGAGGACATCTTTTGAAAGCGACATATCTGAAGGCCCTTTCGGAGACCGCAATATTAGTATTTGGGAGTGGGAGTGGGATAAGCAGGATGAACAACAGGATGAACAACAGGATGAACAACAGGATGAACAACAGGATGAACAACAGGATGAACAACAGGATGAACAACAGGATGAACAACAGGAGGAACAACAGGAGGAACAACAGGAGGAACAACAGGAGGAACAACAGGAGGAACAACAGGAGGAACAACAGGAGGAACAACAGGATGGACAGAACACACAACACGGACCTGACACCGATCAGTATATCAATTACTCGAGTTATGATGCGCATTATGACATGGAGTTGAAAATTGCCATCATCGAACAAGCCCGCCGCTTTCCTGCGCACCACCTTGTTGCTAGCAGAGACGCGCTATTCTCTTCTCTTCACTCAAGATGAGGCGGAAGGGTAAAAAGAAAGGGTGCTTATGTTCGTGGGATATGCACAAGCTACGCGGCGAGACTATCGAGAAGGGAATTAGAAAGCGTGGGCCATAGGTGCTGGTGAAGGAATAACTTGATGATGGAGATTTTTTTTTTTTTGAGCGCTGCCTTTCATTCCGCGGCGAGCTGAACTCGGGCACTGGTAGAAGGTATGAGGTAGGGGCTGGCCATCATAATGGCCGTTGAGATGATGTTGACTCTTATCGAGTCGGGAGCTAGCTAGGGCTAGCATTACAGTGCTTCTATCTCCCAAGATGCATACATGAATGGTCCGGCTCCTTTGTAGTCGTTAACGGCCAGAGGCACGGAAATCTAGTACTACGGAATGTTAGTCTTCTTATCAACGTCAATAAATATCTTTGCATTGAAACCCACCTCAAATGAACCGTTGCTGCTGAGAGAACCAACCTCAACTGTTCCTTGTCAGTCGACAGTCCCGTCATTATTCTCAGTGACGAACTCGCTAGCCAACAAATCGTAGCCTTTTAGTGCAGCTGCGAGATATTTATCGCTATCCAACAAGCCAAACCTGATGCCCTTTAGGAAACCATAGGTGAACATAGCCGACCCGCTGCTTTCAATGTAATTTCCCTGCGCACCGATATACGGCTCGCTCATGATCAACCACCACCCACCCGACTCGTCCTGTGTTCTCAACAAAGCAGTAGCGAGGGTCGTGAAGTAGCCGATGAGCGTTTCTCGTGCTGGATGAGTCTCGGGCCAAACCGGGATCACCTCCAACAACGACATGAAGTACCAGCCATCGGCTCTATTCCATACTAGTGGTGCACCGCCCGTCACAGGGTCAGCCCACACAGCCGCCTTGCTCTCGTCGTAGCCGTGAACTAGGAGACCGGACGTCGCATTCCGCGTATGGGCCTCAATGTTGTCGTATTGGAGGGCAATGTCGTCCCATGCCGTCGTATTACCGTTATCAAAGGCCTTGGTAAATTTCGCATAGAACGAATCGGCCATGAAAACTACAGCACTTTACGTCAGTATTCAGGGGCGCGCGCCGAAAGTCTGGTGCCTGTAACACTTCATACTAAACTCAAAGCAAATTTATGCATTCCACAGTCTTGGGGATATGAAAATAATAAGGATCGATACAGGAATTCACTCACTGCCATCCAGCCACATCTGGTTGGGATACTCGGGGTTACGGTGCCAGAAACCTCCAGTCACTGTTCTCGGGTGTCGGTTGATTTGCTCCCGGATGATGAACGCTGCGTCCTTATACTTCTTCTCACCCGTTGTCTCATAAAAGAAGAGAAGGTTGTTGCCCATCCGATAATTGTCAAGAGAGTACTTCTCGTAGTCCCAACCTTCGATAGTACCGTCGTCAAGTATGAGCTGGTCGATTTGGCCGCGATACCATGAGAGATACTTTTCTTCACCCGTGAAGTTATATGCTAGCTGGATCCCATCATAGAGCACCATATAACTATAGTTAATAGAAGAAGACACCCCACGCGCGATGAAAGAGTCGGCCATGATGGCCAGAGGTGTGGCCACGGCCGCTCCGGCCTCAAGTAATGGCAAAATAAGCTTCATAATTGCCATATAGTTGCAATTAGGAATAGAAAGCAATAGAAACGCATTGCTCGTAATTCGTGGCCCTCATATATCCCATTTCGCGTTGTCGCTAAGCTACTCGGCATGTTGTAGGTAAACATGTAAGTTGGGGAACATGTATACATTGAATAACCTATGGAATTAACGTCCCAAGTACCGCTTGTTGATGCTACATCTAGGCTAGCAAGGTTCTATAACAGGAAAATGTCTTGCTGATAGTCGGCGCGGTACAAAATACCAGTACGAGGCTGCATTCGCTTATGATCTAATGGGTGGAAAAACACACCCGCTCCACTCAGTTTCCGGGGAGTCTATTTTCCCGTTAGATCAGTTGGGACTCGGACAGGCCAAGGTGACTAAGGATATTGTCATTTATAATGTGACAACGCAGATTCGCACGCAAAGGCCTCTTCCACGAAGCGCTCGCTAGATCTCATGCAAGCTGATTGCGAATGCCCCACGGAGATATGCTAGGTTGAACGCCCTCGATCGTGAATATTACGTATGTGACAATTGGTGGGATTTTTCACTGGCCAGAACCACAGTGTCCTTGATATGAAAGGTGAATGGGCAAGCGGGAAAACGCAACCAAAAGAACGAACACTGTTGAGTCTCGGCGAATCCACATCGCTAGGGTGTGTCTCTGTATCACGGCGGATAATACTGTCAGTATAGTGATTTATTCATTGTAATCGATATTTAAGTAACTTATGCAGCCTTTTGCACGACAAAAAGTGGCTGATGAGAGCATAAAATACACTTGCACCTAGTGATCGTAACCGAAATCGTTATACTTTTGTACGTTATAGGAAGCCTGTAGGTTGAGGTTGTGTACTAAGGTCGCTCAGCTCTGTTTCCTCATCATCAATGAATCTGTCGTCCCCTTCGAATGATACTGGGGAGCTAACGTCTAACCTAGAAACCTGGGCCCTGCATCGCGCCCAGAAGCGTTTGATCCATAGCATGCGATAAGTTCTTGCAGGCGTCGGTAATTGCGATGCACATTTCTGCCCTCGGAGGGCCAGATCTCTCTTCCTATCGGACCTCTTCAGAAGAAACCATAGGACTAGACCAAGCGATAGGTAAAAGAAACCAATTGTGAAGCCCCAGCTACGCGTGTCAACTGGCCATGGCAACACCTCGTCTTGCATACTATATAAGGCCGAGGTTACCGCAGGAGGCGAGACGAGCTTGGCAGTGATGAATTAGCACATTTTGATATAACATACACGAGGAAGTGGGATAGAGACGCCTACGAATGCGAGAAATGTGATAGCTTTGACACTTTCGTTCGTCCGGGTTTGAATCATCGTGACATTTCGATCCTCGAGCGCAATATACGCTTCTAGCTAGAGCCTCAATCATATATTAGCTTTCTGTCTCCCTGCGTGTACCAGGAAGCTTTCGAAATAAGGATATCCCAACTGTGCTAGATTGGTGTCCACCATACCTCACGGGAAATATTATTGCACACCTTCTCTAAGTGCTGTAAAGTTTGCAGCTGGTCTTTCATCTCCTCGACATGCTTTGCGATCACGGCGAGGCACAGGGATGGCATTATTGTGTCCTTGTGAAACGCATTGTCATCTTGGAAGAACCCACAGTCCTGGCTCTGAAACCTGTCGCAGGCGTGTAAGGTCTTCGATAAGATATGGATTAGGTCCATTACAAGTCGAACTGTACTTCCCGTCCAGTCATGGAAACGCCTCAACCGCTCTCCCCGGCCTTCTATATCTGAAGATAGATAGACAACCTGGGGGATCTGGTAGTCTTGTATCTGTAATTGTCTTAGTATGCATCAGAACTCCATAGGGAGCCGGCAAGGTTCTTGAATATCTGGAACCGCACCTACATAAGCACGCGTTTTCTTCTGGAGCATAAAAACGGAATTCGCCCATTCTTCTTTGACCTCCTCGATTCTGAGCTCCAGTACTCGCAAAAAATATAGGCGAGGGCTCCAAATAGGACGGTTCGCACGAAGCATCCCGCCACTTAGCGGGTCCACTGCAACACTCAGGATCAGTAATTGCAATCTTGTCTATGGTCTGTGGGTATTTCAGAATCACAGGGAATCAATCATTCATGATTTTAATCAGGGAACCAGCTTTTATGCTCAAGATAACCACAATGGAGAGAGATTAACGTGAGGGTAGCTTACTGGGATAGTGTCCCGGCGTGTTAGATGTCTCATGATACTCTTTGACGCTCCCTTTACTCTCGGGGCCATTATGATATGTGTCAACAAAACCATATCCGATATAAGAGGAGTCATCTAGCCCAGCCACAAGACATGATATCTGAGCCTCATAGATGCAGTCCTCGGCCTCTTCCTCGCAATTGCCCCATGGGGTCTCGTTAAGGAATCCTAGGCGCTGACTGCGTCTCAAGGACCGTCCATCGTTCATGCGTCGCTCGTCCTGGAAATATAGCGGGCCCTTTCTCCAAGCATAATATGGGAAGTGAAATGCAAAAGCAAAGCTCTTGAAGGAGGTAAACTAGATTATGTATCAGTTTATGACATGCTTCTAAATAATTGATCAGGTGAGGACATGTCGTACTGGGATTGTCACTCCTATACTTGGCGCAAAAGCAAGGTGGTTGTATATAAAATCGCGAAGAAAGTATGCTTGTTGACTAGACGCAGTCTCAAGTAGAACAAGGATAGTGTAACGGTTAAGGTCAGTTATATAGCTATAGACAATTAGTTGATATTTCGAAGCATTACAGATAAGTTTGCGCTGACATCAATCGCCTCTCAGCATCGGGCTCTGTTGTGGGAACACTACCACCTATTGCTGTGCCTGTACTGGGCGTTCCGGTGTTTGTCGTGCTATATCTCTAGTTCAAATGAGCTTCAAGTTTAGGTTTGGTAATTTGACTACTTCAAACTGTGACCATACCGGTTTCTTTAGTTCCATATGCAAATGCTTCGGATCGAGGGGCCCTTTTTGCGTACGACAGATTCCTGTCTCCTTGATCATATCAACCAGGTCCGCTTTCCTGTCGTCCAGAAGAGCAATTGGTTGCACAGCCAAGCCAGAAGAGGCATTTAGCAGTGCATCAATACTCAAGTTACCGCAAAAACTCTCAATACGGTCAGCCCGGTACTTTAACCGCTTGAGTCAGTAATTACTCTTCCAGAAAAAAAGATTGAGAGGTCTGCATTCTCCCGAGACACATTTGTGCTCTAATAGGCAAGCAAGTATGGCCTTTGGGGTAACTAGAACAGGAAGAAAATGAGTCCAATGGTTACATACGACAAGACGCTGGGAGTCACGGGAATCTTTCATGGCCATCCGGATAAAGGAACCTCTGTGACCAGAGATCTCATGCAAGTGACGAAAGTGCGCTTTATTCTCTAAAAGATATGTGCGAGCTGGTTTGCGTCGTCCAAAGTCGACCTCCCAAGAGCGCAGTGCCATCTTGCTGGGGCTGAAAAGCTAACGGCTTTCTCTCATAAATCATACAGCACGCGTCTGAATCGCATTTCTGGGTAGCGCTCTTTGTTTGGACGGTTTCGTGACGACAGAAGCCACATAAAATATGATTGCAAGTTTGGCAATACTGGGTTACTCTCAAGTCCCACGGGCCCTCGGCACAGTTACACTAGGTATCTTAGTAAAGATTCATATAGGTCTAGTTTGAGTAGGCGACCTACACAATAGAGGACGGTAACATAACCCTAGTATTACTAGATCAGTACTACTGGGAGAGGAGGTAGAATAATGAGTATTAGTTAGCGTACCATGATGGCTACAGACGAGCGCGAACGAAAGGAAAAGGATGAAGAGCAGCCTGTAATTACAGCCTGGCGAGTGGCAGTGATTATCGCCGATGAGAATAAGGGTGGCAGTGGAGGCGGAGTGAAGATGAGGCGGCCAAAATGCACTTGCGTGATAGAATGACGACCTGGCGCATCTGCGTGGTGTGTTGCCTTTCCTTTATGCACATGCAGTGGAACTTGAGATAGACAGAGCAGGAGAGAGATGGAGAGAATATAAGGCTTCATCGAGGCCCTAAAGGGTAAGTAGGTATTTATGCACGGTACTCCCTGGCGAGAGGCAAGGAACTCCGAAAGACGCAAGGGAGATGCCGATGCGTAGGCAGTCTATCGAAATGCCGCAAGCTGACACGGAAAATGCCTGGAATGCAGGACTACCTAAGCCCCATCACATCACCCCATGATTTGTGGTGATACCTATTACTACCCAATCCGTCTGGGCACTTTATGCTGAGCGGTCCTCTGTCAGCTGTGACGAACTGGCGATCCGGCATTAGTCAGAGTTGGAACGAGCACATGCAATAAATTCCATAACACATCGTACCAAGAAGCTACCGAGTTCAAGAACAATACCTATGCAACGGTTATTGAAACTTCAACATACCACATCATTCAAACCCCCAAGTAGAGGTATATAAATCGCCAATTATATGACGAAACCCCTGCCCACCACCCAGTCCGTCTAGCATCGTCTCCAATTTATCCCAACTATCATGATATTCTATTTCTGAATGGATGCCACCTAACTAGCTGCTTAAGATCGTGTTTGCGTAATTATGTTTGTGTAGTTGTGTTTGTGTGTTTGCATTACATCAGTTGACTGCCTAGGTTTCCCTGTCGAATATCTGCCTTGGTATTATAGCCTAATAGGAAAGCCAATGTCTAGTATTTGTACACTTGCCGTCGTTCTGTTACAGTACCATATAGTTGAGTGTAGCGATGCAGCGTCTCGACCTGATAACTTTGCTTACCTTTTGGTAGCGTAACGGTTATAGTACTACACCCCTATATTCCTGTTCCGTGACAGTTCTTCCCTCTTTCTTCATTAAGGACTCTGGGCTCAGCTCATGATGAAATCGGTCAGCAACATGGAGGATTCAGACCGAAAAGCTTCGAATTTAAGAATGGGAGTAGGCTTATGACTAGCTTCTTCGCAACTTTGCTCTCGGAGGGTTGCATTGGCATAGAATATTGTGTTGATTGAATACGTTATAGGATCTATTCCGATCTTATTCCTGCCACTTTCTAGGAAGCTTAAATGTCAATGAGCAATGGGAAATATAATACAAGCACCAACCGATTCTAGCCGAACAACTTCGGTCATACGTGTCTACAACAGCATAAAGATACTCGGTTGAGTTTGAAGGGTGGCGATATAAGGCATATCGTTACAGTATTGCTGGGCTTGGCCTGGTCTCCAACCAGAGCGGTGGTACATATAACATCCAGTATCACGAGATTTATAAATGTATGCATTGCTAGATGGCCATCTCCAGTCACTGGAGGGCCGAGAGGTTTCTGACAATGCAACAGCTTACATAACGGAGTTAACACTGCAAGAACTCGTTGCAATTTATCAATTTGGTCGAGACACCGGCGCATACTTGCCCCTGAGCTCTCTCAAAAGCTCCTACCGTGATCACTGGCAGGAGCATCGAGATACCTACAGTGGCTGGTGATAAGCATTCAAGACCATTAGCTCATGATAATCTTACAGAATTCGTATGACGTACCCTTGCTGACGCAAGATATTGACACACATTGAGGCTAGCAATGTCAACTTGGTTGTGACTATCGACCTTGGCTTCTACAACCCGAAAGCTTTGAGTGAAACTCCATACTAATGTACTCTAATCTAAGTAAACCCTTGTGTTACTACAGCGGTCAAAAAAATACGAAGATGAAGCAAAACATACAACACCAGGGATTCGCTGGTCGTCACCGACCCAACTACTGGTCTGGCGGTATCTAGCTTGGCTCTGGGGGAGCGGACGGGACCCCGCGTTTTCTAGATCCTATGGTCGTATGTGCTTGAAGTTGTTGTCAGTTCTGATTATATTCTAGATCGGTTTAGGGAGAGAGAACAATGGGCTTGGGTGGACTATCCCAGAAAGGATAACAGGTCATTTGCTATTGTATTTTCGAACTCGTACTAGGGTGTATCTGATACCTTTCCTTAACTCATTCATATCTGGCTGGAGGGGCTGAAGTATTGCTCATGTAGTACTACGTTGACGGTTTCTGCATATCTTCCGACCAGTGCTAGAGAAAGCGCCATCACAGCAAAGAACACCGACTTATACCACTTGGACCAGCAGAACTCGAAAAATTTGGTGTAAAGATTGATGCCGAGGAAGGTCAGTCCGAAGCCTTTCGTAGTAGAATCCCCGTATCGCAAGCCGTGCCAGATAGCTGCTGTAGCGGCGCAGAGAAACCCAATCGACCAGATCGCGACCCTGCCCATGCCGCCATGGGTCAGGACATTGTCTCCACGTAACTTATCGTTCCCAAATAGTGAAAGTATCCAAAGTGCAATGAATAGGTAGAGCATCCCCCAGGTTCGCGTTGGCGACCATAGTGTAGCTATGAGGGATAAATTGCGCATGTAACCAGACACAGCGATGAGCCCCGCGCCAAAGAGAACAAACCGCAGTGGGTAGTTCATGCCAAGATAGTACGTTCCGCTGCCATAGGCGGTCCAAGTTCCAAACCAGATGCCGAAGACAATCATACCGCAAGACCAGATGAACGTCGACTGCACCAGCGCGGCAGAGACCCCATAGACAAGGGCTAGCGATAGTACGATGTTGTGGAAGATATGCACGTTCTCTTTCTTATCCGCTTCTAGGGCGGTGACGAGTTGCACTGCCGTGAGACCAAAAAGCAGAGCGCCGAGACTATGAATCGCCTCATTGGAATAGAGCTGTTTCGGCGCCACCAGAGATCGTTGATACCCCCATATATGTGTCACGATGGCGAGAGCGCTGGTGACAGCGATGCGCACAGGCGACGGCAGTGCTAAGATACGCTTGATGATTTTCGGCACGACATCGTCAAATATGAGACTGAGAATGGCGATGGTTAAGCAAATGACGGCCAATCTGAAGGTGTACTTGGCGAACTTGTCCCAATCGAAGCTATGGTGTTGTTCCTCCACGACCTGGACGGTCGCTAGAAGATCGTTGAGGAGATTTGATGGGACGAGTTTGGAGCTTAACCAATAATGCAGCGCCTTCCGAACTGCGTCGGCTTCAATGGTCGTGAGCTCAAGCTGTCGGTTGTTGTTTGGAGATGCCATCACAATTGGAAGGTGTATATCAAAGATTGGGGTGTTATTGGGAGCGCCAAAGTTGAGCGGTCATCTAAAATAAAAAGATACAAAACAAACTGTGTGATCATGCCTTACGACGCCTGTAAGTACGGATTACCTGAGGAAAAAAGCCTGCTTGAGTGATGCCTAATGCTCCCTTGCGGCCCTTTCTGGCGGCAGAGCTAGATACTGGAAATTCGCCTTGTCGTCCCTAGGCAGAATCCGTTGGCACATTTTAGCGCTAATAGCAGCCAATTTTCACGAGGAAAAAAACTAAGAGTAATTTCAAAGCAACTAGCTCTTGACGCCATCTCAAAATGAGGCATTAATAGTATTGGAAGAAGTCGTTGCTGTCATTTGGCTTTCTGGCTTTGACATAAAGTGCTACCACCTTGATGTTGAAAGGACCTCGGCATTTAATCCTAGAACCCGATGCTTAGTCGGGACAGCATACCTTATGCCGCAGACAATTAGATAGATGTCCCCTTGAGTTGCACATTTGTCAAGGAACGCGAATCACGAAAGTAAGCAAAGATATTTTACGTGACAACATAATTGAAGGACAGTCCAAGGACTAAACCAACTGGCGGCTGTGTGCCGGGTGCCGTGGGTTTTACTATGTAGGTACCCACCGATACCCAAAAATAATTCACCGTGATCCGCTGGCTTATAAGTCTATGGTCTTAAGCATATCGAATACGTTTTAGGAAGCAAATCTCGAAAAGCCATAGATAGAAAGGCAAGCCATGGATAGCCCGTTCTCCCACGAGCTGCAAATAGCGATTCGCGCGGTGCAGTCAGCAGCCAAGATCAGTCAATGGGTTCTATCGTCCGACGACAAAGGCACCGTCGAGAAAGATGACCTGAGCCCCGTTACCATTGCCGATTTCGCCATCCAGGCCCTCTTGACAAGCACCGTATATGCCATTTTCCCGGATGATAAGTTCGTCGGGGAAGAGTCGGCCGCAGAGCTTCGGGACAACCCACTTCTTCTAAACCGTGTCTGGGAGCTTCTTCTCCGACTGCAGGATGACGAAGCCAGGTCTTTGTGTAAACTGCCCCGGTCGCCTGAAGAAATGTGCGAAATGATAGACAGGTGCGGCTTTGGCGAGCCTGGTGGCTCGGAATCTGGCCGAATTTGGGGTACGTAGTGAAACCTCCCCATATGCATCAGGCTGATGTCCTGGTCTTTCTGTTTATCAGATTCGAAGGAGATGATTGAATTTTATTGGTCTCGACTAATCCAGCCTTAATCACGTAGTCTTCGACCCTATCGATGGGACCAAGACTTTTGTACGGCGTGAAGCATATGCCATCAACGTCGCGCTTCTTGAGGGTGGCAAGCAAGTTCTCAGCGTTGTCGGCTGCCCAACACTGCCGGCAAACGCCACTGGGTGTATTGACAACACTACCTTTGACCCAACGGGGTCTATTGTCTTTGCCGTGAAAGGTCATGGAACCTACATTCGTGCCCTTGTTGAGACAGCGGGCGAGGACATCTTGGTCCGAAGAATCGAGCCATTCGCGGCATCTATGTCTCTTGCAGACTTGCGCCCTGTCTCATGCTACCATATGTTAGACTCTGGAGTAGACGAAGCACATGAGGCGATTTTTACTAGACTTGGCATCACTACCAGGGGCTGCGACTTCCTTGCCTGGGTCCTACGCTGGGTCACGCTTGGGATCGGTCTAGCAAACATCACAGTTTGGGTGTACAGGAAACGTGAACGGACCGGTAAAGTTTGGGATCACGCTGGGGCCATGTTACTCTTCGAGGAAATTGGTGGCAAGATCACAGATGTAGATGGGAAAGACATTGACTTGACTGCAGGGCGTAAGTTGACTGGAAATCATGGTTTCGTCGCTGCGCCAAGGGGCGTGCATGATATAGTTCTGAAGACGGTGCACGACGTGCTCTATGAACAAGGCAAAGCAAACCTTCTGGCTTAGTTCCTTTGTCCCTGACATGACATAGCATTCGTAAAGTTATGGCCTCTAGACGAGAGTTGTCTAAATATTTAGAAATGAAGCTACTGCACAACTGACCTAGAGTAACAGCTGAAACTGACGAAAAAGCTTGATATGCAGAGGGGCCTAGTGAAACTAGTGGCAGGTGAAGGATATTGCCATAAAAATCAACATAAAACACGACTAGTCTAGTAGCGAAGGAAATCAGGGTTCATGAGGGTCTGATCATATTACATTATTGTAATTCACATTATGTACTTGTACTCATTATTTTCAATGCAAACTGACATGCGGATTAGCTTCCCAGGAATGCTAATAATCTGCACCTATTTGGACTGCGCAGCATATCCTGTGGTAGGCACTGGTTTCTCCAATCGCCAAGCCCATAGCAGCCAGTCTTCAAATACGAGAAAGTTGAGTAGGAATCGGTTGCAGAGGAACGAAAACCCCACAACAACAGCTCCGGCAAATGCATCGAGGACATAGTGGTTGGCTGTAGAGATGATAGCAAGTAGGATCAAAGCCGGATAGAAGATGCCTAAAACAAGGAGGATGGTGCGAGAGGCAACCGAACGCGGTACATCTCCATTCTCTTGTTTAAGGATGCCATTCATCTCGAGATCATCCGTGGTGTTGTCGCCAAGGGGATGAAGATGGCGCAAAAATCCGCTCTCGTAGACCAATGTGCAGCCAATGGCGAAAGCATATCCAAAATGCATGCTTGGCATGGCTGCAAGTGCGTTGACATAGTCTCCTTTCATCCAAACGCTACTAGCATCCTCAGCCTCGACGGTATCAATGAACCCGTACTCCTTGGGAAGAAGTCGTGGGGGCATGCATGGGTAGAGAGAGAAAACGAAGAAGGCGACGAAATTCGATAGTGAAAGAGTGCGCCGTGCAATGCAGAACCGTCTATGGGTTGGTGCCGTAGCGTAGTAGTAGGCAATAAAACTGAAACATATTTAGTACACCTTTGGGTTCTCAGACAGTTGCAGAACAGAGATTGAACTTACGCGGCTGTTCCGGGGATGTGAATAAGAGCATACACCCGATTGAGAAATGCCAGCGCAGACCCCCTCCAGTCGCCCACGCTGGCACCGGTTAGGAACCACTGCTGTATTCTCCATTCTACGAACCGACTATTTGTTTTGACATTAGACATTCCAGAGACCCAAGCCTCAAACTCCAGAATCGATGTACCATGGTGTTGAGCGATATCCCAAAGACCCTGGCTACCGCCATACCAATGACTCGTAATCAATATAGTTCCGCGGTAGAGAACCAATGCAATGGCCCAGTAGAACATCTCAACAAGGAAGGGGAACTTCTGCAGGATTCTCGAGTGAAAGTGTCTGGCAAATCGGCTCGAGTTGGGAGTCCGAACAGTCCAGCGACCTAGGATTCGGCGGGTTTTGGGAGGGTGAAGGGCGGACATGTCTTGGGGTCGTTCCCAGTCGCTGCTGGATGATCTCTGGGATTCTGGGCTCAGTAGTGACTGTGCGCTTTCCTCCGGAGATCTACGAAAAATGGAGTAGTTCTTGCGTCGTGTGAAGTACATGGCCGTCAAAAGGACAATCACAATCACCTTCAACAGGGCGTATTAGAGACCTATACGCTTGTTACGTTGGGAAATGAGGCTTAACTTACGACTGGCTCCATCCATTTGCTCCAAACCTGCTGTTTCCACTCCGCCCGATCTTTCCAAGACGGGCCGCCATCTTCTGAAGCCATGACTGATGGCGGGTTGTGACAGCGTCAACAGTCACGTGTTCATAAATACAAGAGAGAATGAAAGGTGGTCGGCTTGATGATAATAGTAGGTGATGTAGAAGGGCGCGGCGGAGCAGGACCGGACAAAGTGCAAATTGCACCTTGGACTTGGGTGTGTGCAGGAAGGGGAAGACGCAACGATGGCAGGTGAAAGTATGAAGAAAATAAGAGACCGAAGTCAAAGCAGACTAAGAAGGGGTGCATCCCGAGGTGGAGTCCTACAGGAGAGATCAGGCACAGTTAGTGGTACCTACCCACTGTAATGTATGTAGATTAGGTAGGTAGGCGGACTAAGGGACCTACTTACTGTACTTAGGTAGGCTTAGGGAGTTGTACAGTTGTGGGAAAGAGCGAGAGGTATTAGGTGAGAAGTTGGTGGGAAGTAGTTGGTACGAGGTAGGTACTTACATGTAAGTGCTTGCTGGAACTCTATGTAGACAGTAGGAGGTACCCAGTACATCCAGGAGGGTATGTACAAAAGATTAGACTTTGTTTAATGCATATACCAATTCACTATCTACATAAAGATAGGTATCATTAAGCATGTCTTATCTCACGAAGTTAAATGTGTATGAAATGTCTCACTATCAAAAAGGAAATGGTGATAGTTGCTACTTTAAGTATAAAACACAACTGGGGGTTCCAAGTTACACAATGGGAGTGAGTGCCGCCTGCCAACTCAGATGTGCGCAAGACAGGGGACATCTAGCGCATGTGCGACACTGGAGCATTGTGCAAATTTAACCAACTTGAATGCCTTAACCAATTTAGGTCCTACTACCCACTGGAAGTATCCCACTATAATTAGTTCAACCACAATGTGTGTAAGATTTCCACTTTTAGGTACAGTGGGCAGGTTAGTCATCATAAAGATCCTTAGCAATAAAGGAGACCATTATGAAAGGATAGCTTTAAAATTGAAAAAAGAGAGAGAGAGAGAAAAAGGTGTAAAACTAATCTTCTGATAATCTATAAGACATTGCATTTTGTGCATGTACCTAGGTATCTAGTTACATCTGTACATGCCTACTGACAAGCACTGATCACATGTGTTCAAAAGAAACAATTGAAGGTATGACGTCTTTCATCAACACAAACCAACTACCTACAACTGTATTCTGAAAATGGGTGTCTCCTATCTCCGCAGTCTCTATTGTACACTTAGATACAATATATTTCTGGCCCATCACCCTTTTGACTGGCCAGGCAGATCAGTGAATTTGAGAAACCAGTGAGAGAAAGAGTGTAAATACAGCAAGATAAGACAGCCTCTACTGTCACTTGGGGTCCTCCCAAAGGATTGGTCTCCTACCTTGGGAGCCGGTGGATTGCACTGCCCATGCCTGTAACCCTTTTTATAGGCCCAAGATCTTCTACTGGATGACACGAAATCTTCCTCTTAGCCCGCAAGTGCAAGTTTCATATGCCGTTTTATCTACCTAAGCGATCTAGCAGCTGAGGCGTGGGGTAATCGATTCCTTTCCAACCTTGGCTATTTTTATGACCATCACATGTTGTTTGGCCAAGACGTGTCTTCAATTGATGAATGAAGCTGATATTGCCTCTTATCTATATTTCTGTGTGTTGGACATTACAATACAACTTCAGAGACCCCGAAGGTATAGCAAGGTAGTCAGTCATGACTGCTAGGCATCTATGCAATGCAGCCATTGCTCTACCATAGTCTTTCATCAGGAACTCTCCTGAGCACTGCAAACTGCAAAAGATGTAACAGTCCATATGGGCAATGGAAGGACGAAGTGGCAGACAGCTGGCACAGCTGTCAGCTAGCTACTTCTAATTCTGTGAGCACTTACTTACTCGTAGGTGCCTACATACATACATATGTATATGTATGTACTGGGGGTGCAAACGGATAGTGGGCTTGACTAGGGCCTTGGCCACCAACCTGGCCACCTACAACCTTCCAAGGTTCATTTCTAGCTGGCTACAGCATAAAGTATTGGCTACGGCCGCCCATTCTCTATCAATGCTGTACACGTAGGTACATGTACATAGGTGAGCACCTGCTCGGGTACGTCCGTCCCCCTTCGAGGTACAGGCCAATGGAAACGCGTGAAGCTCTCAACCGCTCCATTTTGTCCGGCCAACGTGTGCGACGCGGACATTGGCCAATCCAATCCACAATCGTCCAAGCTCCCGCTGCCAGCTCCTTCAAGAGCCTCGTTTGTGTCTGTGTCTGTGTCTGTGTCGTAATCTTATTGTTGGCGTAGGTAGGCAAAGACAAGGCAAAACAAGGCAGTGTACTGCACCTCTTCTACTACAGTCATTCACTAGTCGCATGCTATCACAAACCTAGTATCACTCTCATTCTACCCATTTTACACATTCTTTCCCCAGATACAACTAGTTGTCCTGGTCCTAGATGAGGTCGCATCTGAATCATATTCATTTCCTTCAAATATACCCCGTCATTTGACCATATCCTGAATTGTCTGCGAGGCGCCTGCGAGTTGAAGTACTCGTCGCAATCTGACACCACATTCCCTTCTACCCCCCACATTCAAAGCCGTCGGCGCATAACCCTCTCCATCCCCGTTGAACGTCGTTTGATTCGTTGCTATGGCCGACGATTACCCCGAAGATATCTTGGAGCAGCAGCCCAATCCCGGCGGCGATGTCGAGATGGCTGAGGGCGCCGAGGACGAAGCTGCCGGTGACGAAGGAACAGTGCTCCCCTTCGCCGAGGGAGGCGAGTCGGAGCCGCGCACTACCTTCATCAGCTACTTGACCAGCCCTGTCGTTACCTTGATCGTTGGGAGCGCTGAGAATGAAACTATTCTTACTGCACACCAAGCCCTCTTGGTTCAGAGTCCCTTTTTCGCCGATACATGTGCCGCCTTTGCCGATGACGGAAGTGTAAGTAGTGCCCCTATACCTCTATTAGGTATATTCCTTGTGCGCGATGACTGCGTTGCGCCTGCGCCACGCTAATGCCCGCCTTTTTCCTTAGCCGCGACAAATTGAGCTCTCTAATGATGAAATTGATGCCGTTGGCTGCTTCCTCGAGTACTTGTACACTGGCGATTACTTCCCCAAGAAGCTGCCAGGCCAGCGCCTGCTCGAGCAGGATCCCTCCCTGCCGGCCGTCGACGAAACCGGTGAACAGCTGCTCAAGCACGCGCGCGTGTATACGATAGCCGAGAAGTTCGGCGTAGATAAACTGAAGAGCTTAGCGAGCAGCAAGATCCACTGCGTCAATTCGACTGCCAAGGGCGAGATCACCTACGCTCGCTACATTTACCAGTATACCAGCAAAGACGATACTACGGTCCGCGCACCGGTCGCAAACTTCTGGGCCACTCGCAGTCACACTCTTCGCGCCGAAGCCGAAGACGAGTTCCGCGCGCTTTGCTTGGAATTCCCCCAGTTTGGATACGATATACTTAGTAAGTCTTGCTCTGCTATCACGGTAGCGAGCCAAGCTGCAGTAGCAGTACGTTGAAGTTTAATACTAATCTCTTTTTAGCTCGTGTTCTCGACGAGAAGCTCAAGCGCGAGCGAAACGAAAAGATGACTCCTGGAACTGCAAGTGGACGCAAACGAGCTCGACACAGCAACATCTAAAAATGATGCTACATAATATAAGCCATGCCAGTCCAAGAAATTCACATTTGAACAAAGATATGGGCTCGCTGCGTTATACATTGACGGTGGGTATTGGTATTGGTATTGGTTGAGTTGGCGTTCTGATCCCGCCACTCTTACTGCTTCACCCAACTTACAGCAACGAACATGGAGTGGTAGCCTGTCAACTAGACAGCACAGGCTTGGTTGCTATAGGGTGTGCTGTTTGTGCTTTGGAGTATTAGGACGGTAGGATATTGGTGGATAGTGTATCAATAGTGACCGGAGGCGTCGTTTTCATGTTGGAATTCCAAGCTCGGGAGAAGTTCTGCGTAATCCCATCCGCTAGCTCTTTGGAATTCCAGTCGTACTAGACCTCTATAGGGTTCACGTACAAATTTGCTAGAAAAGGAACTACCCATTCAGAATCGTCTCGTTGACAGAATATCCTTGTGGCACTCCCATCTTTCATCTGACACAGTATCCCCTAAATTATGGCTTGTCAACGCACAAAGTATGCAAAATCATTATATTAAACGATTCCAGGCCCGCGACCAGGGTGTTTCAAGGTCATCGGTCAAGCCACGTTCATGAGGTGGCGTTGAACGCTTCAAATGCTTCAGGAATCCAGTCGTCCCAATAATCCCAACCATCAGGTTTTACGAATTCGCAATCCCAGACTCTCCATGATGTAGATATTATAGATTCGGCTGTACTTCGAATCATCTTGGTCTTCAGCTGCCCGTGTAGATTCCCCACCAAGACGTCGCCCACAAAGGACCAAAATGGCCGAAGACTGCCATATGTGTGCTGGTAGCGCAAGGACGGTGATTTGAATATCTCTATGTTAATGGTAACCCTGCAGCCATCTGTTCAGGTACTGGTGTTAGTGCGTGTTCTGGATCGAGTGATGTTGAAGCTTCTTGGAATATGAGCGCACGGGAATAGTAGGTAAATGCTGTGCTCTATCTCTTACTCATATCGCCTGTCATGTCTATTCTACGGGGGTCAAAAGGGGCTTGTTTTCAACCCACGTACCTGCTAAAGGATCGTCTAACTGCACCCCCCCTGTCACCCAAAGGGAAAAGCTAGAGTAGTCGAGCACCGAATCCGGCTGTGGTGGTGGCGCCACACCAGCAGTGCCGAGCTTCATCGTCCACGTATCGCTGCCGCCGATGCGCCGGTCCACGTTGAGACAGGTTCCAAGTGGATGAAGATCCCCGCGTAGGAGGTTTGCGCTACCTGGTTTGAAGTTCACGGAACGGGTACGCACTCTCCAGCCGCGCTTTGAATACTTGTTGTGCAGCGCGACGTCGTAGTCGCACGGCTCTGTCAACGGCACCGTTTCGCCGTAGAGCAGCGTCGCGCGAGGGAATATGCAGTAAGCCTTGTTCCAGGAGATGAAATTCACGATGCACGACGTATAATAGGTGCCTAGAATAGCCACTATAGGGTGATTCTTAGTAGCAACCAGCTGCACTTTGAGCTCCGGTGAGGAGCCGTTGCCGTCCCTACTTTTGGCGAAGGTGATGATCTGTGAAGCCGTTAGCAAGCACTGCAGAGAAAAGCTTCGGAGCTACGAATGAGACAAACTTTCTCTATATCTCTCAGCCGGATGAATTGATCGTAGTCGATGACTTCAAGGTCTTGGTTTCGGACCATCTCGTAGCCTTCGGCCTCGACCAAATACTTGCCCAAAATTTCGACCCCCTCACCGTCGCGAAGGTTGATATCCAGGTCCGACTCAGGCCAGAACCTGTTGGCGAAGAATTGCAGCGCGAAGCTACCTGCTATCAGGCCGTCGGCGCGCCCAAGCGCGGTCCGGAAAGCCGTAGGATTCCTGAAAAAGCGTTCCAGTTTCTCATTGATGTCCCAAAGGTAACTGTAAATATCTCCGCGAAAAGCCGATGAGGTTCGACACAGATTGAGAATGCTCCTCGTGTCTAAATAACGGAAAATGCAGCTTCGTATGGGGTACTGACACAGCAGATAACGAAGACCTAGCCCATCGTTTTCGCCGCCTGACTGCATCTTAGATGGCGCGCGTTGTTACGATCACTGCATAGATCAACTGATTAACTACTCGGTGATAGCCAGAGACTGTGAATAAGTCGTCGCGTCTCAGCACACCTTGAAATTCTGGGGGTTTGAGATGTTATTAAAGGAAACCTGGAGCTGAATACTGCACACCGACGCGATATCAACAAGGTAGCACAGGCGGCGCTCCGAATCCAGCTGCCCCACCAGGGGTGCAGAAATTAGAAACTGGTGGCTTGGGAGGTGTCTGCCTGATGCCATCCTGGTGCAACTTTATTTTGTTTACCTCGTCGCTATACTCCGTAATGGTCTCTACAGTTATGAGTTCAATCACCCACCGATTCGGAGCGTGGTGTTGGGCAGGTGATTAGACATACGAATCACTGACTGATAGAACCAAGCAAGCACATTAATCGTTGTCTCTCTGACCACCCTAGACGTAGTGAGTTGCGTAGGCCTGTTGACTTGGCGTGGCGTGGCACCATGCAAGGTGTAAGAAATTCGGTGGAATGACGGATGTATGTGAGGCTGCATCTACATCAAGACGGCTTCATTTACACGGGAAGACCAGCGTTGAGGAGGTCCGGAAAGGTCCACCGCTCAGCCGAAACTCTAGGATATCTCGGGCGGGCTTGGCGGGCTCTTAACGTCGATAATGCTATGCGGAACGAAGTTCTGCGGGGACGCTACTCCGGGTTAGAGCTGGTCAATCTTTCCATTGCATTGGTACAGAACGGGCATCGTCGGTATTATACACAAATCCCGACTCCGTGCACACCATACCGCCGTGTTAGAAACTTGCTGTACCTATCCCGAATGCGAAATGGACGCTCAAAAGTATTTATTATCACCTCCTGGGCTCGATGAGCTCGCGGAGAAGCTCAAGGTGCCTCTCGCCTCTAACTATGAGGTCTCCACCGTAAGAGTGGTCCAATGCCCTGATCTCCGGGATGCTCCCTTTTACTTAGCTACCGAAGGCCTCTCGGGAGATGAGAAAGTAGCAGATGTTGGAGGCCGACAGAATCTATTCCCTCGTCCTAGGTTCAATACCACCTGGTCCTTAACTGAGATTGCTTCGGCTATGGAAATGAGCCAAGAGAGAGGGAGTTTGATCGGGGCCGGCGCTGGTCCATTCCATGTAGTGGGTCAGAACTGTGAACTTGCTCCAAATCTGAAGTGGGAGGGTCAGTTTGTGAACATCGACAATCAAACACGGCTTGCAAAGATAGCCGATGGCACCGTTACCGTTGAGAGAAGCTTGTCTGCAGACTGTGCTTTGATGGTCAATTTGTTCGGGTCACTCGGCGAGCCCGGACCCGTGCTCAAGATTATGGCACGGAAACGAATCGGGGCTGGCAAGAGCTTCACTGAGTGCATTCGAAACGCACTCTCTGCAGCTTACGGCGATTCGAATATCATTAGTCTTGGTGGCGCTTTTGTGGTGAATTCAGGCAAGGCACGCTACCACATCATGCCAGACTTCCCAAAAGAAGAGGACCTGCCATTTGAGAATCACGAGAAGCTGAATAACTGGTTGACGTATCACACTTTCGATGGCCCTATCGTGTGTCTATCAGTCCTACACTCGGCCGATCCAGGTGGTAACCTTGATCTTCGAATGGAACATACACATGCATTCTCCCCGGTACCGGGACGGAACGCTGGAGGTCATTACCACTACGATATTGAGGGCTCCGACGAAGACGTAGAATACGTGGGCTACTTCAACACGGCAAAAGTGCTGTATCGAATTGAAAAACCAGCTGCGGCGTAAAAAAAGAAGATATAGGTTGTTGAGTATGTGACTTGAGGTGATATCTACCTCGATCTCGTGCAAAGTTGAGCTACTACTTATGTTTTGCGACAATATCTTTCCGACGAGAGACCATTCTGATGAAAAGAATGGATCTTTGCCCTGACATTCTTCATTATAAAATGGTATGTTTGAGCCGCTGGGATGTTGCACTTCTGCTGCAGTGTTCTTCAATCGAGACCTCCGGGAAGCCTAGCTGAGCGCGAATACGGCTCGGGCAATTGGCATCAGTTTTATAGAGTTTCACGGGCTCCTAAGCTTCCTTTACTTGGTTATTGATCATTAGTAACTCATAACATACTCATATAAAAGAGCGCCCAGTTTGTGACTTGTATGACAACACGACTATAAAATGGAAGCGATATATCTTAAGACGGCTCTGTAAACGTACCTAGGGTCTTATGGCAAGAGTGTATGTCGACGCTTCCGTTTTCTGAGTGGTCGGCCTCGGTCCAGCCAGCCCCTTTCTCCGCCAATCAAAACCCGGTGCACGGCCCCCCTTGTCCCTTGACCCCGGCAACCCCGGCAACCCCCGTATACTGCCCGTACCAACTGCTCGACTCGCGAGGTCAATTGTTCATGATAAATACTTTCCATGGCTCTGCCCCGAGGCCTCGACTCTGCATTTCATCCTCCTCCCCCTCGTTCCTTTCATTTCCTCTCGCTTCGATCGCACATATCCCAACCAATGGCAGAAATGCCGCACATATGTCGGCATTGGTAACCGAAGAAATCTCACGGACACGAGGTAAAACCCCTCCCAACCATAGCCAGCTTCCAAATCTAACCAAATAACAGATACTACATGCTACTCCTATTTAAATATTAACTCCCCGGCCGTGTGAAAAGCAATTGGAGCTCTCGAACGATAAAGTGCCTACGGTTTGCTTAACTAGCTTCCGAATACGCTTAAGGGCAAGATATTTCTCAACAGCTAGGGAAGAGGAGGTAAGCGTTCATAAGATGCTGGAAGAATGGGCCAGCATCGTAATAAGGTAGCTGCCTAGCTGGGCATCAAGCATACAATGTCATCTCTTCTGTTGGTCGGTTTCGTGATCTCCAACAGGAGAGGAGTCTCCAAGGCTAGGTCCGATATCTAAGCATGGCGTGTGCCTTATCACCGAGCCAAAAAAAGGCTCTGTCCAACCAATAGGCACATGGCGGACCAGTGGACAAGCATGTCAAGGTTCGTGACGCAGGTTGAACGAGACAGGCGCCAATGACGGACAAGGACATGGGCCTATGTCCAGGGTTTTTGGCAGGATCCGTTATGCCTTATTTCTCGGCGAGATGACACTTGATTCGATCGCCTTGCCTTCACTACATCATTTCCAGCAACTGAGTATTGGCTGTCCACAGGCGTGTGTTGTCGAGGCTTCCGATTTAGGGATGTGCGCCAGCAAACAGATAGTCATGCCACTACAGGACATCGCAGACAAAGACTAGGTAGGGTCTTGATGTATTCTACTTCTTGCTCTCTTTTTGACAATTAAACATCGTTCGGCGACTTGTCATTTCCTCTTTAGTATAGCCTGCAACAAACCGTCATGTTCCCACTTCACAAGCGCTCTTGCTCTCCACACCTCCCACTCTTCCTCTCTCCCTCGCTTTTCTTCTTTGCCACCATGCCCCGGATCGAATGCCTGCTTGAGACCCATGAAAAGACAGGCAAACGTTCTCCTGTCCTCGTGTGACGCCCCGCCAGGACCGAGTGCGAACAAAAACCTCTGCACCTTCCGCCCGTCGAGCACGCAGCGGGCGAGGTCCTCGCGGCCCCTCTCGCAGAACACGCGGGCCAGGAGCAGCTCTTCGTCCGCCAGCTCGTTCGAGCCGTCGTAGAACGCTGCGACCGGCCACATCATGCACGGCGAGGAGAAGGCCTCCTCCTTCGACGCGGTGCTACACCACTCCCAGTCGATGACGCCCACGATATCGAAGTCGGCGTTTACGAAGATGTGGTCGCCCTTGTCGTCCGCGTGCTTTAGGAAGAACTTCTCGTCCTCCTCCACTACTGCTGTGGTCAGACTCTATCCAGAACGTCGAGTCGGAACCGGTGGGCCAGAAACACGTCCGCCGCGTTCTCGGCCGTCCCAATCTCACCGCCAGCGATCATCCGGAGGTGTGCCTCTACGAGGGCATGCGAGGCCTCCCGCGACGAGCGGAACGGCCCTAGCGGCCGATCGTCCTCGCCCGACCGGAACGTGGAATGTTGCGCCAGACCCTGCACCTGTATCTGGGGCTCCGCCGCCGCCGCCGGCGGTGCCATCTCGCCTTCAGACATTGCCGTCGTCGCCACGAGCGATCCGAGCCTGTCAAAAGGGTGCCTTTCGATCTCGAGCATGATGTCTGCAAGCTGCCGCACGACCTTCTCCCTCTGCGCAGTCGTTGCGCCCTGCCAGTCCAGCGGCGTGCCATGCAGCTTCTCCATCAGGATATAGCCAACGCCTACCGTATTCGCCGGATCGGACTCGCAGGCCCAGTCGAACACGCGCGGAGAGGGGATACGTGTGTGGCGCTGCAGAAACTCCATGGTTGTGGCCTCGCTCCGCAGCACGTAGTCACGCACCTCTAGCGGCGGCGATACGGGGCTGGACAGCCGGAATCGCGCGAGCCACACCACGCCGTCCGCGAACACAACCTCGGCATGGCAGTTCTGCCCGCCCATCATGGTCGAAAGGTTCTTCGGGGAGAGGTCAATTGCGCATGGCACGTTGGTGTCACTGCGCACTTGTGACGCGCGCGCGCATAGCTTCCCGCCGTCGATCCGCCGACACAACTCCTCCAGCCGCCGGGGCTCTGCTGCTGCATACCGAGCGCTGTACTCGTTCCAGTTCGTCTGATCGCGATGATCAATAATAATTTTATGGAGCAGAGCAAGGACTTTCAGGTGCTGAAAGCATTTACCTCTGGCTTCGGACACGTATGCCACTGGTCCCGCAAGTGAGTCTGGCAAAGATGCCTGTCGCAGAGCAAACAATCCCCGGCCCGTTGAACGGCTGGGGTTTGGCAACCCACCCAATCACACGACCACAGAGGAGGCATCTTGGAGTTGACCAAAAATGATACGTCTTGTAAGAGAACAGAAGCACATCGGTACCAACCTCGTCGGCTGGCTTTTACGGCGGCTGGAATCTCGCGATTTGGCATTTACAATGAACTTTCTACTCCTACAAGATTTTATGTCAACACACAGGTCAGGACTGCAAAACATGACCTTTACCTGTAAACAGACGGCCATCACATAGATGTGGCTAGGTAAGGTACGTACCTACCTAGGCGCATAATGTGGCTTACCATGTACAAGTGAGAAACCTTGACACAATTCAAGGACCGATACCTAAATCACTATAAAAAAAATTATAACATCTTTATTCCTTTAATCCAGGCTGAAATTGGCTTTATTATTCATGATGGAGTGTAGTACGTAGTACCGGTACCTAATTGCTCAGGGGACTAACAAGTGGCGCCAGCCCAAACAACACCGCTCTGTAATTTGTGGCGGTGCCGTCATACCAAGTTTCAACTTCCCTGACCACCTTCTTGTTGTAGCCATTAGATTTGTTTCGCAGCCAAAGGCCTTGACATTATCAGGGGCATCGCAGTAAGCAAGTTGGCGCCATCACATGCCAGTAACCTCTTTGTCGCTTTTCATCATAGTAGTTGAAGTTGCCGTTCTGCTCCTAGTATATCCTTAGGCCCGCTGATCATGACTGATGTAAGTAAGGCATTGAAAGCCACCTTCTACAATCCGTAAACTGGGGTAACCTAAAAGGGTAGCCCCAAGCTTGGGGAAAGGCTGTCCTGAATACGGAAGCTAGAATATGTCATTTGGCTAACGTAGCCTTACAGTCGGACCGAGATGGCATATGTTGGAGAACGCGTATAGCCGTGACATCTGATATAAAAGGGACGACAGTCGCATCCATGTCTACTAGTTGTCTGCTTCAGAAGCATCAAGCCCTCAGCAGTTAGGATCACTATGCGCTGCTCACAACTTGCTCCCCTTTTCCTGGTGGGCGCCGCCTATGCGTGGCTGCCCGAGGACCGCGATCTCGCCGCCTTCAATATGACGGCACAATTCGAGAAATTGGGCAAGCGATTCCAGCCCTCTCTTCCAGGTGGTGTAACCAAGATTCGTGGCGTCAACTTGGGGAGTAAGTGATGCTAGCCGATGAACTTTACCAAAAAACCTCTCTGAAAACTCACACAACCTTAGCATGGCTGATCTCAGAGCCATTCTTCATGCACAACGAATGGTCCAACGTCATGGGGTGTGGATCTTCGGTCAGCGAGTTTGATTGTATGCGGGAACACTACTCGGGAGGGAACCGCGAGGCCGGCAACGCCGCCTTCGAGAAGCACTGGGCTACCTGGATCACTCCCGACACGGTGCAGTCAGTCCACGATGTTGGTCTTAACACGATACGCATTCCCATTGGCTACTGGTCGTACACAGACATTGTAGATGCGGCCAGCGAGCCTTTCGCTGATGGCAACCGGATGCTACCTTACCTTGATGCCGTCGTGCAGAAGGCCGCCGATCTGGGCATCTATGTCATCATTGATTTGCACGGTGCACCCGGCGGTCAACAGCAAGATGTGTTTACCGGCCAAAACCCATCGCCAGCCGGTTTTTTCAATGATTACAACTATGACCGCGCAAAGAGGTGGCTCACGTGGATGACAAACCGCATCCACACAAACCCAGCGTACTCGACTGTTGGTATGCTTGAAGTGCTCAACGAACCTGTCTCAATGCACGATGGCGGCGGACGGTACCCTGCCCCTGGTCAGGTTAGTTCCCTATGGAGTCATATATTTCCTCCTCCCACCAGTTTCGGTCCTTATTACTCCTACATGCTCCCGAAACACGAACCCCTTCCATATCTGGAAATTACTGACTCTAACGTGTATTATAGGTTCCAGGCATGATCGATTCATTCTATCCCGGTGCGCTCCAGGCCGTGCGCTCTGAAGAGGCTGCACTGGGCGTGTCAAACGACCGCAAGTTGCACGTGCAATTCATGTCGTCCAAGTGGTCGTCAGGTGACCCGCGCAGCAACTCAGTCGTAGCAGGCGACAGCATGACAGGCTTCGACGACCACAACTACATAGGATTCGGAGTTAGCGATAACGGAAACCGAGACGCGTTGATGCAGAGCGCATGCCGAGACTCACGTGTCGTGAATGGCGAATCATTCGAGATCACGGGGGAGTGGAGTATGACGAGCGGCGTCGAGTGGCAAGATGCCGACTTCTTTAAGAAGTTCTGGACTGCCCAGCAACAGCTCTACGAAAAGCCGGGAATGTCGGGCTGGGTTTATTGGATGTGGAAGACTGAGTTGGACGACCCGAGGTGGACGTACTCCTACGCTACTTACCTCAACTACATCCCCACTGATGCTGCCGGGCTTGAGCAAAATGTATACAACGACGTGTGTGTGGGATACACGTAATGCAAGCGGATTCGTGTTGCACGCACCGAATACCCTGTCCACCTTTTACGTGCAGGCCCCGAGAACCTGTCAAGAATATGTTCACTGGCCCTATTGCACATAAGCAGGCCAAGATCATGGATAGAACATTCAAGTAGACCTTAGCAGCCGTTAAGTAAACTTATTGTATTTGAGTAGAGCCAATTCCAAATCCAGATGCCAACTCTTGTTACAGGTCGAGCGAATTGAGGTAAGGAAGAGATGCCTTGGGAAACAAGCATGAGCGTGACGTGACCAAAGTGGTCATTATCTCCATGATATTCATCTATTCAACTATCGTGCTACCAAATCTGCTGATCGTTACATCACCGTTGCGTGAGTCCTTGATGCCAAGTTAGGTCCTGATGAGGACACCCTTGCCCCTAGTCAAGTTGCTGAAGTTTCAGCTGCCTTGATATACGGATTCATTCTCGAGTCAGTCCAGAACTTGATCAGGGAATTCGAGGCTAGCTTCTGCCTTAGCATGAGGAATGCTCGCCTGCAAGAATCCCTTCGAACAAACGTGTTGTACTTTACACGAAAACTCCTGGGGGACTGAGGGATTGCGGAACATATTTACATCAATATCTCTAGTGTTATATTCTTGCCATTTATTTTAAGCAAACCCCTCGACGTTCGTCATTTCATGCCCGCCTACCTCTGTGGGTTTCGAATCGGTGCCTTCCATTTTCCATGCAAGTCACCAACCAGAATCCGAATAGACAATACTGCAGGGAGAATCTACCTCATTAACCTTCATGGTATGATGAGCATTCTTGTCCTACAGCGTCAGAGCAATATCATTGTCGATATCAACCGGAATCGGTAATGGGGGGAGCTTATAACAGGCTTGCCAATGAAAAAATGAGGCGTCGCTCGAACTGATCAGTTAGGAGAGGCCGGCGCGGTGTCCATGCCCGGTGGAATATTGCATGTATATAGGAATTTCTATTCTATACCCCCTTCGGGGTCTTCAACGTTAGCTTAGTACTTCTCTTTTTACATCAAGACTGTTTCTTCGTTAATAATTAAGCCATTGTTGTATGTTAGTTATAACTTCATTAAGTCCTTTTACCGCCTAGTTATTTAATAGCTAATTAGTGATTATACCTTATTTATAACACTAATAATGACACTCCCTCCGAATCCTTGCTTTTGTACTGGTTGAAATTGAAGGCCTTGCAATAGGTCCAGCATGCTGTCTCCCGGTGTGTATCACCCGTTCCGCTCAAAGCAGGGTTTTTACACCGAAAGACAATCTGTAACGAAAATTCCTCAAGATGGAGACGATAAGGACCATGACTAGCCAGGTTGATACCCTGCTTATACTTACAAATCAATCAATAAGAAAGCTTAAGACGGCCTAGTTTAGTCTCTTCCTAAGTGGAATCACTACGAGGTAAAATTACTCAATATGTTAAATGTTTCCTCACCGCGACGGAAAGGAATCGGTAGATACGCACCGGCAAGACCGATAATCAAGAGCCTGCTGTCGTGTAATTCCATCCTTACCAAATACCTACCTGAGGAGGCAACAGTCAATGCGGAGTAAACGGTGGCATTTGTTCAAGCATTAACATGCCAAGCAGCGAAGGATGTTAGCCATCAGTGAACCAAGTTTCATAGTGATGTATATAAGGGCGCACACGTTTATTCCTCAAGGACAAGCAAATCTCACGTAGGAAAGGAAAAGCGATTCCTCTATAGCCATCTCTCGAACCTAGTCATTATAAACTGCCTGGAAGCACTATCATTTTTCTATCTTGGCCGTCGCGGAGTCAATCACTTGCATGTAATCAAACTCGCACTTCGAACAACATTGTCAAACATTCTGCCAATCATCATGCGCACGCAAACCTTCATAACCGCGGCTGTTCTGGCCCTTTTCGGTTACGCCACCGCAGAAATCAATATTGAGCTCTACCCCAACAGCGAGGATTGTACGGGAGAGAAGATCGTTTTGACGACTACTGGATGCCAGGATGTCGAGATTCGTGGCAGCGCTAAGGTTATCAGCGGTGGTACCTGGGCATATTCTGGTCGAGGATGCACCTCACTCCAGACCGGCACATACCTCCCTGAGCACGGATGCTTCATAACCTATCCCGTATACTTCAGCTGGAATCCCGTCAACCGGTAATTGGAAGGGACACTATCAAGACTGAATAGTGGGATGCGGCGGACTAATATATGCGGATACAACATAGATTTGGATGAGATCTAGTCACTTATGATTCAGCAGCTTTTTGGCTTGTGTCAAAAGCCGCAATATGTACACCGCTGCTTCCCATTTCCGGACGATTGGAACTCCTCCCCCAATTACCCTATCAGAACCAGTCATCTACAACCTTCACTGAATAAATCGTTAAATTAACAATCCCACGTTAAGACCAAGGGTATCTATGGGAAATAAGTGTGATATCAGTATGGCTGCTGTGTCAATACGCAGATCTTTCTTGCTATCATAATAATGTTTGATTTTTCTAAATATCAATCATAGTTTATGGCATTTCCATGGTGAATTAAATTACCTCTATGTGTCTCCTATATAGTATATGGTCTTTATAATAAGACCAGGGGAATCAGGATCTACATCGTTTCACAGAATCTGTGTAGTAACACATGGCTAGGGAATTTTCTTAACAACTTTTTTTTCTCTTTCAATCATTACTACTATCTATTGCAAGATTACATGATAACTAAGAGCTTTGTGTTAGGGATGGAGCTGCGATCTATCCGCAAAGCCTATAGAGACATTTGCGTAGAAGAAAACTGCTCTTTGATCCCATTTTACATTCTAAAGTCACTTACACCATTCCTAGCCTGTATCTCCAACATCACACGTAACCAACGAGAAACTCGTAGATTTCGTTACCGATGTTATGATCTACAATCTCTAATTACAGTGAGGAGTTGTTGATCTTGATTTGTGCCGGCCTGGTCGACTCAGAAGATGTGATTTTCACCATTCGTCTCATACACCACATCATAGTGGAAACATACTTTGAGTCAACCTCACGAGAACGTTCATGTTATATCCTTACCTCTCGTTCGATGAGTTCAAAGATAGACTCTGCCAAACTGATATGGACTATAAAGACCGGCTAGAGTTGAATCGTTTTTATGAATACGCCGCCAAGAACTGGGGGTGTCATACTTCTATGACTTCAGCTTGATCATTGGTGTGATGAATCTTCTAAAATGTAAGACGAACGTTGGAGTGTCGAGCCAAGCACTACTAGCGGACGGAGGGTATTCGTCCCTCAATACAGATTACTGTTAAAACTTCACAGCAAAAACATCACATAGCTTGGATAGAGTCCCGTCAAGGTCTAAAGTGAGGTCTCAGATTGTAGAGTTAAGAGAGTCATGTGATCCTTACACATAGATTGCTCTGTGTTACTCCCATACGACAAGACACTACCTGACCTGCATTATCCTGATTAGATGTGAAACATTACTAGACAATAGACTGAGATGACAGCTCTTATTAATGGCCATTGTATTTGAACTGTTTTCATTGTTTTTTACTTAGTAATTATTAGCCATACAACTGTGATCACCCCAACGCCTTGCTAGCATCATGCGTTTATAAGTAGCGATGCGTCTAATCTGATAAATTGAAGGAAACATTATGCATATTTTCGCCAACCCTAGTCGAGAAACCAAAAGCTCCAATAAAGTTTACTGCGGAGGGTAGTATGGTTGACCTGGAGCTGGTGTGCCTTGAGGGGTATAAGGGCTGCCCTGCACTTCTTGCGCTGCGGGCTGGTTGTAATGAGCGCCGGCGTATCCGGTGTTCTGCTGTGGCATATAGGGGTCATAAGCAGGATTCTGCGCAGCATAGTTGGTGGGCTGGTGTTGTTGCTGAGCCCACTGAGGTTGCGCCTGTTGCTGCTGGGGAATAAAGGCTTGGGATTGAGCGGCTTGGACGGGAGTGGCAGTAGGAAGACCGGAGGCCTTTTCGACATCGCTGCTGTACTTTGCCCATTCCAAACGGAAGAAATGAGCAACATAGGCGAAAGTGACGACGAAGAGGAGAAGTGGGATGGCGCTGACACCGGCCACAGATGAGAGCACAGCGAGGCCCGTTGGAGTTGCGACAGCTGCACGCTTGTAGACAACACAGTGCCCAGAGTTTATGGTCGAGCCATCCGAGTAGCAATCGGCATTAACTGAATAAATGAAACTGCTTCGGAAGGCAGCGTTGGCTCCTAAGCTTGCCAACCAGAGAACGATCATGAGGAAGTCCAAAGACAGAACCGCCCACGTGTTGTAACCTGGGCGACACCCAGCCGAATGTTCGGTGAGGATCGCATACAGCGCGATGATCCACGTCAAAACACCCTAATAGAAGACGAACGGTTAGCCACTGATCGCAGATGTCTTTCTTTGGCTGCTCCTTAGTAATGAGGTTGGCATGCAAACGTGCTACTTACAGACGCTATCGCAATACCTAAAGCATCATGATAGTAGCCGTGGATGAAGAAGCCAGCCAAGGCTACAATGATCAAAGAAATGACTATCTGCGCAACTCGCAGGCCGATGAACCATTTGGGAGTCGCGATGAGGGTTTCACCCTTCTTGACTGACTCCATTGTGATCGAAGTCTGTTCACTCGAATGATGGTGTGTGTTTCGTGTGTTGACCTGTCTAAAACTGCGCTCCGTTATCTGCTGGTAGGCTCATGTACTTGAGAAGTGATAGCTCCCGAACGCCAACGGAGCCAAGCAGCGAGCCTCGCTTTATTTGTACGAGAACCCCAACGACTTGTCAGCCCATCCGCAGGCAAGATCGAATAGAACCGCTCATGTACCTTATCCCATCTGGGACTTGGCATGATACGCCGGCCGGCAATAAGGCAGTCCGACAGCGAACGAGAACGAGCATATGGGAATGAGACGAGTTGAAGGCTTGCCTAGCTGATCGACTAGCGCCTCAGCCGCAGTTCGAACTCATGGATGGGCTTGCTTGCCATGTTGACTTGCAGGCACTAGCAGGACCGGTCAATTTCGTGCGATATGTAGGCTGGACGACTGCTTCATGCCCTTTTCAGCAGTCGTTCAGCTCGCGCAACCACTCATGTTGGCACATGAAGCGAGAAGACCACAGAGGCGCCTTGGCAGGGCAGAATTCACATGTATAACTGACCAGGGAGGGCGGTTCGGTCGAGTTTAGGTCAATTGATCTGTAAAGGTCCAGACAGCCGAGTTTGGACTTTGGGTCCTTTGAATGAGCAAGTAAATGCGGTTGCGCTATGTACTATACCAGGTGTTTTCTACATACCGGTAGGTAGGTAAACATCACCAACGTGGGTACGTTCCGCAGCTTGTACAAGGAGCGCCAGTTTAGTGCTACCTATACAGATGGCATGAAGTTCTATTGTGGTATATGCCACATCTCGAGATTCAAAAAGCAACCGAGCGGATGATATGTGGGAACACTGCTGTGGGCAACGAAGCATCGTGGTTTTGTTTCTTACATAGTAAATCAAATGCTGCCCAAAATCCCACCACGTCTCGAAATGGCAAGGTTTACTTCAAGGTAGGTAAGCACGGATGAATTTTCGACACTAGTGCATCACTCCAGATTCCAAGACTCAGAAGTCAACCCGATTGATAGTGATGTTATATATAGAGTTGGTGCGCCCACGCATTGCAATTAAGGATATGTGCAAGTCTGCGATCGTCATTACCAGTACTATAGGTTTGTTATGATGCCTCTCTCACGGCACCCAGCTATAGGTATTCTCATTACCTTACAGTAGGTAGGTACTTACTCTGCAGGTCAAATGGGACTGAGGCGCAGTGCAGCCAGCTGCATAAAGATGCTTCAGGGCGGCCACGAGCTGAAGGTGTCTCAACCTAGAGCCGTCTCATCATCCGAAGGTCTACAATAGCCGCAGAAAGGGGGAATGAATAGCGAGGCCGCTTGGTTGTTGCTTTGAGTCAAACTATCACTCAATCTGCATGAGGACATGTGATCGTCTGATACGCGATATGGCAGTTTCAGCTCGCAGTCTAGGCCGTGATAGACGATAGATACCTGTACTAAATCTTACTTCGTATATATAGGTATACTAGTACACTAGAGTGCAGTCGTAAGAGAAGACCGTGAGCCAAGTCCATCGTTCATCCATTTTTTCCTTTGCAAAAATCGACGTCTTGTTGAGGTCTAGATGTTTGAGTCGTTGTAGGTACCTGGTGGCGTTCTACACTACGTGTGGCGTTGATATTGGGCTGTCACAAAGCAACAGCCAGTCATCTCAGCTCATTGCCCAAGTGGAACATGATCACATTTCGCCAGACTTGATTCCCTCCCGATATTACCTACCTGTAAGTGGTGTTTGCTTTACTTAGCGCAGTCGCGTTTCCAGTCACTAAGATAGACGTCGGGTACAGAGAACAGGGCCCTAAGAGCCACTAACTCATTGAACAGCGTTCTTAGAGCGGATAAATGAGATCAGTAAGTATCCAATTATCTAGAGGCCAATGTGATTCTGTCGCGGTTGTACATCAACTCGCATCGAAACAGCGTGTAGGAAATGCCCAAGGTCGGTGTCATCTGAATTGAGGGGTTACTTTACGAAGTATTAGACATGTCACGATACACACGACAAGCGACATATGGTATCCTAGGTAGGCTAGGTGCTTCAGTTGACTACTATATGAGTATTTGCGAAACGTAGGTAGGCAGGATTGCCATTTTATAACATATTTGTTCTGATGATATATCGTCTGCTTGTAGTCTTATCTAATTACCAATTCCTTTCCCGGCATTTGGAAGAGGTAAAGAGGCGCGAAACGGACGCTAATGTGACTGAGGGGTACTTGATCCTACTTACAGGCTGTGTACCAAGAGATAGACGCGCCAAAACCCCAACCAACAGAAAACGTCGGCTTTGAGACGATATATTGTGTCTCGAACGGGCTCGCTGCCGCCTGACCGGACTGCATGACTACCTCCTAACCTTAGGTAAGTACATATCATATCTGCGCACGTAGGAGCTCGAGGGAGAAGGGAGGCCGGCTGTACGTCGTAACATACAAACACAGTGTGCGGGCAGTATAGAAACTATTAATAGACGCTATTGAGTCTTGACAGTTCTCGACAGTTTGTTTCGACAGCCCAGCGTGCTACATACCTACTGTAGGTACCTAGAATTAGATGGTCAATGTGACCGACAGGGGGTGGTTTTCATTTGCTCTCGTGGCGCCTCAATCATGCAAAAGCTGAAACAGCGTGAGGCTCTGTGTCTTCTTTCTATCAGAAAGGGGGCCATGGCTAACACGTGAGCGTTCCTAATTCGCCAGCCCAGCGTTGCACTCTTACGCAGTGGCCGCCCCCAAGCCACTCGAGAGGGAACCAGCAGCGAGCGAACGATCAATCCCTGATGACTGTGGCTGCACGCCGCTCTTACTATTATGTACCTAGCAGGCGAACCGACGGGATGGATCGACTGAAGGCCTGAAATTACAAATAAGCCTCTGGATATTCAACACCAGTCCTTACGTGTCTAGATGTAATCTTCTCGAATATGTTGGTATCTGAAGGGCCACAATGGGAGTTTTGCGACACAGAAACGGTATCCAATCTGATCCTTGGTGGAGGCCCGAGCTCAAAGCCAACGCCGACGGAATTGGAGAAGCCCACGATGACGAAAAAACGTACCTTGAGCTCGCAGCGAGGTGGGCTGTAGACGAGTACGTGCGCAACCCCATCTCATTCGACTTAGCACTCACAAATGCGAACTCTTTAGGAAGACGCTAAGTCGTTACCCATACTTGGCGCGAGTCAAACGACTATCCGAAGCTGGATGGATCCACCTTAGACTCTTGACTGAGTTCATGTCCATTGGAACAGTCCCCCAGCGCTGGAAAGATCTAGAGACTGATATGGTGTTGAGCCCTGCAGACATATCAAGCAGAGAGGAAGAGCGTAAGAGGCGCATTGAGAAGACTAATATTGCAGTTTTGAACTACCACGCTACTGGCGTGAAGCGAGAGAATTATACTTCTGCCCAAGCTTTGAGAGACAGCTTGAATAGTGACGATGAGGACAGCAGTCTCAAGTTCAAGCTATATGTAGTGGAGGATCTCTCAAGGGACGTTATTGAGATCTTGGGTCAGAAATGTAGGTATCTAGCTGGACCTGGTCCTGCAGAGATTTTTGCGACTATTGGTTCATTAGACCATCGTCCATCCAAACCCTCGTAACAGTATTGCAGAAATAACTGCTGACTACTCACCACTATAGTTGATATTGAGCCAGACTTTTTTCGAGCGCACATTGCAGACTTTGCCTGGTATAATGTCCGCGATCGCTGGAGAAATCCACCAATGCTCGATATTGTGAGCAGGTGCCAGAACTGGACGCAGCTAAGATACGTTACTGCTCGATACTTCGATGTCAACGAGGAATACCGTCACAAGAATCGCCAAGAGAGCTTCAAAGCAGCAACGAAGGAGGCAGATAACTTCAACATCATGCGCAGGGTAGATGACGACTTGAGTAACAAGTCGGTTTGGGACAAAGACGGAGCAATCGTGGGATTGACAAGATCGAGGGCAACGTTTTGGATACAGCCCCAACATCTCCAGCAGGGAATGGCCGTGGGTGAGTAGTTATTTCAATCCTGTCTTTAAGTGCATAACGATTGAGATTGGGTATTAGGCATACTTCTGTTGGATCCGACTGTCACTCAAGGAGTTCCGTTATGGCGTGGTCGTCGTCCACTCTGGCCAGTATCGGCCGCATACGATCAGCCGGGAGCTCCAAAGCCTCCCGCGCAAGATGACTTCTTTGAAGATTTTCTATTTTGGGCTCAGCAAAAGGACCTATGCCCAAATGGCACTGCTAATGATACCTCACAAGCGCTTGTCCCTATTCAAGTTCTGCTACATCTTATCTGTTCCGAGTGGATCACCATGTCGGACTACATCAAGACAAGGCTGAACCAATTGGACTGGGAGATCATCAAGCCTGAATTTTTCAGGCTTAGCAAAGTGGGAGTTGCGAATATGTTAGAAAAGCTACACATGTGGAGGCGGCTCGTACCGCTTTACCGTGAGATGGTTTCCGAAACAACGCGGCACATCGATCAATTCTCCAGTCGAATTGAGACACTTGTGGCTACCCTAGAGAGTATTTCAACTGAAGGATCAAGCCGAACCAATTCTCCGACGACGGTCAACTGCATGCCAAATCAAGCACAGCGGACTTTGATCAGCCATTACGACGCTGACTTCAAACGCATCAAGGAACAGCTAGAGGAATACCAGACCCGGATCGACCAACTTACAGCTGTTGTCACCGCTGTCATATCAATCGATAACTCGCAGCGCAGCTTGCAAGATAACCGAAACATCGGTCGCCTAACATGGTTGGCAACCTTCTTCATTCCACTAAGTCTCATTGCCGGTATTCTCTCGATGCAGTCAAACGTGAATGAAATCAGTGGCTATACCTTCAAAGTGTATTTCGCGACCTCCCTGCCGTTATCCATTGCAATCGCCGCTACTACAATCACTCTGTCAATGTCCCGATCAGAAAATAAGAAGAAATTGAAGGGCTTCACAAGGGTTGTGGGCAGTTTCGGGACTCGTTAAGATAGTGATCAAGTCTTCATATTAGGAGATTCACGTGTTAGGTTATGCGGAATTTTAGGCGAAGTTTGGGCGTTGGATTAGGGGTATATGGTAATGAAAAGGAATGACACGGGACACAAGCGAATTGGATAATGAAGCATTCGTGTGGCTTCTCTTTCTACAAGTCTTTGGATATAATCACCAGCATTTCGTTTGTATTTGTGTCTCTTTGGGGAGTGTATACCTTGGTTTATAGCGATGGTGCCATCCCCTTATTGTGGCAGTTGTTAAATAGATCATGTGAACAAGTTACATAGGTACGCAACCAAAACCTCAATTACGTAAAACTTCTATGGGCACATAATTCTCTTTGAGCAGCCGCGATGTGGATATTATAAGGCAGTGTCATTGAAACGTGAAGCGAGAGATGTCAAAATTTTGTTAGTCCAACTGATAAAGAAACGGGTATATCACCAGAGGTCCGACACCGCTAGATCTAGCCAACGCTCTCGGAAATCCATGAATTGCAGCGAATTACTTCTCAATGGTTTATCGGGTTCAGGAAGTGAACAAAACGACAATGTAGGAAATAGTCAGAAGCCGAAAGCCGTTTCTATCTGCTTATTTAATATCCCGCCGCCGCCACCCCTAAGAGTCCCAACTACTACCTCCTAGATTCGTTTCTCGCAATCCTAAGTTCGGTCGGGAGGGTCGCGAAGAGGTGGAATGTATCCGTATGAGTGGGTGCGACATGATGAGATGTAAATATCGGGAGATTATGAGGTTGGTAAGAGGGCATTATTCTGAATTTTACATTGTGTCGATTTTTGAGAACGAATAATAGATGATAATATTTGAATTTCAAGTGCCATTTATCCTTATCTACGAACAAGATTTCAAGTTCGTTAAAGTAGTATGAGGTGATAATCAAGTATCCCGGTAATTATGCATTTCAAGCCCTGAAAGAGTTGTGTATGATGGTATTCCTTTAGAAGTAAGGGGCAAAATGTTTGGCTAAACATTATGCGATAAGCTTCATTAGTACAGTCTGGTATATAGGTACACAGATATATTGGAACTGGTCAGATTTTCAGTTCTGAGGTTGCCTGATTCTGACAAGTTGAAACAACTTGCAAATATAGTTTAGATATCGTTGAATATAATAGTAACGCAGCGGCAAGGATTTTGCCGTTGGGAATGATCTTCCTAAGAAAGGGTATCGCTGGGCCGTCGATAAATGTGATGTACCAGCTATCCTGGGGTAGAACCGATTTCAGTAATACCATGCAACCACAGACTAGCTGATAGACTGTGTAGGACAACAAGTGCATTTCTGTCGCCCTGAAAAGATGCCATTTGATGGTCATCAAAGGATCGATTACACGTAAGCCTGCCATAGCCAATCTTTCGGTCTTGGCCATATATAGAATCTCAAGAAGCCACAGGAGTACCAACGGCAAGAATTGGATCAAAACAGGTATCCCGTATTCATACCAGAGCGTCCTTGGATCTCGAATCGAGTCTAAGCCTGGGGTTGGAAGAAATAACCACGAGAGGAGGTTGGGCACAAAGTTCACGGGTATTGAGCAAAGAAAGTATAGGACCGGACCAATAACTCGTTCAACAAATAATCGGGTTATCTGGTTGCCCATCTCGAGGGATGATGTAGTAAAATAATCGAACGCAAAGAATATTAGTGCCTGGACTGCGTCTCGTATGGATTCCTTTTGGTTCGTTGGGTCTATGACCCAGATGAAATTATTATTCTCATCTCGCTGGGGTTCACCGTTTTCATCAACCTCTCCCCACCGCAGGTGCTTGATGAGAAGACTCGAAACCCAATCCTCGATTCTCGTCATGACTACAAGGAATCTAGTGCTTAGCAAGCTGCCGATAATCTCGAAGCTCAGAGTGCTCAGAACCGCAGCGCCTACAGTCAGAAGAGCTCTGCCAACAACACGTCCTGCCCATAGCGGATAGGGGAAGGCCGCCTCAAATAGCCAAGCATTATCAGCGCCATGCTGGATAGCTAGTATCAGTGCGATGAGTGCTGCGCAATACCACGTGTCGCTGATATCTCGGGGATAGGGCGGGGATCTGATGTCGTCGGATATAAAATCTACTGGGTATTGGGGCGTCACTCGTGGTATGACATTTGCTCCACGATGGACAATGATGTTGTACCAGTGATGCCAGTACTCCAAGTAGCTGCGTAGGTCAGGGGACATTCGAGCCACGATATTGTTCCACTCCCTCGTATGTTGGTCTTCGTGAACAACGTCAGCTATATGGAGTGCGAGTACGGACGTAGAATAGAGAGAGAGTATTGTATATCTATGGAATCATAGGACCAATCTCGCAATGGCAGTCCAAACAGCCTTAACAATGGCAGTTGCACGTTGACCGCATTAGGACATTTCAAAGAGACTATATTTTAATATAGTCCCTTGGAAAGTGCAACAAGAGATGACGTCGAAACCATAGGTCATACTTGTTTTACTCACAAGCAACAGCATGAAGTTCCTAGAACAAACCCCCTTTAGTCTAATCAATGTTTCTGCGGGTGCCTCGATCATATCTTGCAAGACGCGAATCATCTTGTGAAGTTCGATCGCAACCATGAGTACCTAAGTAGTAGGTGTCTCAGACAATCTCAGTCTAATACTATTAGACTCGGGACTAATTACTTAGGTAGGTACCTAGTTGAATGGAGACAGTTGTGCTTTATTATCCAGGAAATCCTTTTCAAGTGTCACTTAAACAGTTTTATGTTACGTTACCTACCTACATGTGTAGTTAAGCACATAGTAGGATTTTAGTCTGGTGAAGATTAAGTAAGTAGTGTGTATATAATGTCTAAACTTCTGATATTCATCGTTTCGGCCCAAGGTGGGAAGACTGGGCAGTTCAAGTCCATACATGTAGATGAGGTACATTAGGTACATACGGGCAATAATTTACCTATCAAGATACCTATCGGATACATATAATACAGTGGAGAATGAACCCCTACGGCCAAGAGAAATTCACCTCCCGGACCCCACCTGATGTACCCGTATGTATAGTAAGTTCTGCTTCTATTCTGCCCATGGCTCGCATATTGACGGCTTTTGGCGGGGTACTGTCTCGGCATTCGTAAGTTTTGCTGGTCATTCATCACCTGCTACTGACCTGCTTTTCCTAGCAGGTGGCGGTTCCCTGAGCCATTTTCAGATGCTCGCCATTTCACCTGAAGATGGCATTTTTCACCTGACTCTTGATAGGAGCTGCACTACCACAACTTTATCCCAGTCTCGGTCTTCTCATATATAACCTGGAGGGTCTTGAGGTCCAATACTCACCTAGGTACTTAGATATATCAGTTTCTCTTTCGATCGATGCTTATTCGTTCCCGCCTATTCACCGCATCCAATTAATCCATCTATTGGATACCTGCTCTAACACATCAAGACGAAGCAATGGTTTCCGCCAATGGTACAAGCGCTTCCGGCGCGAGCATTGCTCATGTTCTCCCTCGCCCTGCAACCGTTCAGTCGGCAACCGAGATCATAGGAAACACGCCTCTCGTACGGCTGAACAAGATCCCCCAATCATACGGTATCCAGTGCCAGGTCTACGCGAAAGTCGAGCTCTTCAGTGCCGGTGGTAGCGTGAAAGACCGCATCGCCCTGCGTATGATCGAAGAAGCCGAGCGCAGCGGACGTATCAAGCCCGGGGACACCTTGATCGAGCCCACAAGCGGCAACACCGGAATTGGACTGGCCCTCGTCGGTGCCGTGAAGGGATACAAGACTATCATCACACTCCCCGAGAAGATGTCCGCCGAGAAGGTCTCAGTCCTCAAAGCCCTCGGCGCCACCATCATCCGCACACCCACCCAGGCCGCCTGGGATGCCCCCGAGAGTCACATTGGAGTTGCGCGACGCCTCGTTAAAGAGATCCCGAACGCACACATACTCGATCAGTATTCTAACGAGAACAACCCGCTCGCCCACGAGTTCGGTACTGCCGAAGAGATCTGGGCCCAGACTGGCGGAAAGATCACCTGTATTGTCGCCGGTGCCGGAACTGGTGGTACCATCACGGGATTGGCCAATGGGTTGCGCAAGCATAACAAGGACATCAAGGTCGTGGCGGCCGATCCCCAAGGTAGCATTCTCGCTTTGCCAGAGGCTCTGAATGATGAGCACCGGGATGATCCGTACAAGGTTGAGGGTATAGGTTATGACTTCATCCCAGCTGTTTTGGACCAGAACAAGGTCGACAAGTGGTATAAGACGGAGGATAAGGAGTCCTTCCAGCTTGCCCGCCGTCTGATTGCAGAGGAAGGCTTGCTTGTTGGCGGAAGTTCGGGGAGTGCCATGGCTGCCATGTTAAGGGCGGCGAAAGACCTCGAGCTTGGCAAGGACGATGTAGTTGTTGTCGTGCTCCCAGACAGCATCCGCAGCTACCTGACCAAATTCGCTGACGATGACTGGCTCGCGGCCAACGATCTCCTGTTACCCGCGGATGATGCAGCCAAGTCTGCCGTTGCCGAAAACGGCGGTAGTGATAAATCTACTGCCACGAAGAAGTCTGGCGACCCATATGCCGGCGCTACAATCCGATCCCTGCGCCTGAAACCCGTGACGTCAGTTTTGTCCACAACCGTGTGCGCCGAGGCAATTGAGACGATGCGAGACCGAGGTTTCGACCAGCTCCCGGTCTTATCTGGTCCCGGTGGCAAGCTCGTGGGACTCGTCACATTGGGCAACTTGTTGAGCTACATCTCACGGGGTCGAGCCACAGGGCAGAGTCCCGTCAGCGACATCATGTTCGACTTCTCAGAGATTGACGAGGTCGTGACGGATTCTCGCGAAGGCAAGGGAGCTAAGAGGCGCAACTTTGTTGAGATCACCCTCGACACCCCGCTTACGGAGCTCAGCAACTTCTTCGAATGGAACAGTGCCGCTGTCGTCACGGAGGCCAGCGGTGGCAAGGGCCAGGTTCTCAGTAAGCCTGTGGCTATCGTTACAAAAGTTGATCTCCTCACTTGGATGGTCAAACAAGTTAAGGCGTAAGACTTTAGTCATACTGCCTGGGTGTTAAAAATTCGAATCATTTCTCCTCTTCTTCTCGTTTTTGGTACTATTTCTGCCACTCTACGCGTGGCTTAATCGGTGTTCCGGAAACAGTGGCGGGGTATGCAAGCTTTGGAGTTTAGGAATGCATGGTATACAACAGGAGTAGATTGGGATATGGAGTTTTCTAGTGGCATCAACTCGCAGATCTAGATTGGCTGGTTCACACCAAGTCATCATAGAGAGCAGACTCAACCTCTGCACAAAAAGATTTTACTGTAGCGCGACAGCTTTTATAATAGGTATAGCTCACTTTGAGCCTCTAGCAACCCAAGCGGTGGTTAAATAGAATCATGTCGTTTTTAATGGTAGTCGACGTGTGACTGAATATCACATATCACGCGATAATTGGAAGGTTTCATGCTCGCACTAGGTAATTATGATTATGCTCTCCGGCTCTTAATTAATTAATTATTCTCGGACTGGGTGAGACTTCACCACATCATGACCCTAAATACGGCCTACAATCCAATCCCACCACTTGTCGACATTGGCCTCCAAGACGCTGCCACCAATGACGTCGATCTCGATATCAAACTCTCTCATCTGGGCAAACGTGAACTTTTCCGATCCGTACTCGCCCAACCAACTGTCCTGCTCTTCTGATCCAATCTCATCGGTGCCGACGCCCGAGTCCAACAGTCCCTTGCTGCGCGACTGTCGTATCCGTCCTAGCTCGGACTCGAGGTTGCTGCGCACGAGCGATGCCGGCAGCGCCGTGAACAGATCCAGCTTGTTCGCGGCAATGAGGACATGTACGGCGTTCGGCGCCCGCGAAGTGTGACCAGACCCTGTGCGCTTTTGCAAAGTGAGCAGCACCTGGTACAGATACGTCGCGGCGTCTGCGAGTGTGTCCTCCAGCGTCGCGGCATCGAGCATGTAGATGACGCCTCGCAGCATGGTTGAGTCGCCGAACTGTGGCTTGCCGGTCTTGCCATCCCCGCCTAATTGATCGAGGGCGGCGCCTCGGAGTTTGCCGTGACCCGGGGTGTCGACGAGATGGAACTTCTTGTGCGAGCCTGGTGCGTCTTCGCGCGCCGCCTCCCGGAATGTCGATGCGCCGGCGTCCTGGGATGCGGTGAGCTCGACGGCATGTGGCGCCTGCGAGGTATGCGTTTCGGCAGCTGCATCGCCGCGTTCGAGGAGTGTTAGCAGCGAGGTCTTGCCGCCGCCTGCTGGGCCCGCGAGGAGGACGTAGGGTAAGCTCGTGTACGGCGTTTGACGTGTAATGAAGATATGGACGAGGATCGGCACGATGAAGACTATCAATAGCCCTATGCTTATTACGGGCACTGATGGCGTGAGGATGTATTCCAGCGCCTGTTTCAGGTGCTCCAGCATTGAGGGTGAGGACGACATGTTGGCTGAAGTCACCCGGATTGAGGGGATAGTGAGAGATGGAATCTGGCGCTCTAACTACCCAAGGCAAACAATATAGGGCGTGGGTATCCGTTCCTTTTATGGGCTTCGGCTGAGGAGCAGATTGAGCTGCTCATGCCTGTTCGCGTCAAAAGTGATTTAGGAATCGCAATCTCAACATATGGCCATGTCGAAAGATGTCGGTGACGTGGTGGGAAGTGGAACATGCTGATAATGAATTAATCAATGACCTGATTGATGAATGGACTTATCGATATTTATCGGTGCCAAGGCGGCATTCTTCAGAGCCGTTATTAACACTGTATATGCACTGTCAAACACTGTCCAATCCCTAGGTACCTAGGTACTCCCCTAATCAGATAGGTACACTACTAGTAAGTACTACGTACATGGAGGTACAAGTGAAAATAGATGGCACTTTCTGGGGACTCGAGCAGCAGCCTTAAATGAAACAATGGCGATTTTCAGGGACCAAGTCGCCCAGGGTACGAAAGACCATGTGCTAGGTATGTACCTACCTAATTCTAGCTACCTAGTACATAGGTAGGTATTATTCTAGCTTGCAGGCGGCTGTGCCGTTGCACCCGGAGAGGAGTGGCTTAGCACAGCACCACGTACCTACGTAACAACCTAGGTAGGCCCTTGCTGCTATCTTGAACAGACTACCGTAGGTACTGTAAGATTTTATGATCCTAACTCGCGTTTGATGTTTCTTTATTTCTGATCTTCATGAGCAGTAAGCGTTCCGAGGGTGTTGTTGTTGACTCTTTCTTCCCAGCCTCTTTCTGCTTACGCCGAGGGCATTGTAATCCTCCTAAAGCATTGTATTCGTTTGTTCCCACGGCATCACCAACCTAATCATAAGCGTAGCATTTCGCATGTCGCATACCGCTTCCGCATTGCCGCCTGCTTGTCATCTTCTCTGTACATGGCCAAATACCAATTGTTAACATATCATATCTAATCCTGCCGACCACGCCAAGAACGTTGTGCTATCAAACCTCGAACCGATAGCGTCACTGACGACCGCCCGTAGCTCCAACCTCGTGTGAATCCCAGTCATTCTAGAATCCGTGCTTCGACCTGATCAACTATCAACACCCTCCAGCACCCTCCGACGAGGCCGCTCAAAAGCTCATGGCACAAAGTGCGTTGCCGAACGGTGCTTCGGTTGGCGCACCTGCGCAGCCTTCTGCGAAAGGCAGCGCAGTGACCCCGAAGCTGAGTTCGCAAGACATGGAAATGGGCAACCTTCCAGGAGGCGATGCGCCTCCTGCGCAGCCTGATATAATGCACCTCGCCCGCGTTGGGGATGTAGCAGGCATGGAGAAACTATTTGAGTCTTCCGAGTACGATGCTACCTACACCGACGAAGAAGGCATAACACCTCTCCACGTATGTAGTACTCCCTCGTCCGTCCATCCCCAGACCAGTGTCGCTAACCTAGACTACTTAGTGGGCTGCCATCAACAACCAGTATGCCTTATGCAAGTTCTTGATTGAGAAGGGCGCCGATATCAACAAGAAAGGAGGCGACTCCATTGCGACACCGCTCCAATGGGCTGCACAGCGTTCCAATTACTACACCGTAGACCTACTACTCCAGCATGGGGCCGACCCCCTAATCACAGACGCGCAAGGCTACAATACCCTACACATATCCACGTTTAACGGCAATGTGTTACTGGTGGTTCTCATGTTACACCAGGGAATACCGGTCGACGTGGCCGATGCATATGGACATACGAGTCTAATGTGGGCTGCGTATAAGGGATTCCCACAATGCGTCGACCTGTTTTTGCGATGGGGCGCGAGTGTGCACGCGACCGATGAGCAGGGATTCACGGCACTACATTGGGCACTGGTTAAAGGGTCGCTCCAGTGCATTCTCAAGCTCGTCGAGTACGGTTCAGATCGGTTCGCCAAAACGCAGACAGGCAAGACCCCTGCGATAACAGCAAAGGACTTGAACACTTCTGGTGCTTGGCATCGTGCGTTGAGAGAGTGTGGCTATGATGAAGACGGACATGCAGCAGTTCCGTGGTGGCCTGGCTCGTCTTTTTTTCTCAAAGACAAGCGAAGTTTCATGAGCAAATTCTTGTTTCTCTTGCCAACACTCATGCTCTGGGTTGAGTTTATGATATTGTCGCGTTTGCCAATATTCATATCCGTATTCCTCGCGTTGTTCGTCGTTTTCGGTATCCAATGGGCTGTAAATCAAGTATTGGCATATGCGCCCCCAGATATGAGACAGCTTCATAAAACGGTATGTTTCTTCCCATCTCAAAATTATTTTATCACGCACTAACTTGGGTTTAGCCATGGCTAGCAGGAATCTTCGCTGCTTCTCTGTTCTTGCTTGGTGTTCAATGGCTACTAGTTGTAGTTTCAGGTATGTTCATCTATCGCTTCCCGTTCATGTAGAGAGGCTAACATAGATCAGCGACGTATGCCAGCCACCCACTCATCAACCTATTATTCTTGATATTTTATTCACTTACAGCCTATTTCTATACCGCTTCCATGACGTTCGATCCCGGCTTTGTCCCTAAACTTAATGGCATTGCGGAGCAGAAGGCCGTGATCGATGAGCTATTACACTTATGGAAATTTGATGAATCGAATTTCTGTGTAACTTGTATGATACGCACACCTCTTCGAAGTAAACATTGCAGGCGGTGTCAGCGGTGTGTTGCAAAGCACGATCAGTGAGTTTGACCTATGATAAAACACTATCGCGATATTGAACTAACTCCTTACTAGTCATTGCCCTTGGGTCAACAATTGTGTTGGCATTAATAATCACCGCCACTTCTTTATTTACTTAGTCAGCTTGATCTTCGGCATCCTCGCGTTCGATTGGCTGTTGTACTATTACTTCGCAGAAGTGTCGAAGTCCGCGTCATCTGAATGTCTGGTCCTGGCTGAATCTCTTTGTAAAGTTGTCAACGCCGATCCATACACGGTCTTGATGGGGTTTTGGGCGACTGCGCAGCTCACATGGGTCAGCATGCTCATATTCGTACAATTCATACAAGTTGCGCGAGCAATGACAACCTATGAAAATATGTACGGCATTCAAGACGGAAGTGCCGGGGCACATGGCTCGGCCTTCACGAGCACAGGTGCACCGTTAGACCCCAGCCATCCAAACTTTGGGGCTCCCCCATCAGCGGCAGATGATCCACTTGGAGCACGCAAAGGGCACAAACATCATCGAGGCTTCCTGCAGCAATGGAGTCGGATACTTGGCGTTGATACTTTCATTGAAACTGCTACCGGCCGTGGCGCCGCAACAGGAAATAAAATGCGCCGAAAGAAGAACCCATACAGCAAGGGCTACTTGCAAAATTGTAGCGATTTCTGGTGCGATTCCTCACCCATGTTTGGACGTAGGGAAAACGGCGACGCCATGTTGGGGGGAGAGCGCATCAACTACACGGAAGTCTATGAGAGTCCATCTGCAATGGGGCTAGGCACTGCACGAAGGAGAGGTGAATATGAGGCAGTCGCCAATGAGGAGGTGTAAACTATACGTGCCTGGAAAATATACAGGTATTGTGGTAACAACCCAGCACGTCATGTTAATGCAGACACGAAATGGATTGTCCCTTGGAGGCTGGCATGTACCCCTAGCGTAGCGTTGGATTATATACATTAGAACATACAGATCCTCAGTGGCTATCATGTGTAGACTAATATGAAAATATTGCTACCACATAACCTTTTTCTGAGACCACGGCCTTCGGGGTTTGAGCCGCCTAAGTTACCTGTTGCGCTACAAGTAGGATGAGGCCCGAGACTAAGAGTCGACTATTTATAGCTTCGACCACATGAGCTAGAACAATACTCAATCAGTAAATTTGCATATTCTAGGAGCAGTAATGGAGTAAAGTGTTCGAAGCATAAACATGAGACACTTCCTATTGCAGAACGTGACTAGGAGCGACGCTCGGAATAGCCTACATAGGTATCTAATGTTCATATTTATCTAGATCATCAGGCTCGGGAGATTGGTGTCGTTCTAGCTAGTCTTATCGATACATTTGGATCACGCTGGTAACTGAATAAAGTCTATGAACTTTAACGACCCCTCACAGCCTGATTCGATGTTCATCATCACTTTCAGCATGCGAGAGTAACTACCCCGAAGAGCATTGGCGCGGTAAACTCTTCAACTTCCGCTAGAGTGTAACGTAACAACTCTTGAAGTTTTATTTATAGATGGTAGAGATGCTAGCTTGTCGGGACTGATGGTGCTCTAGTGTGCTTCACCATGGAAAGGTTTCGCCATTATTGCTAACTATAACTTCGCTCTCGTGATCCCTCTTGCCTTCCACGATACTCAGACAGGTGAGGCCCGACACCCTTGGATCGATAGCACCTAGTTCCTTAGTTACCGCAGGATCACCACCGCCGAATTCAGTCGCCGCCCAACCTGGACACATCGCGTGGACTTTAACCCCGTGGTCCTTAAGCTCATAGGCATGGCAGGCAGTAAGCATGCCCAGCGCCGCCTTCGTACACCGATATGCCGTATATGGTTGGTGATAGAACTCGAAATCCGGGTTAAACCGCGACGCGATGGATCCCATGCTACTTGTAACGTGGATGATCCGCTTCTGTTTCTTCGACTCGGCTGGCTGGGTGAGCAGGAGAGGCTTGAATGCATCGGTCACCCTGGAAGTTCCTATCACGTTGATGTCGTAAAGTGTGCGCATCTTGGTGGCCTCGTCTTCGATATCGTGGTAGTTCACGCCCGCATTGTTAATCAGGACGTCCAGACGTCCGGACTCCGCCTTCACTGTGGCGGCGGCGGCGTTGACAGACTCGGGGGATGTGATATCCAACTGTATTGCCGTAACGGTGTTTCCATGGCTAGTTGACAGTCCTGCTGCAATGTCTTTACCTCTCTGCAGATCACGACTGCCGAGGTAGACGTGGTATGGTGTACCGTCACTGCTTGTATTTGATTCGAGCAGTACCTTGACGATTTGTAGGCCGATGCCTCTGTTGCCGCCTTTAATATCTAGTTAGCTTGGTCCACTCGGGCATGCTGGGAAAAACTCCAGAACGAACCTGAAACAAGTACTATCGTGCTCGCCATTTTGTCAAAGTATTGATTGTAACAAGAACAGCTGATTCTCTAGTCTCTGAGCTAAACTGGTTTGCTTCTGTGCACGTAATGTCTACATCTTCGTGCTGCTCTTAACATATTTATACAGCTGTATATTGAATATGAATTACTATATTTTGAGACATCAAACACGGAGTTAAGGTCATTCAATCGATCTACTTGTTCCTTGGATGACACCATTACCAATCTTCCCGCTCTCTCGGGAACTGTATATCTAAGTAAGCTATCCCTTAAGCATCTCCCTGCGTCCGGGGTTAAGGTGACGTAAAGCCGGGTTACCTTTGGTGCCATGGGCGGCGTCGGTTGCTTGGCATCGCCTGAATCGCCTATGACCGTTACTTAAAGCCGGACGATTGTTGGCTTCGCCAAGCGCTTTCCGCGCGCTTTGTCAGTAAGACGCTTCGGTGCTAACTCATCTAGCATCGGAGTTTATTGTGCTGAAATGAGTTAGAGTGGAAGATCTCATGACGAAGACACTCTGAGAAACTGACATCGAAAGGGGAACCCAATGTCTCCAGTAAAGATGACATAATGTAACTCACTAAAAAGCATCGACAAAAATCTGCCAGCGCATCATCTGAAGTCTTTTGGTGAGGAGTACGACCTGGTACTGGCTGAAGCTGATGTTAGGTAACGCTTTCGATGTGAGCGTGAGGTCACGCCACAACATTCTTCTCGAACGCCACATGTGGCGTTGCGTAACCATCAATCTCCTTGAAGATCTGGGTGAGTAAGCACGTAGTTGCAACTTACCGGTACTACTTATACAAAGCCGAGATTTGTCACAGAACCCAGCTTCATTTCCCATGCGTCTAATCCTTGCGTGAAAAGGACGAAGGATCAATCAAATTTACTAAAAGGGTTTCAGGCTAATAAGTAGACAAGAGCTGGTCTATATCACCAACGACGAAAATACCGTAGCAAACAAAATGGCCTAGTTCAGGCATGGAAATGGCAACCAAGAAGAAAGCCTCATCGAGCAGTGTTTGACGCTAGGAATAAATCAGAGTAGCTGACAAATACGTGTGGCACTGCGAACAGGAGCTTCGGCGCAAGACGAATTATAGCAGACATATTGACTCGTTTTGGCGAAGTACAGGGATCGAAGAAGCGGAAGCTGCTGAGTCCAACTACTCTTCAATATACACAGGTCAAGAACAAGAACAGGGTTTTTAGGAACATGTGCTGATGCAATACTACTGCAGTGCGTTGGTCATCTGCCTTCTTCGCAAACAGGGCGCGAACCATTCAATGGCTCGAAATAGGGCATGTAGTCCATCGGGAATATCGCCATCAGGATCTTTCATGTTTCCGTGGCCTTTGGATCTTTACCTGATCCATCCTATACATGACGCACGGACGAGGAACACACATGCTCCTCCTCGTAGCCCTTATTATCATGCTAAGATCGGAATGGGGATAGCAACTCAACCTTCCCCACCGACCTCCAATGAAGAATATGCGTTCGACTGCTGAGAGAGGATATCCGTGCGAGTAGCCAACGGGTGAGGAAAGGGCTATATTGCTCCGGGGAAGCCGGGGGTATTATTCGCGAAACATTGGAGTGCTTCTTGGGAAACCCGTATGTTTACATTGAATGCAGTCAGTTTAGTGCCAGAAACTTTCGCGCCTATCGGCTCTTGCCATCAATAGCGGTGAGAGGGCAGAGTTGGAGAGAAGATGCGGGTATAGATGCCTGTGTGGGAGTTCTAGAGCCCTGAGATGTCGGTTTGCGCCTCGCCGTGGGGTTGAACTCCAGAGACCGCCAAGTAGTATTTCGAGGGGTGCGGAGCACGCAGTTGGGGTGTTCCTTCATAGGTTCAAATTCCTCTTGGAGACTCTCAAGCACGAATCATCCATTGCCAGGGGTGGTGATGTGCATGTGCATAGTTCTATATAATCATGGTTTTAAGGGGATGCCGACAGACGACCAATGGAACTTTTTTGTTGACAATCTAGCCTCCCAGTTTCGATATACAAACTCAATGTCCATAAGCCACACCGAGATTTCTCGATGCAAATTTAGCAGTAATGTTAGAATGTAGGATTCTCTATTATGTACTCGTACATGAAATATGGGCGGATTATAGGTATAAACACTGGCAGGGAACTAGTAGCGTAAACGCTTCATACAAGTAGACTCTGGTTTAACCCAAGCAACTCATCACGAGCCTGCGTTGACTGTGTGTATGTAATAGAAATTTGATCTGTCTCAGCTCTCAGCTTCCAACAGATGGTCGGAAGTTAGTTTTCCAGCATGCTTCGGAGACTGCGGCTCTCAGACCAACCCCCAAGGGATCATTGAACCTGCAACTTCGTCTTCAGCCGAATCGAGAAGATCAATCACAAAGGCTTAATGTATATTGCATTCGGCGTCTAGATTCCTCACTAACTCCTGATACGTAGATAGATTGTCAGACAACATGTAACACTATTGAGACATCATGGAGGCAAGTCTGCCACGATAATAGATGCATATTTCCAGACACTGTATCTCACCTCGGGGTTCGCCTTGCATGCCGTCAGCGAGAGCTGATGCTACGGCGTTTTGGTGCGCTTTCTTTTATCTCGAAGTAGCTACATCTACGTTTTCAGGAGGCTGACCATCATATCACAAACGCGCGTCTTTAGCAAAGGGACGTGTGTGCGGTTCCGGATCCAGGTACTAGGTATCACGTTTGACAGCTTTCGACTTTGTGGTTGTCACGGGAGTAAGGTAACCTCAATTAAGCCCAAAAATCACCAGACGTTGAAGTGAGGCGAGTCTTGCGTGGAGTTGAGTTCGACTTAGCCATGTTGACGAAGATTATGCTGCTTGCCGAGCTGTTGCGGTTGAAACTAAGCAGATATGACTCCAGACAGTACAGCGGCACAAGCGTCTAGAGTTGGAAGGGACGTTGCATGTAGGGGACTTCTGGACAACTTTTGCGGTGGCATTCCATGCTACCGATCGTATCTGTGAAAAGGAGGCTTCGGGATGCCGCCTCCCGAACTCATATGTTGTTATTTGTGTATGTACTAGACATTAGAGGTAGATCCGGGTCCGGATAGTTACTTGCCAAGGAATATCAAAGGGGGCAGCCTCATCATTGACCGCTAGAAGTTCCAAGGCAAACAGGCTAACATGGAAATTTCCACTGTCCGAACCCATTGATACGGGTGGCAAATGTGCGACTAGACGGTACATGGCTGGCAGCCTAGCCAAAGACCGGCGACCATGTAGAAGGTATTAAAGGCGAGTAGGATTTTACACTTTGTAGATTATGATGACGCGTAAGTGAGCTGAGAGACAGTTGACTTGGAAATCTGGACGCAACGAGACGTGTGGACTAGTGATGCTGTATCACAAGACAGAAACGCTGGCACCACGCTATAGGGTCGTTTAGGTCAAAGTCCTGTGATCTTTGATTAGCTCGGGGTGCGATGCCGATGAGAGACAATCATGCAACCACGGCACTGCGGGTAGTCGAGAAGAAGCGTACTTAGATGTGCAAAATGCTGGTGATCGGTGAGCGATGATCAGAATTGGCCGGCCGGCTGGGCCTTTTGGGAAGCCACATTGAAACCAACACGGCGCTTTGCAAAACACGAGGCCATGGTTGGCCATGAAGCTACACACGATTGGGCAATGGGAATTCGATACTGGACTACTATGTAGACAAGCAGCAGTTTGTTTATTTTACAGAACCTATGCTCAGCCTCTATGCAAAACATACATACCTAGGTACCTACTTTGATGATCTGCCAAGTTCTTTTCGTCGGTCCACCCACTGGGACTAGACCGCTTGGATGCTGGCGCATGAACCGAAATTGTCCCTAGCATGTCGAGCATGTGTACATACGGTAGGTATGTAAGTACGAAGTACATACTGGGAAAAGGTATTGTTATGTAATACCTACCATGATTATTAATGGAGTGAAATCAGCCTAGCAGGGCTGAATCTCGTCTCCGCATGGAATTGGTGGAGTTCCAGAACCCTCCCCCGTCCATCTTCGTTTCGAAGACGAGCAAACAACAAGAACTTGATATTCATCTAGATTCAAAAAAAGAAATCGCTTTATTTCTGTCTTCTGAAATGAACATGGCTATTCACGATCGTCGGCTGCCTCTCAATCGTGGCGCCCATGCGAAATAATGGGGTGAAGGGAGGGCGCCAATGGTTAGCTAATGGCCATGCTGTCAGCTTTTGGGGGCCGCAGGAATCCTTCGCTGCGAGCAAAGCCTCATTGTTCCATTGGTGGCGGCACTTGCCTGTATGACTGCCATCAACCCTTGGATAAGTCGAGGGTCGGGTCGTCAGTGAGCTTTGAATACCACCAACCGAGGCCTATGACATACCCCATGTCCAAGTACGCAAGTTCATTCTTCGCGACACAGCAACTATCGATATGCGTCTACGTGTAGTATTCGGCTCTCCGAGTCCGTCCGAGTATCTTCAACGTGATACCCATCCGATGCACCTAATGGGTCCAAGGGTACTTATTTGGTGAGAAGTGGCAATTAATGACGCGGGACTAAGTGCAAGGAGAATGGAGTAGCCGCAAGGCATCCAGATAGGCAAACATTTCCACGGCCAGAAACTGGTTGCACGATGCATATACGTCGGCGACGACTTGACGACGACTTGACGGCTCGACGACACACATGACGCCACACACACAACGCTGCACAAGTTCCAAGGAACACCAGTGCTCCTTTGTTATGCAATAGCCACTTAGAATCAGTAATAATTGCTACCACGTCTGTCTGCCGGCAAGGTAGGTACTCTGGTAGGTAGTATGAGATCAACCTCAACAGAGTTCCGATTCCACCAAACAGGGGATCAGCCGAATTGACCAGGTAGCACAAACCATTTACACGAAGCCACAGCTATGTAGAGTCATGTGCAGGCAGCTAACCTAGGAAATAAACATACACGCAATTACTGTAGGAGCTGCATGATGCCAGTGGTTTTGTTATGCATAACCATATGAATCGTTTTTATTGCTCAGATACCCTTTCATCCATGATCAATTGGCTGCCCAAATATGAAAGGGGATGCATGTAATAACACACAACCTAATCATACCTACGTAGTAATGCTACTAAGACATGCACCTACAGTACTCATGCGTGCAAATCAGAGAAAAGTCCGCCAAATGCTACCTGCATAAGTATTAAAAAAAGTACCGGTAGACTTCCAATCCGTCCTCTTACGGTGATCACTGTTCGAGCGGCCCACGTGAGGAAACTAGAATAGGTAGAATAGGTAATGCCTATTATGGCCCCATCTGCGCTGCTCCCAACTAGGCACCCGCCCTTCCTTCTGCTCGGCTCTCTTTTTTGATGCGAGAAAGCAGGTGGCCAATACAGCACGGTGGTCTCGTCAGTTGGCCGCAGGATGGGCGCTTGCCAATTCGAAGGACCTGATAGAATTACTTGAGCATGGAGCATTAGAGTTACCTACTACGGCTCACAGCATGTTTCGTCTGATTTGCGGCTCTGCGAACCTGGTCTATTAGCTGACTTATCGTGGCGGGGGCAGTGTTGGCCTTTGTGCATTGCACTGTAAGTAGGCAGTATGTCTGTACTGTATGCAAAATGTACTACTTCGTATGAGTGAGTAGGTTAGGCAGGACTCGAGTCGGCGGACAGTACAGTAGAGTGAAACTGCGTCTACAGAATCTCGAACCAACAATTGACGCCATCGTCGTTCCTCGATCGCGGGTTGGCTGTGCATTCCTCCACATTCCTCCACCCACCCAGCAAATCACGGCGCGACGCTGCCACCCGTTGCACTGGTACGCGATCACTGTCTAGGTGCGGTATGGCAGTCGACGACGATGCAGAATGACGGATGTTGCCAGGCCAGCGTCGCTGCATGCCATACTCTGCCATACCCACCTCCCAGTACCATATCAATGATACCATCTCGTCGTCTAGCCCTCTCTGGTCTCTCGATCGAGCCGCGGTGACACTCGCTTTGATCTCGATGCTACATCAAGGGTGAAACTCAGCATCACTGTACTACGTAAGTACGTCGTAGGTAGGTAGGTAGGTATGTAGGTGTAGGCATACTGCCCTAATGCTGCGAACCGATGCACTACACGATGCACCACACGACTTGCAATATATCGCCCTGCACATGGAGAGCATGGGCACCACTCACTGCTCGTTGTCCGACCGAATGAGTGTTCGGCTGCATATCGACAGTAGTCGAGTCAACACACATCCCTTACATCCCTTACATACTAGTAGTAGGCAAGTAAGGTAGGTAGTTCAGAGCGGGAGGTTGTGCGCGCCACCTGCACCCACTTACTTACATCCATACTGACGACTGACATACGATACGAAGTCGAATCTTGGAACAGAGGCGGCGGGTGTGAGTCAACACCGATGGTTAGTCAGGACGGGACTGGGGATGCATCTGTGTTGAATTCGGCCTAGAGCACAGTACCTAGGTAGGTACCTACCTACTGTGCGTACTTTGGCAGTTTTTGTCTTTCTCTAATTGTCCATTTTCGCACTAGGTAACATGAATCACATGCTAGGTATTGGCTTTCGGAACTCGTCCAGAATGTTTCTTGTTTCTACAGCACGCTATTCCACGGCCAGGGAATTGGAATCCCCCCCAATATTCGGTCTTCTATCATTACTACGATGTACCCGTTGCATGACGTTCCGCCAGGCCGCCGGTGTTTGGACGCCCAGGGCTCGCCAGGGTCGTGGTAAGTATCCCGACATACTAGATTTGGTGTACGGATACTTCCCAGCGGCCGGCCCTCCTTGCTCTGTGTGTAAGTAAGTACAGAGACAGCCAGGTGAGGTGAGCACCGCCGCATGGCTGTGGTGGTGGGTGTTGTCCGTCTATCTGTTTACTATGTATTTTCCCGGTTCTGTCCATTTCAATGCACCTTTCCGTTTCCGTTAGCTCGGTGCTGCGGTCCACTAGGTACCTAGGTAGCGTACTGATGTACCTATTTACAGTCTGTACAGTGGTGCGCAGACCCATGCTAGTGCATCCATCAACCCCTGCTCTGCTCTGCCCTGCCTAGTGTCGTTCTCTTTTAGTGTACTAGTACGTACCTGCCAGTGCTAGTGCAGCAAGGTACTGCGCTAGGTACACTGCCTGACAGGGGGGCCTCTCCCAGGCATCCAAGCGTCCAGCATCGAGAGCATGGGTCAACCAGGGAGCTCAGGTAGCGAACGAAAGTGAACCCCTGCTTCTTACACTTTCACCTGCAACCTGACCTGCCTGACCTGCTGCTGCTGCGCGCGAAAAATACTAAATTACAAGATGGCCTCCTCCTCCTCGTCTCTGATATTTAATTCAGGGTCAGGCCCGCTTCCCCCTCTACCCATCCTGTCTACCCAATCTCATAACCACAGCCAACAGCTTCCTATACTACTACTACTAGTATACCAAATACTCCCATCTCTACACTTCTACACTCCTAGTCGACAGAAAGGATCGTCTGCTCGCGTGTCTTCCGGCTTGCCCCCTTCGGATACCGACCCCCGACCACCGACCTGACCTCCCAGCGACTGTTTCCCGACGCTGTCGTGGCTTCGGCACCGAGAGTAACCATCAACAACTCGGTATACAAACAAAGACAGAAACGCGATCAACAAGAACCTACTTTTGAATCGCATCCCTACCCACCTCGTTCCCCTCGAACCTCACGACCGCGTCCACGGGTGATTCAGCCCCATCCACCCAACAACACCACACAGGACCACATCACACCCAAAAACACAATGTGCGTGAAGGAGATCTTCTCCGAGATGCGGCCAGATGGTCGCATCTTCACCTGGACCGAGGGAGACTTCTGCCACAAATCACATCGCGGACAGTTCTGCGAGAAAACGAAGGAGTTGCGCCACCCCCCAGGATATCGACGAAGCGAACCTAGAGTCTCAACATATAGCCATGGCCAATTGCCGCCAACGCCCCCATTGTCCTACCACTCAGACTATACTTCCGACTCAGACCGTTCTAGCAAGCGCCGATCTGGCACCTACATTAACGACCACAATCTAGTAGAGGTCAGCCGGAGACGGTCGTCAAAACACAAGAGAGACGGCAGCGGGGATCGTCTAGTATATCTCGGTAGCTCACCACTATCACGGACACCACCACTCTACCAGCACAATGTACCACAAAGCCCTGTATCAGGCGTCTACGACACATACGAGCCTAACTACCGCGACGCTGATGACAACGAACGCTCACGCGAGCGCCCGGCTTCGGTCCACGTAGAGATCATTAACGAACGCCCCAAGAGCCACCGCCGACAGGGCTCATCCAAAACAAGCTCGTCGGGAGAAGAGCGTCGCCCACGGCGATCCTCTAGTGTACACCATGGGGACCAACACCGGCTACGCAAGAAGGAAACCGAGATTGCACGCCAGAATGAAGCAATCGCAAACCGAACGCCAGTACCACAGGTTCCATCTAGCCCACCCCGCTACCGACGTGGCTCGGTAGCCATTGTTCCCACCATCGCGGTGCAAGAGCGCATGCGCATGAAAGAGGAGGCAGCACTAGAACGCGAACGAGAGCGTGAACTCGAAGCTCAGCGGAGGCGACTGAAGGATCGCTTCGAGTTTAAGCAGTATCGCTAAACTCAACAAAAGAAAAAAAAAACAAGTAAAACCACAAAATCACATGAAAAAACACACACACACACACACACACACACACACACAGATATTCAGCATATTGCGATGTTTTACTATACTAGATGGGAACTTTTGGGCGTTTGGTTAGCAATTGGTCATGTTCACTGCCCCCAAATATCGGGTTTCTTTGGATTTGCAACAACAGGCGCGTATTAGATGATACCAATTATACCAGTGTGTGGAAGGAAAGGCATTGGGCTACGAGCATATGTATAGATTCTGTGTCATGTTAGCTGAGCTGTCTGGTTAGTAGCGAAGCGAGCAGTTAACGATATCAATCAAGAAAATTAATTTGGAGATTTGATTCCCAATGATGCTGTGATATGCCCATTGATTCTCAACTCAACTCAAGTCAGTCGCGCAAGACGCTTGGCTTGTCGCAACATGGACGGTTAGACGCTAAATCAAAGTCAATGAGTCAATTGGAGAAAAAAGTTGAACCCCGCCAAAGACGGTTGCGGGGTGCTGCCATCGACAATCCCGCCCGCATGTCTGAGCGTGACATGACATGACATTCGTTCTGAGGGTTGGAGTCGAGGGTTGGCTGCCTATCGCAGACGATCCTGAGGGCGGCGGAATTGGCGATGCTGATTGGATCCTCGCACAGCCACTACCATTGCTGCCTGTTTTTGGTGGTCGACGATAGGCTGCCAAGAGGGTCGAGTACCTAAGGCATAACGAGAGTACGTAGTACTATGTACTGGTAGGTTCTCTAGGCGTCCTCCAAGTACCCAGCTAGTAGCCGCACGCCAAGTCCTTGGTTGACGCGCTGTTATTACTGCTGTCATCGGTACTGCAGCAGTACCTCTATGCCACCAAGGGATCAAGTAAGTACACCCTTCCATTACAGTGCGCACTGTACGGTACGATAAAGTATTCTTCTACTGTATCATCCCGCCATCAATCAATCGCATCCTCTACACCCAATTGCGTGCGACCATCTACGACCATCTGTGGTCATAAAACAACAATGAATGCGCCGGCCACTGTACGGAGACACAAGCGATCGTGTGCCCCGCGGACCCTTGACCCCGCCGTAATCGCACGGGTGATCATACCGACTATTAAGTATGACTCTTCCGCGTAGTGGGTAGTTCCCATTGCATCAAAGCACCTTGGCGTAGTCCGCGGCTCGTCTGCCTTATGAGATGCCCACAGTCATCCCCGGTTCCAGAACGTCGTCCAGGCCATGTATTCGATCTGCATCTGGCAAGTGGGCAGACACCTATCCCCAAACCCTTCTCCATATCTAGGACTTTGTTTTTCCACATTCCCTCTGGCGGCCTCGAAATCTTGATGCCACCTGCCTTGCTTCATCTGGTTGTGCAGGGTGTCCGATGACCAAATGCCGTCATTAAGGTCCGTGCCGAGCTAGACACAACGGCACTGTTCTTGAATACATCGTCAACCCTTACTTATCACACGCTCGGTGGGAGATAGGGAACGGTCAGAGATTTCCTCATAGGTAGCCTACTATGCGACCCAGACACACCTTACCCACCCACACTGAGCCTCTCGCACCCGATATACTATGTACTACGAGACTCTCTTCTAGGCAGCCGACTTACCTATTAGATTACATACTAACCCAGGGGAAATCTGTCCATGATTCGGCGATGACTAAGGATTGGAACGTGGCCTGAAGCAAGCATCGTTCGATAACGGTGGTGGCAACTTATTGGCACAGCTTTCCTAAGCTTAACGTAGGTTACGCCCTTCTGTGTTTGGCCATTGTCACCATACCTTCGCTGGTATAGCTTGCCGTGTCGTATCAAGAAGTCATATGATCCAGGCAAGCCACAAGATATACATCGTGTACTCGCTGGACGACGTTTCCTTTACCCATGATCCTAGCAATACCTGGGAGCGGCCAGAGAGTCAACATCCCTCGCACGCCTTGAGGCGTATGTAGCGCACTTTTGCTTTCTCCGGAGACGCGAATAGCTTGTACGACAGGGTCTGTATCATGAGTTGCAAAACAGGGAGGTATACACTGTCACGGATATTGTATAATCGTATCGTTACTTGGAATGTCTAGAACAGGCAGAACAATACGCAAACACAGGGTCTTATGACGTGAAACATTAACAGTACGACAACAGTCTTACGAAAGATAAGGGAGAGCGGAAACCTGTGCATATAGGGGTCACGAGGATACATAGTAATAGCATAATTTGCAATGCGATTGTGACATCCAGTTGTCATTCTCCCAAAAACTTACCTTTTTTTTTTTTTTTTTTTTTTTTCGTTATGTCGTAACTTAGCATGAAAATCACATCGTACAGCTCCATTTAAATGTTATTGAGATTAACAGTAAGCTACCCAGACATGTCTCGCAATTGAGTTGCAGAGATGGCTCCGAACGGAGGTAAGGTGTGGGGAGGGGCGCACATGTGATATGTTGGACGGACGGCATGGGGGATGCGGATGCGGAAAGCTAGAAGAGCATGAAGAAGCCTGATGCAGGATCTAGTGTACCGAGATAAAACGGCTGAGACATGCAGATCCCCGTCGACTCATCCGGAATGTCATAGAACACCTAATTCAAGAGAAGCGGTAGGATATATGGTAATGTAAAGAAAAAGGGGAGAAGAGAATAGAAATGATGGCCAGACTTTTGTAATGATCATACGACAAGGCAACGCCTATCTCGGCGAACGATAGCTGGTTCGCATATTAATGGATGCCTGGATGAGTATACAGCTTCAAGACTACCGACCCGACCGGCATGATACACAAGTTTACTATTGTTCATTCCCCCTGATGCGTGGCCGACCCCTCTCATTCATCGGACACTCTCCAAATGACCTTCTCGCCGCTCGCGCCCTCCCGCATAGCATTCAATCCCTTCGTTGCCCTCTCCAACAGCGTCTTGCCATCTGCAATTCGGTACCGATTAGGTTCCACGATGCCTTGGGCGAGCAAGGTAGGCATAATCTCGATCTGAAGCTTCTCCCGGAACATCTCGTTCTGTGGCGACCTCCTGGTTAGCTATCATCACTCACAACTGAGGGAAAAGGATTCCAATAGAGCCCAATGGTGGTTCAGGCCAACTCGGTCTTGTTGGCAGGATCGGGAACTCACCTTCCAGTAGTAATGAGTCCTGACGCCTGATACGTGCACACCCGTCGCCCACGCAGCGCTAGCCCCGGCGTCCATCGAGTACTCGGGGGCATTCTCGTCGCTGGCGTGCTTCAAGATCACAGGAAGCATGACGGCGACCGTGCTGCCGCTCTGCGCGACTTTGGATATGGGTGTTAGGGTCCGCTCCTGTGAGCCGATGCAGTCGACGATGAGCGGGAAGGCCGGAGATTCGCCCCCTTGTGCACTTCGTAGCAGATCGTCGACGACCGTGGGACTTTTGTAGTCATAGATCTCTGCTGCGCCAATTCTCTTCAGGTAGGCGTGGTGGATAGGTGAAGCGGTGCCGACAATGTGCTTGTATCCGTAGTACTTGAGTACTTGGATGATGAGCTGTCCTACCGAGGAGGCAGCGCCCCAGATAAGAATGCGATCGTTGGCCCGAGGAGGCGAGTATCCCAATGGTTTGGGCCATGGGGTTGGCAGCTTCAAGTCTGTGGAGACGGTATTAAATGCCGTAACTAAGTTCTCAGGTAATGTGACAGCTTGTTCAAGTGAAAAGCCTTCTGGTACCTAGTCCCGCTTGATGAGCCTCCCGAATACGAGTTTCGTTTTCCTTTTTACTTTCTCGTGTATTCAAGGGTTAGGACGAGCTTGCTTACCTTTCCAAACACCCATTCAGGCGCAGTAACGTACTCTTGATGGGTCTTCCATTCGGGCTTTTGGTGTGCAAACCCAAAAACCCTATCGCCGACCTGGAAATGCTTGACGTCAGGGCCGATTTCGACGACGATACCGGCGCCGGTCGATCCTGTCCTCATCGGGGGCTCGACGAGGAGTCCACCATCGGCCTGGTGAAGGTCGAGGGGTGTAGAAGCCGTCCACTTGATGTTGACTCTGATCTCGTCCCCCTTTGGTGGTATTGTTGGAAATTGGCGGACTTCGTATGGAACTCGAGTTCCAACGAGAACAAGACCATCATGGGTTTGATTATAAGACATGTTTTATGGAAGTTTCCGAGGTGATCGAATGAAGAATTGTCAGTTTGGGACGTTCTTGTTGTGGCTCGAGTCCATGCAACTTTGAAGACACATCCTCAGTGACCATTTTCCCCCCTTATATACTCAATCTTTCTAGTATACGCCATGGCATTGTGTGCCCATTCATAATAGACATGACGTCCTTCAATAACTAAGCAGTGTATATAGGGTTGCCCAAAAGGGGAACATACAGCGGTTCCTGCGTCGAAACTCAACTCTTCTAGCTTTGTGACGATGGCATCGTCGCTATCTTTGACTAAGCAGCTTCTTACTAACAAACACCAGACCGAAAAGAGAAATATACTGCGGTCGATGCGTTAGCGGGTATCTACAGTACTAGGTAGGTGGGTACCTACTAATGTACGGAGTACACCTGTAGGTACCTGACAGAGTGTGGCTTAGGTGGTGATTTTTAATTCACCACCCACCAATTGCCGGTATTCCAGTTATTGCAGCCAATGAACACGGCGTATTCAGAAAACCTTCACTGTAATTGGACCCTAATGGGCCCTAGGGACACCTGTAATCCTGTAATTGTCACTGTAATTGTCATCACCACCGGAAAGCTACTCTTCCGTCACGTACGACGATGATCGGTACGAGTACGAGATCGAGCTGTACGCGCGCCAAGCCTCTTAGGCGGATCGCGTTCCTTCTCCCCCCTTATTGCGCTGCAACATTTAAGCAAAGCCTGTCTCCGTCAATCGTCGTGTCCCCATCACCAACTCAAGAACATCTGCGCTCCAAGTAGAGGAACCTGTCTGTCTGGTCTATATCGTGCCCGAGTCGACTTAATTGACCTTACCATGGCGCCTCAGTACGAGTTTGGCGGCCCGTAAGTGCTGGAATCTCCTCATGACGTCTGCCTTTGCTCACACAGAACCTCAGAATTGGCGCCGCCGGCATCGTGTTTGGGCTCCCATTGCTTCTTTACACGTTCGCATTTGCTTGCAATGATATTTCCGGCTGTCCAGCTCCGTCCCTGCTGAATCCTAGCAGCTTCAGTCTTGAACAGTTCAAGGCCGAAGTGGGCTGGCCCGGCTTCAGCGGCCTCCACAGCTGGGAAGTTACTGGCGTCACTCTCGGATATCATTTCTTCAGCTTGCTATTATGGAGGATCCTGCCTGCAGAAGAGGTGATTGGAACCAAGTTGGTGCAACATGGCCGTCCATTGAAATATCGCATGAACGGTCTGTACTTCATTATGCAGCATGTTTAACGCAGTCGCTTACTAAACCCCATAGCTTTCTCATCCACTCTCGTTCACCTGGCCATATGTGCCGTCGGTACATATCTCAAGGGTGCCGACTTCATTGTCTGGACTTACATAGCCGACAATTATGTTCAGTTGCTGACCGCTAACATCCTCATTTCAACCGTGCAAGCTATTTTTGTTTACGTTAAGAGTTTCAGCGTCGACACCAACTACCCAAACAAGGACATGCGCGAGCTTGCCGCTGGTGGTCACACTGGGAATCTAATCTACGATTTCTACATCGGCCGTGAATTGAACCCCCGTGTTACGCTGCCCTTCTTTGGCGAGATTGATCTAAAGACATTCAACGAGATGCGCCAGGGACTTACTGGGTGGATTATCATGGACTTGGCCTTCATTGCCAAGCAATATCGGACTTATGGCTATGTTTCCGATAGCATCATCTTTGTCTCTGCTTTCCAGGCTTTCTATGTGCTCGATGGACAGTATCTTGAGGGTGGAATTATGACCATGATGGATATCACTACTGACGGTTTCGGCTATATGCTGTCATTTGGTGACCTTGCTTGGGTGCCTTTCCTATATTCGACCCAGGCGCGCTACTTATCCATCTACCCAGTTCACCTTGGGTGGACGGGTGTTGCTGCTGCTAGCGCTGTGTTTGCTACTGGTCTATATATCTTCCGAGCTGCGAACTCTCAGAAGAATCTCTTCCGCGGTAACCCGAACGATCCTAAAGTGGCCAAGATGTCATATCTTCAAACCAAGCGAGGCACAAAGCTTCTCACTGACGGCTGGTGGGGTAAGTCTCGCCACATCAACTACTTCGGAGACTGGTTGCAAGCATCTCCATTCAGCCTGCCGACGGGTATTTCCGGTTACACCATTCTTTCTGCTGGCAGCACCGTCGCAACTGCTCATGCTACCAAGATGCTTGATGGGCGCATTGTTGTTCAGGATCAGGCGAGGGGCTGGGGTATTATTTTTACGTACTTCTACGTCCTCTACTTTGCTGTTCTCCTCATTCATCGTGAAGGCAGAGACGACGTTGCGTGTGCGAAGAAGTACGGTGACGACTGGGTCAAGTACAAGAAGCAAGTCAAATACCATATTGTACCCTATGTCTACTAGATGATGTACAATACAAGATGCCTTCGTAGCTTCCTCTGAACAAGGAGCCTCGAGGCTATCGAATAACCGAGGACCTGCGTGAGTAACCAAAACTTGGGAAAATTTAAGGGCCCTGGTTCTGAATAGCAGATAGATCACTTATACCTACTCACGATACTAATCTATAATATCACTCACGAAAATTTGTATCATACTTGATATCTTTCACGCTTATGCCTTCGATGAACAGCTTTCTGCAACCGCCCGGGCTTCGTGAAGCTCAGTCGTCCCATCTATCTCACCTGATCAACAACAGACTGATCTTGGTCGAACTACTACACAACTGTTGATGAGGACGCTGACGCCAGACTATCTTACGTAAATTCCGCGGACAACATGTGCTCTTCTATATTAGCGGTCGCTTTGAAAGACTAACTAGCAATGTAAGTTCATTAGGTCAGGCTAGGGAAGTGGATGAGCTCAAATTCCAATGTCACCACTCACAAATGCAGTTTGCATGAGCTGCTGTTAACTCTGCCCGAATGCGGCAGGTCGATCCAATATAGGCATTGCTAAGTCAAATCAGCCCAATAAATTTGGCCGACACATTGCCACCTCCTCCTCCTCGGAGTCGTGCAATGCCTTAACAGTTTGGGCTGCAGGTGAATTTGCACTAAGTGCTTTTTCATACCTTGTTCGAGAATGCGAATCATACCCAATGGCCTGTATATCCAATGGAGGACTTCTAAAGACGCTAGAAGTGCAGAAGCTGAGCTGGTCTGTTTATTGTCAAAATGCGACTGTTGTAACAGAGCTATTCAGTCATTAGATTATCACGTTGTCGTGCTTTTTGGCTGACCTCAGCATAAGACCCTTAATCTCGCATCAGACTGCGGAGCTTTCGCCTTGAACAGCTCGCTCTAGCGGATATGCCGTTCAGTATACTCTAGAACTGCGCGATCTGCTGTGTAGTTCGCGGGATTATGATCTCTGGTAAGGCAGAGTGCTCAATAAAATTAATAGAATACTGGAGTTTGGTCTGCAGCATCTTTGCTAGACGAATCACGAGTATTCATGAGGCAATTGCGGCTTTATAGTTATAGTGCCAGCTTTGCGGGGGGGGCCTGGTTGCAGCTGAGTAAGCGGCATCTAACTTAGTATTCACACCTCCTTCTGATCGTGGCTAAAGCCAAAAGCAAATGCAATCTCGGCTGTTGCATGAGACCATAGGAGGACCTCCTTCAGACACCAATTGGTACTAGTATGGGCATTGCTCCTCGAGTATATAAACATGTCTTCATTCCTTCTTTGGTCTAACACCGGCTGAAGGCAATTCAGTGAGTTCTTCGTCATCGACTGAGTTGACGATGAAGTTTCTGTATGCGGCTTCGCTCCTGCTTGCCGGGGTTGGCGCCTCGCCAATGCCGAAAGATGATGGCAATGATACGGTTTTAGCGGCTCGGGCAACCAGCTTCTGGTATGCCAACTTTGACCACACTGGGAGCCCACGGGGTTACGCACCGGACCTCGATGGCGACTTCAACTATCCGGTCTACATGGCAGTCAGTCCAGGCGATGGCGCTGGTATTCAGCGAGCAATCAACGCCGGCACAAACGGCGGAACTCGCCATCCGCAGTGGCTAGCCTCCCAGCCAAGAGTATGCTATACGATCGCCGAATAGGGGGGGCAAGCTAAACATATGAACAGGTGGTTTACATCCCACCGGGGACGTATTCTATTAGCTCCACAATACGTATGAATGTAAGCGGCTCTCGTTGTTGTCTCTTCATCTTCCATATCAAGTCAATTCAAGGTGCAGACTACTAACTCCAAGCGCTGTAGACTGATACAATCTTGATGGGTGACGCTACCAACGTACGTTAGAGCTCGGAGAGCGTGATTCTGAAGTTTAAATCTCACGTTTCTTCATAGCCACCGATCATCAAAGCAGCAGCAGGCTTCTCCGGCGACCAAACTCTTATATCTGGTAAGACTGCAAGTACTTCAGTACTTCCAAGTAGGTCTTAGCTGATATACGAATGAACATAGGTCAGGACCCCGCAACAGGCGTAAGCGGAGAGTTGTCCTTCGCCGTTGGGCTGAAGAACTTGGTTCTTGATACTACGAGTATTCCTGGAGGTGAATACCCTGTTTGAGTTGATTGTTGCCATTGTTGATGCTGAAACATGATAGGAAATGCGTTTACTGCTCTGTGGTGGGGTGTAGCGCAAGTAGCTCAGCTGCAAAACATAAAGATTACAATGGCTTCCTCTAGCAATGGAAACGGGCATACGGGTATAAGGCTTGGTCGAGGTTCAACTCTTGGCCTTGCAGATGTGAGAGTCGAACGTGGCCAAGTGAGTTGTGCTTTCTTTCCCATAGCAGGACTATTGCGGAGATACTAATAGTAGCATTATAGAATGGAATATGGCATGATGGACACCAACAGGCATTATAGTGAGTTCTTCAAATCCTCCCCCTCTTCCTGAGACTATCGAACTGGAATGACGCACTGCTCTAAAACAATAACTAATGACCTCTGAACGGCGAGCGCTAATTAGTAATATTGTAGTAAATCCATCTACTTTTACCAGAACACAGTCGGCATGCTCATTTCTGGAGGCGCTACTATCAGTATACTTGCCCCTACCTTCGAAACCTGCGGAACAGGAGTTCAAAACACAGGCGGTGACCCTTGGATCGCATTAGTGGATGCTGTATCTATAAACTCTGGGATCACCTTCGTTACTACGGGATTTCCTTCGTTCTTGATTGAGAACCTGAGCAAGGATACCGGATCTATTGTTGCTCAGGGGCCATCAGGAACAATACTCGGTGCTCAAAGCCATGTCGATACCTTTACCTACGGAAATACAGTTGGCCGCAACCCAATTTATGGGGCGACGACAACCACAAATAGTCGCCCCAGCCAGCTTGCGCCAAACGGTAAATTCCCTGTCGTGCCCGCGCCGAACTATGCCTCGAATACCATTAATGACTTCATCAATATTAAGGACCCTAATCAAAACGGAGGTCACACTGTCCTGGGGGATAACACTAAAGACGAGTCGGGAGTGTTGAATCAGATCCTCCAATTTGCAGCTAACAATAATAAAATCGCTTACTTCCCGTTCGGTAAGTATAGAGTAGACAATACTCTCCTGATCCCGAAGGGTTCTCGTATCGTAGGTGAAGCCTGGGCAACCATTACGGGCAATGGCGCCAACTTCAAGGATTCCAATAACCCGCGCCCCGTCGTTGCTATCGGAAACGCCGGCGACGTTGGCACGGCACAGATCCAGGATATGCGATTTACCGTTAGCGATGTGCTTCCGGGCGCGATCATCGTCCAGTTCAACATGGCGGGGTCTTCACCAGGTCAAGTGGCTCTGTGGAACTCGATGATAACTGTAGGAGGAACGCGCGGAGCCTCAGCGCTGACGAACGCTTGCACCGATGCCAAGAATGAGTGCAAGGCCGCGTTCCTCGGCATGCATTTTGCACCCACATCCTCCGCATACGTCGAGAACGTTTGGAACTGGGTCGCGGACCACATCACTGAGGACTTCTCCGGTGGATCTAGCATTGCAGGCAAGGGCGGTGCGCTCGTTGAGTCGACAAAGGGCACCTGGCTGCATGCTCTCGGCAGCGAGCACGTATGTTACCCCTCGGTCATTTTCTTCCTATTGCAGACGTTCCTGGAGGCCATAATTGCCTGTTAGAGCCACAAGTGTGTCTTAGGAAGTGTACATTACTCTCGAAACCTGCACCCGGTTTACCCCAAGGAGTAATTACTGACTCTGGCGAATTGTAGTGGTGGCTTTACCAGTTGAACCTGCGCAATGCCAACAACGTCCTCGTCTCCATGCTGCAGTCAGAAACCAACTACGACCAGGGTGATCACGTACAGCAAACGCCACCGGCCCCTTGGGTCGCCGATGTGAACAACTGGGGAGATCCAGATTTCTCCTGGTGTAGCGGTGGCGACACGCGGTGTCGCATGGGCTTCGCGAACTACATCAACGGGGGCTCTAATATCTACACCTACGCCTCCGCCAGTTGGGCATTCTTCTCCGGGCCTGGGTACCAATCTTGCGCAGGCGCCTATCAATGTCAAAGTAAGTTGAACAAGCGTCCCGCGATCTATGATATAAGAAGCGAAATATTGACGATTTAACTTCCGCTGTGATAGATTACATGCACTGGATTGCGAAGACGCCTGCCAACCTCCAGGCATTCGGTCTCTGCTCCAAAGACACATGGGCTACGCTGCGTCTTGCTGATGGAACAGCTATCATCTCGCAGAACGGATTCACTGGGTCCTGGTCTGGCGGTGGCGGCGATGTCGGCCGCTATACGCCATAAAGCAAAGTAGTGGCTATTTCAAAGCTATCAGTTATGCGTTCGAAAAGTTAGTTGACCTTTTCTACATCTAGTTTTCTACAATCTTGCCACTATCGGGTTCATCTTGAGTAGCATACTAGGAGTTAGCCAATCCGCCCATGTAGCGAATTAGCTTCGATCTCATATCGATCGCAGTTATTCGAATCAAAGTTGGCTAAACAAAATGGCTCCGCTGTCCTGACACGATATTGCCTCTTCTTAATGAAGTCGTAGCTTGCAGAAAAACTAGCTCGCGCCAACATCAGCGGAGCAAAGTTGTTGTTTCTCATCCATAAAACATCTGATTCTTTAGCAAACAAAGTTAGCACATGAACCAGCGTTTTACATACCTAGTAGAGCGATACGCGTGCCTAACTCTCCGAGGTTAGTTTGCCCTACTCACTGACAATCCTGCGTGGCACTTCATGGATCATGCTGGTTGGACGGCCTTGGAACTGGGTGCCCGGGCCAACGGGTCGGCACCGCGCGCCCAATGATATGAAAGTTCTCTATTGTGATGAAGTTCGTTGTTGTTTTAGTGACCGGTCTGGACTTGCATACTAGGTAGACCTGCTCATTAAACTCTCCGGAGTTTGAACGTCTGATAATTCTTTTTCCGGGCGGTATGCGGTGAGGCTGGGAAGCGTTCTAGTGGAAAGCCTAGGGACGGATCGTCGTCGACTTTACCTAATTAATCCTACTTGCCGGCACTAACCTTACTTCTACTGTTTAGGGTAGCGAACTGGATTTTCCCCGCAGACTTCCCCGCAACGGCCTTCACAGATCGTCAGAAGGCTGGGGAAAGTCGACTGTGGGCAGCGTGTAAGTGAGTGTAGATCTTCTGCGTTAAAGACATGCTTTTGTGTGGACATTTCGCGGGGTGCAGTAGTCTAGCTACTAAACATCTGCGTATCAAAATGGGTATTTAAAGACGATAACCCCAAATATGGTGATAGAGTCGTGATGCTGGTTGTTGATTCCTCCCTTCAAGTCAAACTTTGCCCGATCACATGCCCGCGGTGAGCCCCAACACTAAAGCGGACAAGCTAGTCTCACGGAACCAAAAGTAAAGGTCTGAAGCATGAGGAGAAAGTTGGGTGCCGCGGCAGGGGTAGCCGCCTCCCGTTGCCGGATTGGCTCCCCGATCAAGCCACAACCTCACAACTGCCATTCCGAGTAAGACTCTGCCTGGATACTCGTCTCTGCTCGTCCAATCCTGTCGGTGGTGTGCCAGCACTTGGCCAGTACTTGGCTGCCCTGTCCCCTACCGAGGCTCTCAGAGACCTGAGAGCATGACCTCACTCGCTTCACGACAGTACTCCATTTTCACACATGACGAGATGTAACGTAATAGCATAAGGGATGCCCAGGCGGTCGTGTCTGCGCCAGTACATTAGGTATACCCCATCGGTCGCACTGAAATGCCTGCTACCGGTATCTCTCGTCGAAAGAGCATCCCGTAGTAGTTTCAGGATCGAGACCTAGACAGACTCTTCAAGCGTCAAGTCCCTAATCAGCGCTAGATATTTCTAACCTCAGTGCAGGTTAGTGTAGTCCGTGTAAGTGCAGTAGTTTTCTGGTGTTAATTGCCATGTCACCTCATCGAACCCATAGTAGCGACGGGGATGATGACGGGGATGACCTGGAGAGATCGAGCCGTTACCGCTGCTTGCTCTTTGTATGCGTAAAATCTTACAGCCGAATGCAGGACGTTATCGCACATGCTTGACCCGAACTTGCGCGGGCCTGGGGTAGCGAGCAACTTTTTAATAAAGTGCTACGTTCCCCTCACAAGTTTCATTCTCTTGTATTACCTTTCACCTTTTGCTTCTATCTATCTACCCCACCTTCTGATTTGGAGATCGAGATTGGATCTCATCTCTCTCTCTATCTATTTACGTTTTCTCTTGTACTTAGTTTCGCCTCTTCAAGAGGTGTTGTCGTTGGAGAGAGGGGTTAGCGAACAGAGTCGAGGATCATCCTCTCCTCATCGTTAGGATGGCACCTCCTTCCTTCATGGGCCTCAGTGGCCGCCCGCTCTCCATCGCTGTTTCAGCGATCTGTACTACCGGATTCTTACTATTCGGCTATGATCAAGGTGTTATGAGCGGAATATTAACGGCACCAGCCTTTGCAGACGTGTTTGAGGAGACTAGGGACAACAGTACTATTCAAGGTCTCGTTACATCAATCTATGACCTTGGATGCCTCTTCGGTGCTATCTTCATCCTTAACGTAGGAGACCAGCTTGGAAGACGACGAGCAATAATCGCGGGTGGAATCATCATGATCATCGGGGCAGTTATCCAAGTCACCGCTTATCCAGGGCACGCACCATTAGCTCAGTTCATAATTGGGCGTATAGTAACCGGCATTGGGAATGGTATCAACACATCGACCATTCCTACCTATCAAGGTATGTCTATACTCCTCTCTAGATTTTATCGAGCAAATATACTAATTTGGACTCAGCTGAGTGCAGCAAGACATCGAACCGCGGTCTCCTGATCTGTATTCAGGGCGGTACAATTGCTTTTGGCACTCTTATCGCCTACTGGCTAGACTACGGCGCGTCGTTTGGACCGGCGGACCTCGTCTGGCGTTTCCCTATCGCCTTCCAGATCGTGTTCGGAATAATCGTCTCTACTGCAATGTTCTGGCTCCCAGAGAGTCCCAGATGGCTCCTTACTCATGAGCGATACGAAGAAGCCAGCAATGTGATCGCTGCTATTCGAGGGTATGAAGTGGACAGCCAAGAGACAGCCACTGAGCGTGGCATTATCCTCGACTCGATCAGGGCATCTGGTGTATTTGGTGGAAAGAGCACACCATATAAAGCTTTGTTTACAAATGGCAAGACCCAACACTTCCGAAGAATGCTCCTCGGTGCCAGTAGTCAGTTCATGCAACAGGTGAGCTCCCTGGCTGTGCATCTTACTACGGTAATTACATCTACTAATTTCATCAGGTCGGAGGTTGCAATGCCGTCATCTACTTCTTTCCAATCCTTTGCGAGACTTTCATCACTCCCGGCGATCATAATATGGCACTCTTGCTCGGAGGGGTCAATGCCGTTGTATATGCCATTTTTGGTCAGTTGAAGAATATTTTTTATCTCTAGGGAGTACTCCAACTAACATGCCTGCAGTATGTACTTGATCACTAATCTTGCTGCCCTATCTCACACGACTAGGAGCATACAAGAGGATAGGCTCTTGAGACATTTCAACGCCATGCTGACTATTTCCGTAGGCTACTGTATCCTGGTTCCTCATCGAACGTGTCGGTCGTCGTAAGCTATTCCTTTGGGGGACAGTTGGCCAGGGGCTATCGATGGTGCTCGCCTTCGGGGCGCTGATTCCAGGCACTCAATCGGCTGCTATTGGCACTTGCGTTGCGCTCTTCACATACATTGCTAGTTTTGGAGCTACTTGGCTACCTCTTCCCTGGCTGTGAGTGCCCTCCGACCTGACAAGCCAAAGTCGGTCTTAACTAACAGATAACATTAGATATCCCGCTGAGATTAATCCGATCATGACACGTGCCAAAGCCAACGCCGTATCGACATGTACAAACTGGCTGTTCAACTTTTTCAGTACGTAGCTCTAGCACATCTCCTCTACGAATACCTGGTAAGAGGTGGCCTTTCGCTCGCCCATGACTAACTGCTCGATAGTTGTTCTGATCACGCCAGTACTTGTTACCAATATCGGGTGGGGAACGTTCCTCTTCTTCGCAATTCTTAATGCTACCTTTATCCCCGTGATCTACTTTTTCTACCCCGAAACTGCCAGACGATCTCTGGAGGAAATCGATATGTGAGTATTCCTTCGCATCAGCTCATTCGGTGCCTCCTTCATTGTACTGTTTGCTAATACAACATGTAAACAGTATCTTCGCCAAGGGTAATGTCGAAAAGATCTCATATATCAAGGCTGCCAAGGACCTACCCCTGCTCACAGATGAGGAGGTAGAGCAAGAAGCTCTGAAGTATGGTCTCCTTGACACTGCTGCTCGGGGTGCGATTAGTGGTGCGATCCGCGATCCCGAAAAGGTAGACGCAGAAATGATCGAAAAAAAGAGTGTTGAGGACTCTAGAAGCAAGGATGAAGCATCAGCGTGATGCTCAGTTGAGTAGAGGCTTGTTGCGCTGCACTTTACGCTTAGGTTGAATTGAGGGCTTTGTACGAGAACAGCGGGCTATTGACAATCAACTAGCAGAAAGCTTGACGCGGGTTGGATGTTACCGAATCCATTCATTCCCGACGAATTGCCTACGTATAGAATTAGTGGGCTAGGTTTAGATATTCACGGTCTAGATTATCTACAAGAATCATATTTCACATGAGCCTTTGGGTCAGTATTCCTTGAGGTTCCGCTGCTTCAACACTATCGGTGAAGGTGTTATTGGGTATGCTTTCCTTGGATAAATCCTGTAACAAAAGAACGGCGTCAATCATTGTAGATAACCTACTCTCAGCCAGGTGCATTCAAAGAGCTATCATTGCCTGCGTAATTTTAGTGTAGTAGTTACAAAGTGTGAAGAACCTATGAGGAGATCATCCGCAGCTAAAGGCATCATATTCTTACAGTTTGAGCAGATGGTAGTAGATTTCTGTGATCCTTTTCGCTTTGGCTGGTACTACTATCTGGTTCTTATGGTATGCAAACCAAATCGGAAAGGGCATGGGGTAAAGTGACCGTGGTAGTTTCAACGCGCCCTCGCGAGAGGACACATGCAACGAACCAATATTTGTGTATTAGCGATTTGAGTAGCAGAGATGGTAGGTAACTCCCAAATGGTGAGCTGGATTTAATGTCGGTACCTAAGACCTAGTTTCAGTGAGGAAAGGAGGGTGACGGCGGACTGGTAGCTCGCAACGCAACCAGGTGAACTCACAAACAGATAGAAATACTACCTATATTAAGTTACAATCTATCGATCAGCAGAACAACGGCTATTAGGAGTAATCCGGCTAGTATCTAGCTTAATCTCTAGTCTCACTTACTCAGAAAGCTGCACCATAGAAACTCACGCTGAAGTAAACATTAATACACATTCTCGGATGGACTCGATTTTTCAGAAAATTCAAGCTATTTACGATGCTGGAACTCCGATTTTCACGAAGGACGGCATACGGAAAGTCGGCGAAGAACTTGGACGCCTCCAGAATAGGGAGCGCGAAGATGGTGCAAATATTACCTTGACAAGGACTGACGGAGTCGATTACGAGGTCTTGGTCAAGTTTCCAGAAGTCGAAAGGAGAGAGGATGAGCATATCGGAGGTGCTATCTGGTAAGATAAACTCACTACTTTGAATCGCCTTTCTAATTTTATTCTAACCGAGCGACAGGATGATTAACTATAACCCGATTGCGCCCATGACCGGGAGCTGGAATATAGAATTCTTCGATTTCCAAAAGGCACACCTCCCGATGAGGATTTTTTTTGCCCCTATTATGTGACTAGGTGAAGGTCTCATGTTCAAAAACCCGCCTACTCCATCTGAAGAAGATTTCATTATATACCAGGCCATTGAGCAACAGTGGAAGACGAGCTAGCATTTCGAGCAAGTCCAAGAAGCACTTGCTTCAGTCGAGATACCTTTCACCATTACTAAGATTATAGGCCTTGGATTAGGACCTCCTGTCCTCAAGTCGCGATTGTCTGAGCGTTGTATCTTTTAACGTGCCCTAGTATTCGCTCTTCGTTAGAAATTCTTAATACCTTTGAACCCATTTATATAGGACCCCGCGTAAACTTAACGAGATAGAGACATTCTATACTCAGTCGGATTAACAGTCTTAGAGGACCCACAAGCTTTGTTGGAATTAGACGAGTCTAGCATACTCCTGACTATTAGCCCTGGGCCTCCTGTGAAGGTATAACAAGGGCAGAGATATGGGCTTGGAACTTGATGCTATTCACAATATAATGATCAACTAGGGAGTCCTTGACCAACCAATTCCCTCTTGGCCTTGGCGGCTTGACTCGACTCTATATACAACTGGTCTGCCGACCCAAACTGCCTAGGTCTCACAGGATTGTTTCAAAAAGCGAAGTCTATATAACCTCACTTTCCAATATACTCAATATTGCCTGCATATCTTTGAGTGATCATGAACAAGCTGCAATGGCCTTTCGTACCGCCGAAGCGCAAGGCGAACCACATATTCAGCATGTACAGCTTGTACGCGTGTAACAAGTACATTATCTACCCTTCTATTAATTCCATTTCGACTGCTAGCTTGCTATTGATGGCATATTTAAGCCTCTAAAATATTGATTACTGCACTTTTAGGTCGACAAACGCGATATAAGAGGTTGGCATTTGGTCAATGGTATAACACGAATTTGAACTATTTGCTACAGACGATTGGGTAGCCCAAATACCACCAGATTTGTTTTAGAAATCAAGCTGTTTTGTTTCGCCTGACTGGTAAATATCATATTGGGCATCTCTTTTCCTTGGCTGACCATGTAAAGCAACTGACAGCGCGAGACTCTCGTGAGTGTAATAAAGTTAATGTGATTTGTTTTTATATTCCCAAATCTTAACTACAAAGGCCGAATAGTTTGATTTCCTCACTATCAGGGGACGGTCTCTGTAGTAAATTATACAGCGTAAGAGCCCTTGCTGCAACAATGGTTGGAAGGAGGGCTTAAACTGAAGTGTTTTGCGAAGGCCTTTTATGGCACATTTGGGTCATTTCCTTGAACAAGTAACTCATTTGTTGCTTGAATACCATTGCACCGGTTTTCCTAACCCCCGCAGTCAATGCGTATGGCTCATATAGGTTCGAACTAATAGCCTCATATTCAAAACAACTGACATTATCCAAGAGTCATCACCGGGATTTGCAAGTCAAGGACGTACCATGGTGTCAGGTCCCAGCCTGTTCAGTGCGTGTAACAATTCTGGAATAGGACTTGGCTCCAGTCCAAAGTACTTTTCACAAAATTGACTTTGTTCACTGTAGCTTTCGTAGGTATTTGAGAGGTTACATACTCACGAGGTTTTAACAGACTAATCACTTGATGTTCATGTAACGTGGTATGGGGTAGACAAGCTGATCAACTTTATCATCATTCCATGTAGAGGTGCTCACAAGCCGACACTAGACAAAAAAAGACTAAGATCGGTCCAGTACTGAACACGGGCTCTTTCCGCTAGAACCGGTTTAGAGTGGACGTTCCCCTCTATTTTCCCGTTTTCCTTGGGTCACCCGGACAGCAAGATAGCTCGCTCCAGACGAAATCCTTGGTACCTATCGCGTGTTGTCCCGGTTTTTCTGACTATAGGGATGCCAACACAACAGCCCCGGACGCCAGAGGAGATCTTTAGATCTATTGTATCTGGGAGGTTGGCTGGTCCACTCAATGACGAAACAGGAGGAGGGGTCGGCTGTTCTTGCTTAATGGTACGCTAGAATAAATTCATTGTGCGGTTTTGCATGAAATGGGTTCCTATCACATGGCACACAGTGGCAAGAGATATGATAGTGTAATCAGACACTAGTAGAAGAACCGTCACAGATATGAGACGTCTAGGCGCCTGATCTAAAACTCCCTGTTTACTGTGCATTTAACTCAGTTACACTACAGACAACCCGGTTCGCCTCGAGTCGCCTCGACTCGAGAGGCACGAGACAATGGCGCGAGACGTCAGTGGCTGCAAGTGGCTACAGTATAGAACTGGATCCTCACAAGTGACTTGTACTTCGTAAGCTCAGTGCAGACTCAGTGCTACGCTCCTCCGTAGCTAATCTAAGCAGTCGACCAATACAAGACGACAGAATGAGTAATTTTTGGTTTCTATTTCGGCATACAGCCGAGATAGGACCCAGGCTATGCAAATCAGTCTAGTCTCGAGCCAGCCACTGCAGACAGGTAAGCTCTAGGCCGGGACGAGTAGACAATCTTCCGCCATCCCCATAACAACATATATTATAAGAAATCATCTGATTGGGCCGACGAAGCAGTATCGTGGGATTTGTTGCACTGCAAGCGGACGGGTTAAACTACGAATAGGAAGCTGTGGAAAGATTCAGTGTGATGAATTTGGATGATGCCCAGCCAGGCCCAATGCTACTAGGCTAGCATGTCATAAGCAGCACGGTTAGGTGCTGATCGATACCGTGAGACCTCGTAGCTGACATTGTGATATTTCTTTTCTTCGTATAGCAATCTCCATTAGGATACACTGAAGGTCGGGAAGGCTGTTTGTTGAGGCCGCTGTTCAACACGGTCTTATTGCTCTCTGAAGAACCTACCCTATCATTTGCAATACCGCCGGAGTATGTTATGCGTAATGAAATGCAATGATAGGCGTTGCCTGACAAACGCACAGCTCCAGGATGAGTAACTTAGCAAATGCTAACAAGCTTGTGCATAATACCGTGTAGAGGCGACATTGATAGCATGGTCAGCGACTTATTAGCTTTGAAATTTGTTCTAAGAAAATGGGCTTATATATTTTTTTCTAAAGAAATGCGTGGCATGCTGATATGGGAAGGAGTGTATCGCTCGTGCTGCAGAAATAAATACGTAGCAAAGAGCCCAAATAAATAAAAAAAATAAAATAAGATAAATAAATAAAAGAAATATGCAAGCCTACGACCAATACAAAGCTAAATTAGAGGAGATTAGTCACCCATATGGTTAAACTGGAATACGAATTCAAGTATCGTTTGCCTGTATATGTAGGTATGCATGGTCCTTTGCAGGATACTTCTTTGAGTCTCCGAAAGCCACAACAGACGCGTCCACCAACCTGGTAGCATCCTACTGCCTCGAAATTCTTTTGCCATTCCTTCACGCCGTTGTTGGTACAGTAGTGTCAACATTGCCCAGGCTCACCAGAAGTTAACGCCTTTGGCTAGGCTATATAATTTACCTTAGACAAATCAAAACTAAAAACAATCTGTAGTCTGTTGATATAGTCCGCAATCTGGTATCAATAACTGAGCGCCCACTGTTTCGACCCAAAAAACATGAGACCTAGTAAACAAAACACCCCTAACGCCTTTCTTGACCATGCAGAGATAATAGCACAAGCTGTGATCTTAAGTTTAGATGAATAATGTAGCAAACATATCCTCTAGACCCTCCGAAATGGGAGATCAGGCGGCAATTCTAGCATTGGTAGGTTAAGTACACGAAGCGTAACTGGCTTCGGTATACTTGTTTTCCCACCGTGGAACCGTCAAGGCCCCCACTACAGACTTTGTGGGCCAATTGAAGTCTGTATCATGCTTATAATGACCGCGACTCCGTATGCTCACCGTGGGTCTTTCAATCAAGCGGAAACAAGGAAAGCCAGAATGCTTTTACCTGGAGCCCAACCACCCGCTTCATGTTTTGATCGGTTGCCCGGTTGTAAAAAAATCAAATCTAAATAGCCGCCGTAATTCCAGGAGAACAAGGAAACCCCGCTTATGCCAAATGAGTGGAATTCCGGTTCCTCGTTCGGTACTGTTGCTACCACCAGCCTACCGACTGGGTTATGAAATGGAACCGATTATTAGATGTATATATCAATAAAAAGAGGAAATCGAGTATGAGTAAGGTATAGTCGAGATTAGCACTGATCTTCACCCTATGCTGATGGTCACCTCTGTGATGTATCTGCCGATGCTCGCGACCCTGTTGCCCATCCCATCTCGTACGGTTCCCTCTTCAGTTGCTGATAGGTCTGAATGGGTGTGCTTGAGGCTGACACAGCTGTTGTAGGCGTTCCAGCTGCCGAACCTAGTCGCAACGGCGGCAGCTGCGGTGCTTGTGATCTTGCTAGAGGCGTTCCAGGGTGTGACATCGAAGCCGGATACCCCGAAGCTGCAATCGGTGGAAGAGACCCGGGAGCAGAACCATAGGGGCCAGTAACAAACTCGATGTGGGGATGGGGATCCGTCCTACGCCGCTGCGATGATCTCTCACCAGTATCAGGGTCGGCAGCACCATACGCAGTCATAGTTCCTAGAGGTGATGGGCCAGATCCATTGCTTGGATTTGGGCTAGGCGGTCCTTGATAGGCGAGCTCACTGACAGAAGGGGTTCGGTATACGATGTCGCGCAACCGATCGCGGTCCGACCGAAGTCTCTCTCGTTCATTTTCCAATGTCTGAATTCGCGCCTCGAGCTCGCGATACTGGGATTCCATCCTTTGGTGCTCTAGGCGTTCCTGGGTTTCTCTATCTTTCTTTCTTTTGCGAAACCTCTGGGATGCGCCTGCATTCCGTTGGCGCTTTTCATCAGCCTGTCTTGACCCCTGCTGTGTATCAACAGGTATAATGAACGGTTCGCCTTGGAGTGGCTGGATACGAACTGCCGCCTGACCTTCTCCAAAGGCAAAGCTCCTAACGCCCGTTGAGTTGTATTGCGTGGTATGCTCGGTCGTCCCAGACCACCTGGATTCCCCGCTGGGGGCCGGGTATCCGGCTGGAGTTTGGGAGACCGCGAGCGCGCTGTATGGGTTGTGCGGCGGGTATCCAGCAGGCTGCCCTGGCTGAATACCCGAGCCACTAGGGAAGAAGGGACGAGTCTGTAACCCAGGGGTCGAGTGACTGGCAGCTGGTTGTGAGATGGACCGCGTCGATGCAGGTAGAGTTGTACTAGAAGGAGGCCGACCCGTGGGACTCATCACCCGATTGAATTGTTGTGCTAAAGGAGAGCCCCGTGTGGAAAGAGCCTGATCTGATTGCCCAGATGCACCTGTGTCTGGGAGTATTGCTCTGTTCGAATCTTGTGGACCACCTGGGAGATGCTGCGGATGAGTCTGGGGCGGACCTAGCGCTCGCAAGGGATGGCTGTGTCCAGGGCTCATCAGTCGAGGGGACCGAGGGGTTAAAACCCGTCTTGCTGCTGCTAAGGGTGGATATGGGCGAGCTGTCCTTGGAGAGCCGCGCTCTGCGGACGACGGGGCGGTTAGTGGCTGATCCTCGAGAGTGGGCGTGGTCTGTCCGCGTCTCGCCATTCCTGATTCTTGATATGCGAAATGTGGTGGTATACGGGGACTCGAACTCGATGCCGCACTCGAAATCTTCGGACTTTGGCCAGCCTCTTCACCTCGTTCTCTTGCAAGAGATGGTTGAGTCTCAGCAGGATTCAGAATGTTGTGGACGCCGAAGGCTCTAAGGGGCAGAAACTGCTGCTTATTCTCGCCATTAGGTTGCGAAGTACCGGTGCTTTCGAGTGCCCTATTCTCTGCTTGACGATCACCTCCTCCACGAAGACTTGTTTGATAGGGACTTGACCCTCCAGGCGTTTTTGGCGATGTCTGAGGTGAAACAGACGGGCCTGTATGTTCCCCTGGCATCGAAGTCTTCTCCCTTGCACTTTGCTTGTCGCCAGGCTCCAGACATCGACCACCTCTTACACTTGCAGTTCGATACTCGCAGTTCCTGATCCCCACCCCGCCGCTGTCAGGCCGGTCCCCGCCCTCGCCACCACGTCCCTGGCCTGACCAGCACTTATAAAAAGATTGACTTGCTGTAACTACGCACGGGTGGTAACTGTAGGATAAAGGCTGCGGAGGTGCTGAGTGTAGGACCGCCACGATGGCTAGTTAGAAGGGATGACTTCGATGGATGCAGAGCAACAATGGTTTAGTGCAGACTTTGATCGGTACTGCAAGACAACGACAGTAGAAGTTGGCGAAGTCTGGAACTTCTCTCTAAGAAAATGCAATTCCCACCAACAGTAGCGCTAACCGGTGTACGCCCTTTTTGTGGACGAGACTGATTCACGTACCCAGGTGTAGATTTGGCACTGAACGGAACCTAGCTGAGGTGTAGGAATAGGAGCAGTTAATAATGACGATGACGATAGGGTCGAAATAAGCGACTGCTAGGAGAAACAAAGTTGGGTCAGTGCTCCCGACGCCAGCGGCACGAGGATCAGCTGGGCTATAGTGCCCAAACCGGGACCTGCTACTACAACAACTGCCAATGAAGGGTGATGCGAGAAATCCAGCCAGTCAGAGTCCTGATCAGAAGCCCTGCACAATGAATGGCTGGGGAAAGTCTCAATACACAAATCTTCGACACTGGGGTTCAGGTGATGAACTAATTAACAACCCTAGTCGAGGAGTGTAGGCGAAATATTAAGCCGTTGTAAATAGACCTCTCTTTCGGTACGATTAGAATTGACGATCTGGACGTAGTGGGAAAGATCGAGTTGTGAAAAGAGGTATGATTGTAAGGAGGCTATCGAGTCCGTAGGATGGTGGTTTAGTAAAGGCCACTTCGAGCTGATCAAAAACACAGGCAGATGGAAATTCAAGCGTCTCACTCTGTAGTCTAGTCAGAGTGGTGTTGAGCGAGGTTGCTCCTCTTGAATCATTGCTATGTATTCCCAAGTTGCTGCTCCGATTCAAGGCGAGAGTCTTATCATGGGTGATTCTCAATCCATGCTAGTATAAGTGGATTGTCCACACATGGGTATAGTTTGGAGCCGGGGTACAGACACAGTCCAGGGGGCCCCTGGTGAAAGTCTACTTACTTGACATCTAGTGTACATGTAATGATGTTGGTGCTGAGTACTGTATGGTTAACCGACAGGGCTTAGAGGCTTTGGCTAGTACACTACCTGAATACGCTTATGGTTTGAAGAATATACAGTATGTAGACACTCACTGTCCATTGTATATCTTGAACAACACTACTTAAGTCACAGCAGATACACTATAAATATCGACACTTACATCTATAGAAGAAGTAATCAATTACCTCCAGCTCGAAGTCGCAGCCTTATGACCCGAACCCATCACCACCTGGCCGGCGCTTGATCTCCCCAAGCAACTTAGTATCGCGAATGCTCGCCACTTACATACAACACCCATAACTAACGGTGGACGAGCTCATGGTATGCCGGCACCTTCCCGGCACATAATGACATCGGACCTAGAGCCATATACATGGTAGCAAGGTCGGTGATGTCTTGATCCTACGGTGCTGGGACTTCACACGGCCCCCTAAAACGTTCACTATCTATTACGCCTACAAGGCAGGCCATATGATACCTAAAGCTGGTGGGGGCCTTCGGGTACCAATACACTACACTGAAGCTGTAGGGTTGCTGGTGACTCCTGGCTTGGCTCAAAGTGTCGACCGGGCCAAAAATGAAGGCATCGTGATGGAGCTTCTAGCCCATAATCGCTGGGTATGAAGTGTACACGTAAGTCGGCATGCAGTTCGCATAGGTAGACATGATCAGTCGGGCGGTGAGAAGAACGCGTGACATATGGGGGCTGATGAGGTTGGATCGTACCGCGGAATGTAGCGTACGTTGCACCCATACACTACAGCAGTACCTTTGTCTGGAGGCGGACTGGTGGAGTTGGTGCGGTTGACCGAAGAGGTAAAAACGACGACAACATTTTCTTGGCCATGTGCTTCCTGGTGAGTTCCGTACTAAGCTGTTTACCACATAGGTGCTAGTCGATCAGCGAGCCCTGGAGGCTAGTGATGCAATATACTGGCAGACATACGAAATGCAACTGCATAGCTGTGGTGTACATCGGCCGGCGGTGGCACGCTGTCACTGGCTGGCTCCTTGGTCACGAGCCCACCGTTGGGTTAAACGGTCTGATGTATGAGAATCAGGCCACGATGAGTTGCAAGCGGTAACTGTAGAGGCAGGTGTTGACCATGTCAGAGTCAGACGTCATGTCCAGGGACGATCGCAACAAAGTACCACACAAGCAGTGTTCATCATTGTGTGATGTAGGACGGTACCAGCATCTGGTTTAGTGTAGACATAGTACACAGCCTGTTGCTCAAAACATACCGTAGAACACAAACGCGTAAGCCAGCTTTTTGCTGTTGAACAGCGGAAGACAGACTAGGACAAGACCATCGCGACTCGGGACGGGAAGATGAAACAGGTGGGTTTTTCTGGGTCAGAGGTCGACTAATGTGGCCTCGACAGCGGTAATGACGAGCTTGACGGGCTAGGATCAGTGAGGACCGAAGAGGATCCATACCAGCCAGCACATCCCACATTGGACATATCAATACGCAGGTGATACATAATAATATGTATGATGTATTAGCTTGTCACCTCCAGCCCATCACTATAGGTTGGGGGCAACTCGAGATTACCAGCAACCAACACATCTAAGTCCTAGGGTTCGGGCAGTAAACCGGGGTCTGATACACTGACCAGGTAGGTATTACATTTCGAGGAAGTCCTACCTATACAGACAAGTAAGGTAGGTATGAAAATAAGATGGGGAATTCAAACCTGGAAGCAGGAAAATTCGGGGTACTCCCAGCACACCTAGCCTGCTTACCTATGGAGGCACATCTGTAACTGTATAGCGTGCGAGCTACCTCTACAATACAAGTGGCGTTCGTATGCCTAGGTAGAATGCTCTCACAAATCTGGTCACGATCGAGAGAAAGTCCCTTTAGCGGCAACGCCGCGGAAAGCGGGAAGTTCGTTGTTGTGGTTTTTGAGGGGGGCGCGCTTGGCCTGCACGCAATACTGTACGCTACCGTACCGGTCTACCTTCAGCAGTAGTGTACTTACAGTACATGTAGTATTTCTTCACGATGATAATGGTGTAGGGCCGTACTGTGCTGCGTGTCGTCGAAGGTTGTACCCTAGATGAGCTGAGAGGGCGGTGCCTACACCAGACGCTATGCGGAGTTTTCGCCCTGCCCCTTGCGAGATCATCTCCGTTGTTATTAGTATTACCGCTTAGATATCTATATGTAGTATATGTAGGTAACATGGCGCACTCATGGCGGGCAGAAACGAGCCGGGGCTCTCAAGCCTCTGATTGTTAGCAGCACATAGTGTAGGCACACCACATTGTTAGCATCACGTACTTCGTATGTGTGACTTTGCGCGACAGGTCGGATCAAGCCGTCGTCAGGTACCAACCAGCACGCGAGTGGTCAAGCATGGAGAGCTAATTCCAGCCCAACGCCGCCAAAGCGGTGTCGCCTCGCAGCCTTCCTTGTCAGGATTACGCAGGGCCGCAGGAAGATCGCCGACACAGCCAGACCTTTGGCACACAACTGTACATGCGTCGTCTACTGTAGCACTGGTATCTCCATGTATCTGCCTAGCGCGCTGCTGAACGTCTATTTGCGGGGCGCAAGACGCTACGCCAGAGCTATGGATTGGATCGTCAAGTCCCAGGTATGGCAGCTTCACCAATCATTGACCGGGGGGTCATCTTCCACACCCCGAAGCGGCCGGGCCTATCTGACGGCATTCAATCCTTGCAGTTGAAGAGCACGTTGCTGTATCGCGGCACAGTATACTCCAGGGAAAAAGTTGCACGCCCTGGCCAGGAAACAGGGAGTAAGTCCATGTACTGGCTACACGTGAACTAGCCTCGGTGTGAGATCCAGCGCCACGGTGAGTCGACGAACATACCCAGCCGAGCCAGCAGCCGTTGGAGCGTCAGGATAAGCAAGTATGTACTATGCACTGTCAGCCCGGTTTCTCGGAAGCTCTATGTAAGTACATAGTAGTCGAGTAGGTAGTATCTCACCCTCCATACTTACTTATATAGGGACCTTTTCGGCATGGTTTACCCCCATTAAATGTCTTCCTGACGACGATCCACGAGCAATGAACTGCATACAGTAAGCCGCTGTCCCCTAGAAGAAAGTGGGCTCACAAGCCACGGCACTGACGCTCTGCATATCTGCATGTACGTGCGTTGTGTAGACATGTCGGTTCGTTCTTCCATTGATGAGCATGCCCGTCACCAGCGGTTACAGTACAGTAGCGCACGCAACGGATTCCTGGCCGAGCATGTAGATGGAGGGTCATAAGTATTCACGGATACATGTATGGTAGCGTACCACATCTAGCATAGGTAATGCCTTGGCCAGGAATGTCCTTCCGCCCGGCCTTACCAACTGCGGCCATCCATGCGACCCCAATGAGAACGAGCTCCATACCTACGTTATATTTCCTTGCATATAAGAGCAGCTGACGCTTGCGAGATTACTTATACGTTACCTGTCGCCTGTTAGCACAACTCTGCACACAACCATGGCCAGCACCTGGCTCAACCCCCATAGCAGTATCCATAATAAGCGCAAGGATTTTATCCCGATTTCATCAAACCCAGGCGTTTGGGTAAGGAACCACAGTCTAGGCCACCTCGGGAGTAGTGTCACTTGTTGCGGCAAGTGGTAACCTAGCCTGGTCTGCCTGGTGTATTATGTAGTAGGTATGGATGTAGTAAATTTTCATGCCTCAAATGAGAATTTGCCGTTGAATTTGGCCATGGCCACGGCTCTTGGGCGAAGCATACCTGGCTCTGGATAATTTCACCATCATTGTGGTATGCAATTAAGCTAACCATTCAGGTGGTTACAAGAACACATCATTTCGATGCTACCTGTCATATCCGCGCGCCAATGTTGTATTCTAATAAACTGTACTATGTAGATCCAGCATGGCATGTCACATTTGACGATCACACTATATGCAATTGAAACGGCAGTTTACGATCTACCTTAAGCTGGGGAGGATGTGACCATGGCCCCGGTACCTCTCATATCCCCCTGTTGAAAGCCCAGAAAATTATAAGATGAGAAGGTAGAAGAAAGTGGCCAACCAGCGCTCACTGGCCGTAGTATGCTCGTTCCTTGGACTTGAGAGCAACACACATACATAGCATTACCAGTATCTTACACTACGTGACGTACATGCAGTGCAGTGAGCAGCACTCTACGGTGTCTTAATGCCTCCTGTACAGTACTATGTAAGCTTTTTCCCGAATTTGTAATTTGCTTTTTGATATTGCTTTTGCACCGCTGGGATATACCTTGCATAGCTCGGCAAGGATGTTCGAGCCATTCGAAAAGAGGCATTAGAATGGAGCTTTTCATGGAGCCTCTCGCACATTACTATATGACACTACTGGAAACCATCTCGTTCACATACCTACCGTCATGCATGCTGCTGCTGCAAAGAATCACCTGCGTCATTCCCGAGGCTAGTTGCCAACGAAGGGTTTCCAAGCACCATAATCTAACAAGTTATAGCCCGTTTCCAGCACCACAACTGCGTATCGGGCGTGCCAGCACGTGGGTTGCCCGATGTGTCCCAGATAACCTACACGTATTAATTAAACCCATGTCCATGCTGCATGGCGGTCAAACCGTCACACACGCCACGAAAACACACGATGGCGCCGTCGGACAACAGAGCAAGGCACGGCACACTACGCGGAATGAATGGACTACGATCCTAGCTCGCTTCTCTTGGTTAGGCCATACGAAGTAGGGAGCCCTAAGACCCCGTTGGCAGCAGATACCGGCGTATAATTACATGTACGGTAACATAAGTAGTAGTGCATTCGTGTGTGGACGGACATGGGAGTAAAATATTTTTTTTCTCTCTCTTAGTCATTAGTCTAAATTCGCTCGCTACGCTAGCCGCCTGCCGTCAGTCTTGTCCGGCCCGTTCCATGTTGCGTGATACATACCTATGTTAAACCATGGAGGTGGTAGTGTAGACGGGCAATAGTAAACATTATCAACCCACTTAAGAGGCATACTTACATAGTATTCTTACATACAGCAGTGTGTGTGTGTGTGTGTGTGTACGCAAAACCGGCCGAAATATTCTTCAACACCGACACTACCTGTATGCACTAGTAGCTTGGTGATACTATCGTGAACTCTTGCCCTCACATACCAAGTACAACACATACATGCACGTACTTACTTAAAGGTACTCGCCTACAGAAGTCTCCACGTCGCGGACACCACTCAATACATCACTGGCGGTGTCTGAAGACTAAAGGTAGCGCATTCTCTAGTCCTTGTCAGTGGATGGTAGGAATACCACACCTACTCGTTGCCAGAGCCCAGGCGGGCGCTGGGTTGACACCGTCAACCCACTGATTCGCCCTGGGTGCTGCCGAGCTCCGCATCTTGATCGGGGAGCAGCATGGGCCCCATATGCGTGCAAAATCTGAAAGGTATGGCATGCAGAATGCATCTGCAGCTAAGGAATGACTGCAGCTGGCCTGCAGCTCCAGAGAACAAGCAAGGATCGAGGAACCAACTGCTGAACCATGCCATGATTGCCCTGGTCTGCCCTGGCTTGCCTCTTGCTGGCTAATTAGTCGAGGGATTCGACTTGGTAGGGTAGTATTCCTTGTGGCAGAGTGCAGCGCAGCATCCCCATCCCACCACACTATGGGGTTTTCCAGTCTAGTGTTCTCTCAGGCGGACCATTGATATCTTCCAGAAGCAAGCTGTCACTTATCGAATTTCAAGCCGCTTGAGCAACCATCCGGGATACGGGACCGGGAACGCCTGTCGTGGCAACCATGTTGTACTGTACACAGTACTGCGCTAATTACCCGCTGCTGTCAACAATTAGCGCGTGTAATGGGTGATCTAACCCCAATTCATTTCGGTGCAAAGGCAGGAAAAGAGAAGAAATCACGAGAAGTCATCTAAGGGTTGGGCGAATGGAAAACGACCTCCCTCTTAGTCTATATTACTCCAGCGTTGATCGGATCAACTAGCAGCAACTCTCGAGAGCCTTTGTGTTTCACAGCTCCGCTATCCCGTCTTCTGCTGTCTTAGGATGGACCAAGCTTCGCTCCAAGCTCCTACCCTTCCTAAGGACCGGCCGCGCGATGGCGGAAAACGATGATCAGACAAACTCGTTGTCACGACACTACGCTAGTTAAGTAGTGTAGAGGAAAACCGATATTCATTAAATCCAACGTGAACCATGCTTCGGGGCCCGGATTGCTTCCCCTAGCCCGCCCTTGCCACCAGTGACCACTGGCCAGCTGTATTCAGCTAACACTGTATCATACAGTGTAGACTTCTTGAGGCTGTTCGAGGATCAGAAGGGAGGTCAACTTTGCTCTTTTAGGTTGACTATAGCTAAAAGGCGAACGATGAGCCGGCGATGATATGGCCAGACGCACACAAATTTACTTGCCTTGCGAGAAGACATTCTTACAGTACTATGTAATTGGCTACCCACCGAGGGTAGCTGCGTGTTGAGTCCCAGTCTTCTTTAATAGATCCCTGACTTCACGAGGGTTGCCATGCAAAGTACTATAGAATGAGAATGTACACGTATATGGTGTAGATACTACCTCCTTGAATGTTGATAAAAACCGTAATACAATATTCTATTCCATTTAATGTCTGTTGGTTAATGCTGTAAGTAATCCTATTCCAGGTAGAGCGTCTTTGTCTTCATTCCGCTCTATACAATGCTGTATCCCCCCGGTCAGCGACCTTGCTTATCATCTCACAGTGTACTAAGTGGGGTTGCTACGATTGATTGAATTTGACGTATCGAAAATTTGATCTTGTCCGTTTTCCAATCTCTAAGGACCAGATCTCAGACAGGCAGTTTGACCGCATCGGTTCGTAGTCATGTGTCTGTCATGTGGTCGTGGCTCGTGGAGGCTGGGGGCCGACGGACGGAGCAGCCCATGCCAACCGAATTATCAACCGGACCATTTCTTTGCAGCTTGACGGGGCTGTCTTACCTGGATGCCACTTGCTGGCCTTTCTTTATCGTGTTATGGAGTTTCCTCAACCCAGCTGTGCTTGTCCATTGAAGGCACAGGCTGCATGGTGGCGGCTGCAGTACGACGTGCGCGATGCGTGTCCAGGTGCCATCTGCCAAGCACAGCAGACGTGTGTGAGTGTCCGCTCCCCGTCTGCATCTGCGGGGACTAACGTCCGTTGCCGGCCAAGGCCGGGTCAGATCGAAAGAAGCTTCATCGACACGATACCGAGCCCTACACCGACATTGCAGTGTCGTGATGGTTGTCGCATGGGGAAGAGTACCGTGCATGAAATGGGCCAAATGGGTCAAATGGGCCGCATGAACTCTCCAAGGATTGAACATCAAGCTGGACGATGGGCATCCAGAGGAGTCTATGCGCAAAAAGCGGTCACCGTATCGGGCGAATACACCTGACAATAAGTATGGCGACGCTAGACACTTGCACGCAACTCTGCGGCGGTGAGGTCGGTGTGTGGCATGATAACCGTTCTCGCTGTTCACGACACTTCACTTCAGATCCCCACTTACTGAGAGTTTGGATTGGCGGTCAACGTTCCTGTATTCAACACTCACGACATGATGCCCATCTATACAAGACGCCCGATCACGCTCGCATGTTCAGTCACACTGGCAAGTTATGCTCGACGATCGTCTTTTTCACTCTAACACGTGACCTGAGTTGCAGCGCATTTGACCTCATTGAATCAATCGCACTACTTGAAACGGACTGTTGGGCAAAGATCTCTGCTCTCTCAATTTTCGCATACCTACATACGATATGTCGCTGTACATTCGAACCACTACATCTATCTCCGGGCTTGATAGTAGCTAATCGTGTTCATATATTAGATAGGAAATCCATATTTATAATTCCTCCAGGGACAGGCATTATTGTGTCAATGCCACATAGTTGCGTTTTGAGCCGCCGGGAGAGGAGCTGCCGTTTCGTGCAGGCGAGGCGCGCCTTGACGGAGCAATCCAATATTCAACGGCTAGAAGGCCCGTGTTTCCGGAGAACTCGGCGCTCTAGTCAATCTGCCGTAGTCATACAAACTGGCTATTTCCCCGTCGCGCAAGATAATCATGCAAAGAATATTAGACGTTGTGATCCTCATCCGTATGAATAGGAAATCCGTGTGAACATCGTATAAGAGCCATCTGTTGTGGTATAAGGCTTGATTGAGCAATTGCAGATCCAATGCAAGCCGCCTGATCTGCCCCAGAATCGATCCCGCAGACTTAAGTTAGGTTTTAGCGGTTCCACTGCCTTCACCCCTCATCATCGTGTGCTCACAAAACCTATCATTAGACAGGCTGGACACCACGAACTAAGCAAGGTATATCAGGAAACACATAGCGCAGCGTGACGATAGAACGCTGGCAAAAAACAACACAATGTCCACCACTTCTACCTCCGGTCTACAGGAGTGGCAAGTCACCGAGCCATATCTGCACCTACATTGCGCTCTGGGCGAGGGGCCATTCTACGAAGCGACAACTAATAGCCTGCGCTTCGTCGACATCAAAAAGAAGCGCATACACTGGGTGAACCTAGACGAGGGACCGGCATCGGTAACAACAGCGCAGCTAGACGTGCCCGTCACAGTTACGTCGGACATCGAGGGCGTTGACCCCCGCGAGCGTATCCTCATCGGTGTCAAATATGGCATCGCGGTCCTGGACCGCAAGACGGGGAAATACGAATACGTCTCCCGTTTCCTCGAGGACGACAACGAGAGATTACGTAGCAACGATGGCGCCGCCGATCCTCATGGCAGATTCTGGCTGGGCTCTATGACCGATATCGGGCTCGACCTTCAACCTGAAGGTGAGTATGGCGAGAAAAAAAAAGGAGTGTGGCTCATTGTGCTGTGTGCTGTGCTTTAGCCATCACGAAATTGCTCAAGGAAGCTGTTTCATTTAGAACACAAGGGCCAGGGAAGACGAAGATGAGCGCTTATGATATGTGACGGTGATATACCCCCTACTGACACAGGGAACAGGGCACGTCAATTTGTTCACCGGTAACCCTGTCGCGCAGTCCATGCGGCACCCGGTGACGATCCCCAACGCGTTTGGGTGGTCGCCAGACAGGAAGACCATGTACTTCACACATTCGACGGAACGGACAGTGTTCGCATGGGACTATTCACCGGAGGATGGGAGCCTGTCCAACGAGCGTGTCTTCTACCGCCACGAGGGGCCGGGAGAGCCAGACGGGTTTCGCGTGGACGTGGACGGCAACATCTGGCATGCCGTGTACGGCGAGTCGCGTGTGCTCAAGATATCGCCCGAGGGCAAGCTGGTCGGGCAAATCAAGCTCCCGACGCACAACATCACCTGCACGCAGTTTGTGGGCACCGAATTGTTTATTACGACGGCAGGGATGGAGGCGGGCGAGGGCCCGGAAGAGGCAGTCCAGCTGAGCGGCGCGTTATTCAAGGTAGACGTGGGAACCAGGGGACTAGAACCATTTGCATTCAAGTTGCACGCCTGAGAAGGCGCACAGGCATCGAGCAGGGCGTGAATAGGCTATAGGAAGATTGATTACATGCATAATTCACGTGTATCATTTCAAGGGACAAGGGCAGACCCTGAATTCGATGCCCTGCATATTGAACACACTAGGTACACTATGATATGTGACTCGTTATGTGTACCTGAGGGATGTGAGTAATATACGTGATACACACGCTGCTGTATACGACTACCGATGCCTCGCGCAAAGAAGGGCCTGGTTTTCTCTTGGGATGATCTGAGTCCCGTGCTTCCGGTTTCATCATCGCATACCATATTTTATTTCGGTCTAAGCGCAAACATTCGCACAGGGAACAGCTCGCTGGGCAGCCCATGCTGCAGCTCAGATTTGATAACACGAAGCCCAGTCTTCTCAAATATGCGCCTGAATGTTTCTTCTGTCCTGTGCTCGCCTATTAGTACCCCGGTCGTGAATCGAATGCTTGAAGCTTGTCGGTGTTAAGATATAGATGTGGTGCGATGTGAGCGGTGAAAGGGTGCAACTGTCATGGATGCTTACCTTGTCACGCTACTATCAATCTCATCAAACTGATCCTCCCCAGTCGTGATATTTTCCTTGACGACAATGACGCCTGTAACCTTCCCATCCTCACCGACGCTCAGCGTGGACTTACACTTCAACCCCGCGACCCGAGTTAGTGCTGTAATTCTTGAACGGAATCTCGAGTTTGGCATGAGAGCCACGTCTCCGACTGGGGCCAGGAGCTGAAATGAGAGGAAATGAAGGTTAGGTAGAAATGGCACCACTTACCCGTAGAAGATATTCCTCGAGCTGTATGTCCGTCAGATGCCCCAGGCACCATTGGTTCCAAATCACATCGTAGCTGACCTCGCCTGCTTGGTTGGGACGCCACTCCTCAAGCCCCATGTTGAAGATTCTCCCGACGCCGTCATGCCCAGCCAGGGCGTCGGTGAACTTGGATATTGGTTCGACGATGTCGACAGTCTCTGCAAGATCCAGGAGAAGGCCGCACGTGATGCGACCGATACTATTGCCACCATCTCAGTTACCATCTCTTCTTTAGATCTTCTTTCTTTTGCTCCATTTCTCCAGCTATTTGCTTCAGAACACACGATTATTCCATTACCTTGAGTGGGTATATCTGTCGGCAAATATCATAGCGATCACCAAAAGCAATGGGAATAAGAAAGAATACGATAAGATAAAGGAACAATGGTGGAAAGGGGCTAGTAGAAATTAGTCAAACATACCCAGCACCACCCTCCAAAACTCGCCTTATAGCCTTGACGCCATTCTTGCGCCCGAACCCCAACTTGGCCAGGAAGCTCCTGGAACCGCGAAGGTCTATTCTAGAGACATGGCCGTAGCCACCAAGCATGCCATTGTCATTCGCGTCAATCCCCTGCCAGTAATGGCGCGAGTCATCGGCGTTTATTCTAAAGTCTGACGTGACGGTGAGCGAGGATCCATCCGCATCTGTGGGGGTTTCAGTTTTCTTGGAGGGTGCCATAATCCCCTTTTTTTTCTTTTCTTTTCTTTCCGTCTTTTCTGGGTCCGTCCGGTCTAGAGAGGGGAAGAATAGCCGGTGGTGGAATCAAAAATAGTCCGCTCCAGTAGAATAGACCATAAGTAAAATTAGCGACAGGGCGACGGCTTAAAGAGAAATCCGCTCAGCAGGATTCGCGTGACAAAGACAATCAGATTGCTTCTCATCTCATTGAATAATATGCGTTGGTTATGGTTCGGGCGGATATAGATGTAGTGAAGGTCTGGCTGATCGGAGAAAAAAGTAGCGGCACCGTTTGGGGGCGGTGGTACCGCGGTGCTAGCTATCACGTGTGCCGCCAGCAAGGCGGGAACATACGTCGTCATCATCAACCCCTGTGTGAAACTTCCCGGCAACTGCATTTCACCACTTCAGGGACTAATGCTCTGAGAAACTCTATAAGGGCAGGCTGGTGATCAGAAACCAAAGCCCAGCGTTTTCTTCAGCACATACCTTCCTTCATTAGCGTCTACTCAAGCCGGCTGGATGCGAGAATAGACCCGCATCGGCATATTACTAGCAGTAAGCTCAAACCCACGAGAGCTAGATATGGTTGTTTGTTATATGCTTAAACTTGTATTATCGACAATCGAATGATCTCTTTGTTACGCAAATACTTCGTGTATATTTTGTGATACCAAAAAAAACAAACCCTTAGTGAGCAAAAATCAGATAAATACATACATCGTAGTAGCCATTAATTCCATACCACCTATCTTCGTGATGTTCAGGATCGTCAGATCAAGTGTCCGATGAGCGATTAGTAACCTTTACCATAACCTTCTTTGCCGTAACCACCTTTGTACCCGCCGTAGCCTCCCCAGCCGTTTCCGTAACCGCCCCAGCCGTTGCCCCAACCATTGCCCCAGCCGTTGCCCCAGCCGTTACCCCAGCCGTTACCCCAGCCGTTGCCATAGCCTCCCCAGCCGTTGCCGTAACCTCCCCAGCCGCCGTGACCACCCCAGCCGCCGTGACGTCCGTAGTAACCACCCTTGGCACCGAAGCCCTTCTTGGAATCTTCGTCAACCTCTTTCTCGTCACCTAGGTCCACAGCTTCCTCGTCCTTCGCCTCTTCACGCTTGTCATTGTCCGAATCTTGGCGCTTGTCCTTGTTCTGGATTTCTTGAGGTTGGTTTCCTTGGGGTTGCGTACCTTGAGGCTGGGTTCCCTGAGGTTGTGTATTTTGGGGGGTTCCTTGGGGCTGGGTTCCTTGTGGCTCTTGACGTTTATCGCCACGATGTCCCCCGCGATTCCCACCACGATTCCCACCTCGGTTCCCTCCGCTGTTACCTCCGCGGTTACCACCACGATCACCACCGCGGTTCCTGCCGCGATCTTTATCGGAATCTTCAACAAGCTTTTCATCACCAGCATCATCATCATCACGCTTATGATGGCCACGGTGGCCTCTATAATCACCGTGGTCTCTGTGATCTCCATGGTCTCTGTGATCGCCGTGGTCCCTGTGGCGGCCGCGATCACGAGCAGCTAAGGCTGCTGAATCGGGGCCATCGGGGTCATCATCATCACCATCGCGGGCCTTCCAGTGGTGGCCATAGTGATACCCATCATCATCATGGTGATGATGGTGGTGGTGATGATGATGCCTGCGATAGTAGTCATCATCGTAACCATCCTTGATGGCTGCTTCAGCAGGCTGGGCAAGCTTAGCAGCATCCTAGAAAGATTCAAGTGGTCAGCAAAACCGGCACACCGCTCAGAAGTAAAAGTTCGGAGATTGACAGGAGGGGGGTGGCTCAAGTTTGGGAGTTGCAGCTCCTCTACTGGAGTATAACAAATTGATCTTAACTCACATCAGTTCTCGCTACAACCGGGCTTGCAAGGACCGATGGCCCAAGCATCAGCACGGCCGCGAGGAGGGACTTAGTGATCTGCATATTGGCGAGAGGGAATTATTCACGAAAGATGTGTAACGATTGCGAGTGAAGACGATGTTTCAGGTGGAAACTGCCTGAAGAACGGAGAATGTGAGAAATCAAAACCAGAGAATGACTGCCTTTATGTACTCCAGATCTCTTGCGAACAGTTGTCATGGCCCTGTTCCTTTGCAACAAGCAGTAGTCTCACTCCCCTTGATTTAACACCCACTGACGTGTGATTTAAGTTCACTTGACGACATCCATATCTCATCTGTAAGACCCAAGGGATGTGATGGTCAGCCGAATACATCATCGATATCCACGTTTCGAGGATAGACATGCCGGATTCTAAGCCTGGCACTCACATGAATTTGAGGGACAGTGTATAAGGTTGTGTAATACCAAGATAACTATCCTTAATTGAGATACGAGCGTTGCTATAATGACGATGGAAGATTTCGTCAAATCGTTAGGAGATTTCGTACAAGAGGGGGTCACACGCTGATGCCATCGAGTTCAGTTCATTTCGCCGTCATCGAAATCTACGATGCCGCGGCAAAATCCAGGACCAAGGACACGGCTCACCTCGACCAATACCATGGGCCAGGCTAGTAGTAGCTGAACTTTCCTCGCCAGCTTACTCAGATTCTGATTGTCTTGAGCTCGGGGCCCCAGAAAACGTCAAGTAAGGATCATGGTCCCAAGTATAGCTTTTGAGTTTGGAGGCGCAGGGGGTGATGGTCTTGTTTAGACAACAGCTTAGATAGAAAAGTTAGATATTTGGCGGGGATTTGAGCACCCGTGGTAACCAATGAAATGTGCTGCTGCCGTAAACCAAGACAAGCTTTGGCTATACCTAAGTGTTAACTTAAACTCGGCATGAACGGAAAGACGCAGCCGGCTGTGCGTGTGCGGCTGTGCGGAGTTCCAACTTTGCATCTGGAGGGTCTACATGCAATGAATTGGATTTCTCGATGGAAATAATAAGTGGCAATTATCATATTGCTAATCACCCAAACCCACCGCCTGGCACTCGGTATGGTTTCGCTGTATAGGGTTTCAGGACAGCTAGAAGAAAATAGAATACTTTCGACGCTACAGGGTATGATGAGGCGTCATTGTTATTGATGGCCTTAAAACCAATTGTGGAGTGATAGTATGGCGTGTACAATGATGACCATGAAACTAAAATCGAGTCGCCCTCAAGATCCTTGATTCTGAAGTCATCTTGAGAAAAGGAATCCCAAGTCTCTGCATTATTCAGTATTACAAGACGTGTAGGGAATCAGATTTGCGTATTGGGGGTATCATCGTAGGGCCTAGAACAATAGCTTGCTAGCGTCATGCTACCTGACGCTATGCTAAGGTCGTAAAACAAAAACATAGCCACCGCGTTCTACCTATGAGACTCAATTGGTAGTGGATCGTTTTGAAAAACGCCTTGTTGCCCACCTTAGAAGGCATACATGACAAGAGTCTCCATCGATGCTGGCATGACGTGTATCGATCTAAAGAGAGTACCCAACGCCAATGCAATGCCATTCGCGAATACTCATTCCCTCTTCAAGCTCGATACACCACCATAACGCCTCCTTGGCCTTGTCGGGTTGTCCACTCTCCTCGTGTGCTCTTGCTAGGGCAAACCAAGCATCTGAGTAGTTCCATCCTTTACCAAGTTTAGTCAACCCAGACAACAGCCCATACGCTCGGTCTCGTGCGGCCAAGCGATCAATGATTGGTAGAGATTTTGCCTTGTAGGGAGCAGGAAGCTCGTCTGTAACAAGGGGTTCTGAGGATTTTTGGGAAGGGGTATCGATTGCCTTCACCTCCCAACGCACATCGCCGCCAAGTCCTAAGGGTGTGGCTAATCGAGCATTGGAAGCATCTACCATCCCTGGAGTCGAGCTTTTGGACTTGGCTGAGCTCTGAAAAGTTTCTCTTGGGATTGATTCCCCAGTTATGCTAGGAATTGCGGAAGGTGGCAATATATCTTCGGTATATATGTCCAATAAAATATTGGATAGCCCAACAATGGCAGATGGGTGATCTGGACAATGCATCAGAGCTTCTTCGAAGTAAGCTCTAGCGATATACGGTGTACCTTCATCAACAGCGAGGAGACCCATCTATTTTCTAGTCAGTCAAACACTAAAAACCTAATGGGTTAAAGGCTCACCTCAGCTTCTACATCCGCTCGAAGCTCCTCAAGACAAATCTTACCGCCCCAGCCCGGGTTCACTGGGGTTACAGAGCCACTGGTATCTTTGGATAGTTCGAGCTCAAGACTGTCCGCTAATATCTTGGCCTCGTGGATCGCATCTCTAGCATCACCATACATCCTGGAACGCCTATAAAACGAGGCGATCATCAACCATACTTTCATTAGCATTGTTCGCCGCCGTCGTTCGATTTGACTTTCAGGAAACTTTATGGCTGGCAAAGGACTAGGCGACGATAATGAGTCTAGTACAGGTAGGTCAGATCCGCTTATTGATCCTCTGGCCGAAGGAGTAGATGAATCGAATCGCAGTAAGCCCCGACCCTTCGGAAATGATTGTGGGCTACTATTATTTCTACTGCTCCATCCGAAGGAACCCTGTCGGTCGGTGGTTGTAGGAAGATCTGGGGTAAAATAATCTTCGCCATCTACGACGGTGGGTTCATGTGGCACACCACTACTACTTTGTGCACGCTGTTGCTGCACACTACCGTCTCGTTTTTTCAAACTGTTTCGGCGCGTTGAATCACTACGCCGCCCACGAAGACTCGTAGATCTTGTAGATCGCGTCGACTCACTAGTCACACCATTTTCCTTGGTAATCTCTATAATTGGCGCCGCAGCAGAGCGGCCCACAATAGTTTGAGTTGTCTGGGGTCTTTCTGCTGAACTGCCAGACTTTTCACCACCGAGAAGGCTTTTCCTTCTCGACTGGCTGGTGCCTTTGTCCGACTTGCTGCCAAATATGCTTCGAAGGGTACCAGCTGAGCTCCTGGGGGCCTCTGTTGGCTTAGATATTGTGAGGGATGTTGACTGCATTGATCCAAATAGCCTGGTGTATAGAATAAGGAGCTCTTGGCTGGCGTTGACTGCGATCTCCGGTCCTTCTAGTAACTCTAGAATCGCAAGTTGCGTCATTTTTACTTCAATGATGCCCTCCTTCTCAAGATCATCCATCTCATCCACAAGACCATGAGCATGTATTTTCTCGTGTGCTTCAGCCTCATTAAGGTGTTCGCTTCGGAATGAGCCCTGCAACGTATGAGAACCAAAGAGTACTTCTGGGTCATTGAATTGCTCGAATGCTGCTTCACAAGCGCGTGCTGCCATTGTGTAATCTTGCCTGGCACTCAAAAGAAGTGCCAGGAGATGCCACAAAGGTATAAGAGATCTCTCACGCCAGTATGAGCCAGTATCCATATTCTGGTCCGCTGGCTTCTTGGTAGACAATAATGCAGCCTTAACAATATCTATAGCTGCAGTTAATTCCCTTTGCTCTGCCAACAAGAGACTTAGGGTAAACAAAGATCGAATATCTGTAGGGTTGCCAATTTCTGGCGATAGTGATTTTTGGAGACTTCGAATAGCTTTTGTTTGGAGGTCAGCCCTTACAGTTGCATCAAAAGTTACCCGAGACCAGCAGGCCTCTGATAGACCAATGGCTTGCCAAGCCAAAGCATAAACACGAGCCGGGATTCTTGGATGCAAAACACCGTTACCATTTTCTTCATCTACAGTAGAAATGTTGGCTCCATTGTTAGGGAGCGGAATGGGCAATTTCTGAAGAATTCCTTCCAACTCAGTGCCTAGATTGTGAGCTTTTTCAGCAGCGTCCTGGAGTCCATACTTGCACAGAGCGATTATGGCCTGAGAGATGGTTTCCAATTCTGTTGCATCGTCATCCAGGCTTGGTTCGAGATGGCCAGTTTTGTCGACACGGGCTTTGCTCTTCTTCACAATTTCCATGTATGAGTTGAAAGCATGGAAGGCTAGGTCAAATTCCGCGACAGCTAAATGAACGGTGAAGAGATGTCGAAGAATAGCAGTAGAGTGGAAAGTTTTGGTTGCCGCGCGGTACAAAAGTTCCAACACGCCGCGGCTGAGGCCTTCTTTACCACCGGAGCCAATATCATGTTCCTGCCAATCGCGGCCTACAGAGACTCTCCAATTTCTCATCACTCCGGAAACAAAGCTCTCGACTTCTTCTCTCTCTTCATCGGCTCGAGGGAAGGTGGTCTCGCTGAGCAGAAGAGCCTCGTAAGCAGCTTCGACCTTTTTCAGCTCTATTTGCAGTTGAGTGCGAGCGGAGGACTCGTTCGTAGGATTACCTAGATAATCTGTTGAATGAGGTAGATCTTGCTGGAGCACACTTGAGATAACTGCATAATACTCGTTCCATACTCTCCGTCGCGGTACCGAACCTGGGAAGCCGTGACCACCAACGAGAGGAACCCCCTGCGCCTTGGTAACTTCCCAGTACTTGGCCCATGAGCGGAAAGGGAGTAAAGAATCATCATCATCGAGGCTTTTTTGGCCGTTCTCTAGAGCTTGAGCTTGCAGCATGCAGTAGTCGGTGAGCAGCAGCTCGGCCCACAGCTGTAGCTGCGCACGACCCTTCTGACCAGTCCACAGGTGTGTTAAGTATTGTAAGCCACTTTTAAATACGCCAAGCGCCTCGACCGTCTTGTTGATCCGAGAAAGGCAGTCTGCCTGGAGATATGTGGCCTTGAGCGCACATACACGCGTCCATTCCGATACCCCATCAGGTTGATTCAGCGGGAGGAGCTCTTTTTCTTGATCGGTGGGCAGACGGGCAAGAACCTGATCATGCTCGCCCGCAGTCCAGTGTAGCCAACCTGCGCAGACTTGAGCCTGAAATCTATCTTGGGGGTGTGTACGTTCAGTATCGATAACTTGGAGTAACTTGGACAGCAATGGTCCAGCATCTAAGTCAGCGGTGGGGACAGGGGTGAGGGCAATCGCAGGCTTTGAAGCAGCAGCTTGCTTCTGGGAAGCTTTGGAGACAGTGTATTCGCTCTCGGCAGCGGCGGTGATGCCTAGAATAACGCCGACTTGTTAGCGGACCTCGGCTTCACGACAGTGAGAGGGGCCAAAACATCGTACAAGCTCGATCGCTGGCATGCTTGCGCACCTTGCGAACCAGTTCGGGTACTTCATCCCATCTTCCTTCATTCCTCGCGTCGTCCAATCTGTTTAGGTACTGGGCCGCCTTGACGGGGTTCTAGCACGAGAAGGTGATTAGCATGCAGCAGGGAGATGCCCCTATCGTGGTATAGGAACATACACTCATCCTGGTAGCGATTCAGCCGTGCAGCTAGGTCTTCCCAAGTTCCGGACAGTCACGTAACTACTCAATTGACGTCCACGAGATCATCTCGAGCACATCGGGGGACAGAGAGCAAGGCGGTGGCGCAAAGAGAATACCTAGGTTGATTGAAGTTGCTGGAGTCTGAATTCCTTACCTGTACAGCTTTAGACACGCACTAAAGCCAGGGGGAGCCGACGCGGCAGAAGCGAATCCCTGTAGATAATACCTAATGCACTGGGGCCGACCAGGGCCGAAAGCTCCCCAAGCTAAGTTCTACCTACACTACCCATATAGATTGAAGTACCTACTATAGTAAAGTACCTAGTGTGTCGTCCATATACCTACCTACGATATGCCTACGTATATGCGTACGCAAGCGCTCGGAATTCAAGGGCGATGGTGTGCATGTGCATGGCGCTGCGCTGCCTCAACCAGCCATAGTAAACATTACCAAGTAGAGGTACTTCCAAGGTTTGAGGTCTTAAGTAAGTAAGAGGTACCTACTACATAATGTAGAGCCCAGCCCTGGAGCTAGAGTCAATGTACCCTACATATACATAGCCCCGATATTCCATATTCATAGACCAGAGATTTTCAATAGCTTGAAAAACTTATAGTTTGATATTGTCACATAAAAGAAAAACATACATATTGTTCACGCAGTGACGCAGCAAGGGGCGTTGTATCCTATATCTCTGGCTTTTAGAGTGTCTGTGATTAAATCTCCGGGCCCAATGACTCTAGTTACCCATCCTTGTCTGACTGCACTTGTTGGGGTTGTTACATTCATCGCTGGAGTTTCGCTTTCACTTTCGAGGAACCTCGGGGGCGTTGCTATCCGTGATCTCGCCAACTAACGGACAACACCTCTAATATACACTCGCCATAATCTAAACAGATATAATATCCTGTACTAGTGTTTGTGTTGGCCCCCAATGGCTCTCGTCACTCTGCCTCCCGAGCTCCGGACCATCTGTCGAAGATTGACATCAACGAAGGTTGAACAATTGCCGCCTCTCTTACCACTCCTTTTGAAGGAAGTAGGACGTTGCCAGGAACATATTTCTCAGCCCTGGGGAGCATCTTCGGAGGCCTCTGTTTTGATCCACAAACTGAAAACTCACATAACGAGCCTGCTCAATGGGAGGACATCTCAGGGTCGGTTTGTGGGGGCGGCTTTAGTGAAGGCAGTCGTTGAGGCTGGGGGCTGGGAATGCCTTCGGACGTCTGGACCGTGGGTAAGCGGGTTGATTTCTGCGATACAGGTGCGTCTCTCAATTACCATCACCTCCTGGAACGGCATGAAGCTAACCTCAATCAGAAAAAGGATCCTACCGTCGCCAAAGAGTTATATATAGTGACACTCACCAAGATCTTCACATTAATGCATGGCTTCCCAACTTTGGTGAGAGAGCTGGTAACTCCCTCTTTATCTGGGTTCGTGACAGCTTGTCTACGGGTACTCAAGCCACCGACTTCCAGCAAAGTAGGGAAGGCTCCTTATAGCCTTGTTGAGACCATCTTTGAGGCGATTTCGACTTTAATCCCTCTTCACCCAACTACTCTCAGGCAATTCTCTGGAAAATTTAGAACCGAACTACAGCCATTTTTGGCTCCGACTATCTCTGACAACGTCTTAATTCCCGCCACACTACAGATGAGCAGTAGACATTTAGCAATCCGGCTTCACATGACGGCAGCAAAAGGTGGAGATTCCACCGAATGGACTAAGCATCTTGAGGACCTTGTTCAAGCGCTGCACTCGACAGCCGATCAAGTGTTCCGAGCTGTACACGAAATCTGGGAGTCAACGATTGGTTACAAGCCGCAAAAGGTGGACTATGATGCTGAACCGCAAGGGAGCAATGGAGACTCGGAGCAGTTTCCTGGCTGGGTCGGTGTGCAAGCTGGTGGTGAGCGGATTATCGGTCTGCTCGACTTTATAGCAGATCATCTCCGTTGCCACACTCGGGTAGCAATTGCCATCCCAATTACCGCCATAATGGATGTCTCGTCGAGAATTTCTTCGATCAAGCCACCAATGTCCAGCAAGGAAAGAACTGACACGGGAATGAACTCTGCGATCGGAAGGGAGGAGAGAGATGAACTATGGACAGTGTTTCCTGATATACAGATCGCTGTCATGAGGATGCATCTGGCTTTAATCCAGAGAATGGAAAGAAATTACATCCCGCTAGCTCCGGAGACTCTGGACCAGAGTCTACGGATTCTGCAATCTACATACAGACTGCCGCAGGCGCGAACGACGACATCTATCCTCATTAAAGAGATACTTTATTTATGCGGTCCCACATTATCTAAGCCCACTGTCGAGAGTTTGAGTCTCCTCATGAAGTGTTGTTGCCGCGATCTGCTTGGAGCAGTCGGCTATCTACCAAAACCGAAACCTCAAGGTTCCTCTACAGCCCAGAATGGGCAGAACCCGAAGACGATTTCTCAGAACGCCGATGCTTTCCTGCCAAGCAAATCACAAGACGATAAGATGTCTGTGTCTCTGAGCGCTGAGCATATTAGCGCTTCTGAGGCGTTATTAACTACTCTGTTCAGTCATTTACCCCAGCAATACATTCCCTCCTCAATTCGGTCTCAAATGGTCAAGACGGCAATCCTCTGTCGTAACAGAGATGCACAGGTCGCAAGCATACTCCATCCAGCTCGCGACCGGAGTGGGCGCACGACCCAAGTCATCCTACCATACATCACGCAGCAGTTCCCCAGGGACGAAAGCGTAGAGATCCTGCGCTTCAACTTCCGCCCTATGGCCACGGGGCCCTCTAACGAATTCATGGAGACAGACGATACGATGGCTATAGAAGAAGACGAGGCCGAAGTAGAATCCAAAACGAACGGTTTCTCATTTGGACAAGGATATACCGGCCAGATCTCGAGCTCGTTTGCGGCGGCGGCGCCGGCAACACAATCCATGACACCTAATCTTATTCCCACACGCAGCGCCGAGGCCATCCAGACTCCTTTCCTCGCACCCTCATCGGAGACAAAGATACAGTCAGAGTCAGATTCAACTTTTGTGGAATCCCACTCCACCTCAACGAGTTCCCTGAAGCGGAAAAACGAGGATGCCACTGCAGAAATCAGCCTCTCGAAACGCGTCGAGATTGACATTACAAGGGCGTCCGTGGCAGGCACGACAACAAGTCCTTCGGAAACTACCGGTGACACCAGGGCTCCTACCATTATGTCCACATCGAGACAAGGTTGCGAAGACGATAGCAGTGACGATGAAAGCGTGCATCTGAACATGGATTTGGACTCGGGCGATGAAGAAGACGACGACGAATGAAGAGGGGTTTCAGCTGACGAGCCAAGCCAAGTTGGGTATGCAGAGTCTCAATCTCGCCGCTAGATAGCTATGGAAATGCGCTCAAGGGGGTCTACCATTCTGTAACTACTGTGCTATATGCATGGACTAAATTATTAACAAACCAGGTTGATGTACCAGGTAGATTTGTTCAATGATTCACGTAATTTGTTGCCCACATAGTAAGTCTCACAAAATTGTTGTTACGGAATGCACCGGGATCCTGGGACTATATGTGGCACAGCCTCATCTTATGGGATGTCGCAAATCAACTAGTCGAAGCGCAAATGCGTTACTCCATGTGCAATTCATTGAACTCGGATTTATCTGGTGTCAGGTACGATGTGTGGGTATATACTTGTCAGCGGGCGGTGATGCCGTGACGTGAAATAGGTGTCTTTATACAATTCTGATGTAACAAGAATTCCAATAGCAACCAGATGCTAGCTATCCTTCGGTGCTATGTAATATACAAAGATCTGGAGGGGTAAAATAAGATGTGAAGCTCAAATCGACACGCTAGACTGATCAGCCTGCAGTCAGAGTTCCTACAGAAAAGAAAATTCAAGCCACCAACGCCTCTCTCATGCAATGCCAGGTGACCTACTGTAAGCGACGATACAAGCCGTGAAACTCCAATACCTAAAACAAAAATGCAATGAGCGGGCCGAAATTTAATCGCGGAGCCACGCTCGTCGTTTTTCTTCCTTCTTGGCTCGACGCTTTTCCTTGAAGTGCTTGAGTTCGGATTTGGAAGGCTTCTTGCCAGAGCGCTCAGCTTTCAAGCTCCGTCCATCATGTGCGTTTGCAGCAGCATCGACATCAAAGAATGCATTCATCTGCCGGCGAGACTTGGCTTCATCATTGTGACGTTCTGGATTCTGTTCGTCACTCTGCCACCGGCCAGTGAACCGGTTGAAGGAGCCGATGGCGGCATAAGCCGTGGCAGTATCCATTACAGGAGCATCGTGATCGGCATCCTCTTCATTGTTCCTAGCATACCAGGCGTTCGGGTCGTAATCGCCGTGGATAGCAGGATTATACCCACCAGCTGGCGGGCGTTCATTCAAGGGTGGAACAGCAGTAGCAGGAGGGGTCTGAAGTTGCGTGTTGGCCTCTGTAGATGCTTGCTGTCCTGAGGGCACTCGGGGGTTCTCCCAGGTATATTCATTGGTAATGTGATTGTGGAAATACCAGGCTTGCTGCGTCGGGTCCCAATGGCAGTCCCAGCCATCATCTTGTGCAGATTCGTCAGGGAGAGGCTCCTTGGGAAGCGGAGGGGCGCTTGATGTTTCGGTAACTACCTCCTTGGGAGAATCGGCTGGCGCGTTGCCTGTAGCCTCGCTGGGCACTTCAGAGTCGTCGGCTTCACTCGTCGCGAGGTCATCGGTGGATTTTTCTGCAGCCGTAGGTGAAGGGGATTGGGCGGCAGCACCATCACGGATATCGTGTTGGACCTTCATCTCAGGTTCTTGGGTTCTATTGTCTGGGCTATCTGGGTTGTCGTGGCCAGTGACGTGGCTTGGCACCTCAGCCTCGGAAGCGACTGGCTTTGGCATCGTCATTGTATATGGCTACGAGAATATTAACATGAAAGTCTATATGGGATAAAAGTAGTCGGAGAACCACATTCTGGGATCGCAACGGGGAAGATTCAGCTTAAAGGGGATGCTGAAGCATGGGAGCGTGGGAACTTCTGATACACGCCCAGGTTAGAAGAAGGGGGTGGAGAGGTAGTGAGGCAATCGTGAAGTGAAGGCCCTTTGCGCCACTGCTGTGTTCACTCCAGTAACTCGGGGTTAATACCAGATAGGGACTTAAGGCTTCCTCGCATCCAATGTCCCCGGTCAATGACGCTAAGGATTGTTGCTTATCGATTATCGGTTATCGGCAGCTGGAGGAACTTCGGCTCGACAGAAAGAATACGTACCTCATACCTATTATACATATACTTGCGAGATGTACCTACACCCAGGTATGTAAGTTGCCTAGGTACCTGGTAGGTATCGTTACAGCTGTGATCACTTAGCATGGCACATCGTGCTCTCGTGCTCTCTTTCTCAGTGCAATTACAGCGGCTAGCAGTTCACTAAACTCAATGTTAGGTGTTTGATTCAGCAGTATGTATGCACTTGTACACACGGGCTGTGCAGGCCTGTACTTCCCTACAGCAGTCCAGTAGGCTGAGTATGTAGTACATAAGTATGTGGTGTATCTAGGTAATACGGTAGTACCTACTGTAAGTAAGATGTACATATGTAGGTATGAATATGCCGTTGACTTAGATGCCTACATACTTAAGTACACGTAGGTACTTACCTACATCTTCCATCAGGAGGGAGGGGTAAGGCCTGGACAGAATGCATGAGGGCATCGTGATTGAAGCCCGGAGAGCGAGCATGGCCCCTTGCGTTTGCAACACTCATTATGTGAGCATTCGTGTGGTAAGCCCCAGATGGCTATTATCGAACCATCGGCTTCATCAAGACATGGAAAGGAAGGGGAGATATTTTACCATCTTCCAGGGTTCCAAACCCCTCCTTCATCAAAAGTTCTAACCCCCGTCTCAGATCCGGATCTCCATGATCACCATATACAAACGGATGTTGAGATCACATAGGTATTTACAGTACGATGCGAAGGGCGAAGGGTAGAGAAAGCAGGCTTTCCGGCCGTGCGTCAGTTCAGCTTGTGCCACACTCGTGCTTCTTCCCGTATACCCGGGTACTCTCCCCCGGGCCATATTCCCCTGGATGGCGGCTAGATCTTGTTAATCGGCCCACCCAGAACACCCAGAACACCCAGCAAGCAACAAGCAGCACGCAACATGCTCGTTGGTTTCAGTTGGCAGTTTCAGAAATCTCTCCCTTTGTCCCGTTTTGGCGGACGATGAACCTACATAGGTAGGTCTACTTGCGCTGTGCTCTCGTAAATTCGGCGTCTTCACCAGGTCTTGTCCTGCTTTGGGGTAGGCCCTCACCTTGTCTTGTCGTCCCTCCCATGACCTCCCATGAATAAATAGATGAATGAGCATTGTGCAGCAACGTGTGCCATCCCACTAACAGCAGGTAAGAGCGCGTCGTGGCAGTACCCAAGCTGCCTTTCCAATATATATTTGTCACAGGCAGTCTTGAGGTGGGCTTAATTGCGACGTTGTGGCTGTAGATCAGTATTCCTGAAGAGGTCGAGACTTCATTTATCTCCGGCCTTGTCCAATGGGAGGCCCTCTGCTGTGCTCGGTTAAACCGCATACATAGGCTGTATTGATCTAGCCAGATCCCGGCACCCACAAGAGCATCGACTCCAACTCGGCGCAGTAAGAAGAGGCTCCCTCCCAGACGCATTAGCTACCACAGAATTCAATCTATTCAGCTTCGTGGGCCCGATGCTGCCATGCGGCCACAATTTGCACACGTCTTGCCATAGGCCGTCGCTATATTTCCCGAATCCGCCAGTGGTACCCCTGATTTAGACACTGCCGTGCGATGTCACTCCACGACACTATTGCGCATATGCATCATGTATTGAAGGCCATATAAGTTGGCTGCGCCAATCCTTCTTTGTCCTACCTCTACCGCTACGCCTTTCAGCCATTTCTACCCATCTCGGTTTCTGGCGTTCAATACGAGCCTTCGCCGGGACACTCCTGCTGTCGAGAAACGAACGCTATCTTCGCGCAGCTTTCCAAGATTCCTCAATCCTGAGCACGACCTATTTTCTCTTTTACACACACCTGAGGCATCCCAAGGGTTACAAGACAAGAAAGGCTGCAAGCTTGGGACAGTGAGATACTTATAATCGCAATGGCTGGCCTGTCATTGCAAACGCTCTTCTTCATTGGCCTTCAAGTACTGGGCCGAGTCGCCTGTTTGGAAGAGGTCAGCGATCGGCAATGCAACTGTTATTTAACCAATGAAACCAGCACGAATTACTTCACAACACACAATTTCTTTGACTTCCGGGCACTCACGCAGTACGCAAACGTACCTAGTCCCATCGCGGATCCATATGATAGCAGCGATGCTGATGAAACGAGCGATTACTTCCTCGACAAAGACTGGACCAATGTATGGGGTATTCAGCGATGGAATAACAGCGATTCAGTGGACTCAGGCGATGTACCAGTCCTTCTAGTGAATTCACCGAATAACATTTATATCCAAGAGAACACGGATGAGAATCCCTCATCCGAGACCTTTTTAACGATGAGAACAATGAGGTACAGAGGCTACCAATCGGCGGCAGAGTTCGAATCCATTTCGAAAGCTTACCACTTTCTCTCGGTGCGAATGTACGCTAGGACGTTAGGCCCTCCGGGCGCAGTAACAGCCATGTTCACGTACAGAGACGACGGTGATGGTTCTGACCTCACTACTGTCCAAGAGTCTGATCTTGAGATTCGAACCCAGGATCCCAAGGACAAAGTTCAATACACGAATCAGCCTTCATATAATGCGGCAGGCTACGATATCCCACAATCTACTCGAAACGTGACGACTCCTATACAGGCAGACTGGACTCAATGGTCTATCCACCGGATGGATTGGACACCCAAAGATACGACCTGGTACATCGACGGTAGAAAAGTGGCCTCAATCGCCTTCCAAGTGCCCCGCGATCCGAGCCAAGTCATTTTCAACGCATGGTCAGACGGTGGCGAATGGTCCGGCAACATGACAGTTGGTAGCGAGGCATACCTGCAAATACAATGGATCGAAATGGTTTATAATACGACCGGCGATGAGAAAACGACCGACAAGCGGGACAGCGATGCCGTCCAGTCCTTATGGAATGTGAAAAGAGCTGAAGAGGGCTGTCAAAACATCTGCAGCATTGATGAGACGCCAACAGTCGGGACGCCAGTACTGCTCCAAGGCGCTGCCTCAAGGATGTCGGATCATGTTTTGGGCTTTGGCGTGGCTTATGTCTGGATCCCCTTGTTGTTGGCCACGTTCCTAATCTAAAAAGTAGAGCTTCCCGGGTATTTAGGCAGTCAACCAACGTGAAGAGAAAAATCAAAGATCTATGACAGTGAACAAACAATTCACGGGAGAGTGACCTAGCACATTTGAAGAGTCGCATCATAATTCGTCATTTCAAGCGCCTTTACTTGGCCCTCTCTGCAGTGACGCGCGACATGCATTGCGAGGTTTCTCGCTGCTTTTCCTACATACCTAACCCAGTAACAGGCCAAAATGGTGTATCGCGAACGCCGCCATTCCATTTCCCGCATCCTAGCGCGCGAAGTGGCTTTCGTATTATGTGCGTCTCTTGGCGTTGCACCACGTCGTAAATATGCCCCTGCGCCCCCCTGTCGCATGCATTGAAGCCTACAGCTATGGAATAATAAAAACGAGACGACATCAAGCATTTATGCGCGCAGCTCATGAGTAGCCCAATGAGGTCAAGTCCAAGGCTTACAAACTGCTCATCACAGCAAGCTAGCACGGATCGACTCCATGGTATTCGTGCCCAAGGCCAGGAAGCGTCACTCATGTTACACACGCTAATGTACATGTTTTCAGACGTCAATATCCAGCCCTCGCTAGTTTAAGACGTGACAGTTGACTTCGGAGGTTACTATAACTGGCATAACTCTCTTTCTCTCTCTATTTTGAAAGACCTGATTAGATTATTGGGTTGACCTTAATCTCATTGTCAAGCATTCGCCATAGGTAAAGCCTTTCCCGACGAGCCTGGGGATATGAAGGAGAATCAAATTCGTAAATCATACTCTTGCTATCTCAACTGACTGATGCTAGCTTTCTTCATATGAAAATTAGACAATGGCTCTCATAAGACGTTCAGTATTCATCACATATTCCCTGACTAAGTTGTGGACCAGCGGATTAGGTAATAAATATATTACACGTGTTACTTTCCGGCTTGTAATAGTCTATTCTATCGTAAAGTCATCGAAGCTCAGATTAAGTACGGTTCCGCACTTAGGTCAAGCACAGAGAGCAACTGAAGTCTCTAAAATCAGTAGAAGAGTGTCCATCAGTATTATAACTGTGACTAAGAGGCACTATATGAGATTCGCTATTGCACAGGCCTTCCCTTCTCTAAGCTGTTATTACTTAGATTAGGACTACAACCATTTCCAATGGTTCTCGAGATGGCATGTCTATTATTAGTGGCTACACGGGAGCTAGTCTACTTCTATTGTAGCGCAATGTGAAATCTCGATATTAACCAGACAGGCAAGCTCGAGAGTAAGACACACATGAGTTAAGCCGAGAAGCTGGTGAATTTACGGGCTGCACCGTCCTAAATAGTAACACGCGGTCCATTTGTGAAGGAGCTATTTCAGTTCCGTATGATTATCTTCACAATCTCTATTTTTCGAGACTGTCAAATGGCGAGTGATAGGGAAATATTCCATCAAAACGCACGTTACTCGTTGTTTTTTTTTTATCAGAGTATTATCATGAAGATATCCAAGAGGGGAATTTTCGCAAACTACGCGCAATAATCATCGCGGCGAAGGTACGAGCATTGGCAGTATTTGAGTATTATTGAGAGCTCTCGGGCAGAGTGATGTGTCTGTAAACCCGATACAAGAAAGAACAGACATGACCCTGGAAGCTGTTACATTAACCCATAATGTACAACTTAAACCCATATATAAATCAAAGAGTGTCCCGCGTTCGCAGTCATTTAACGTATTGAATTATTCCTCATAGTTCCAACGAGAACGTGTAACTTTGTGCAGGTGTTTGCACTATCCCCGCCTTATCAAGTACAGACAACAGAAAATCCTAGATAATGCATACTGAATATCCAGCTGTCTTGCTGGTTGACTGAGATAGCGAGGAGCTCAGTCATCTGAATTCCGAAGGGTGATACATCTATAGAACCCGATGTGAGTAATTGTCAATCATAATCTAACTAAAGACGTGATTCTCCAGGGGCCCATGAAGATACTTGCCAGGCAAAAAGAACAACAAGAGCGAACTTTGATAAACACTTACGACGCTGGGGCCAACGGGATGAATGTGGGAAGGACCGAGACTGTACGAGCCAAAACTGCCAGGGTGATATTGGTGGACAGCGGCTGGTGTATTTGAGCTGTTATTCCAACCGTCCCAAATGCTGTTCAAATCAAATTCTGCATCGCCTCCGTTCAATGAATCACTTCCCTGTGGCATGCTGGCAGTTGTTATTGCACAGCCCATAGGCACACCTTCATCTGGGCCTGGTTGAATCATAGGTATTAATGGTATCGGCGGTGGCGCTGAAGCGACTAAAACCGCATCTCCATTGAATGCTGATGTCGAATTAGTAGACTTTGTTTCACCCTGTTCCAGGCGGAAGAAGTGGTGCATCGGGTCAAAATTCCGATTCTGCGACAGTGTTGGTAATATTGGAATTTTTCGACCAGGTAGGTAGAGCCGTTTATTATCCGAGGTCCGCTGTTCATTTGCCTTGTTGAAACTCTCGACAATATATAACACTCGGTCAGCTTGCTTGTCGTTTAGGGCGCAGAACCTCAATATCGACATTGCGCTGCCGATAGATGTCCGGGCGTCTGGATTATTAAACAGTGACGCAAACTCATTGCTGAGAACAATCAATGCTGCTGCGAATACACAGTGTCTACTTTCTGTTAACTATAGCAGTGACAGTATTGTAGGAACACATACATGACGAAGGGGTTGCATTGGGGCAGATACTTATTGTCTAGCACGGTCTGTGCAAGGACTAGAGTATGCTGAGATGCCTCCACGCAGGTCTGAGCGAAGGCTTCCATTTTGTGACTAGGTCGCGATGGTTTAAAATTCTGACCTTGTAAACCTACGGCCGCTTTGTTGAGCAAGCAAAGGAAAAATGGCCTTGTTAATAGCATAACGGAATGGCAGTGAAGAAGATTCACATGCAAAATTGCAATGCCATGATTGGAATCGACTCGCTCGTCTACGAGTCTCCTCCAATGCAGAGAACGGGGTAGCTCTGTAATCCAGGTCTCCAGGCGAGCTACGATTTCCTGACCAACTGCTGTTGATATTTTCCTCTTTGAATAGACACGCTTGAGAGTCATCCCTATAACTTGGCAACTCTTTACAGTAGCATCGAGAGCTTCAAAGTGCGTCGCGTCAGTGCATATGCCCATGGGAGATGGAGTAAAGTCATCTGGGGTTCCAAAGGCACTACAATCTTCTTCCGATATGGCAGTGGGCCGACCCAGACATGCTGAAAGGAAACGATCAAGAATAAATAATGTTCGCCACAAATTTCTGCGCACTAAGCGATCTTCCTGCTGGAATACCTCCATGCTCTCTTCTCTATGGAGCCCTAAGGCAAAAGCAGAGCGTACTGCCATCCCTAGTTCGTAGTGTTAGATCAAGCCTAACAGCAATTAATCGAGAGGGTAGCAGATAGTAAATGATAGAATTTAACTTAGCAATGGAAATCTTCACCAAAATAAGCATAGGAAGCGTTTCGTTTAGAAACAGCTAACATGTAAAGAGACATCAGTAGAAGAGCCTGGATAGACCAGAAGTCTGCGTCTTCGAAACCAGATACTGGATCAGCAAGGCTTTTGGCGCTGCGAAAGAACAACTCAGCACGGCTAGCACTCTCGTCACGAAGCTTGTCGATCACCGCAGCCTCATCACTCCCAGGGTAAGGGGCGGCCATCACCAATCCAATGGCAAATACCAGATATAACAGGCACAAGAGGGATGGCGTGACTCCAAGCGGATCGTTATAGCATTCATCTACTGATTTTAAGAATATATTCTTGTTGAACACTTCGATGAACCCTGCGGTCTGTAACTATGAGTACTGTATCCCTCAAGTGATGGATCAAAACGCACATTTGTGAAGAAAGAATTTATTAGTATATTCGCAGTTCGTTGGTCAGGTAAGATTCCAGTTGGCCTAAGGTCTTGGGGTAGCGAAATCGCATTCTCCATAATCATATGTCGGCGAGGATCTACGGTGAAGTCAGAGGGGCCAGATATATTTTCAACAATCATCCGGATCCACTGCAGGTATGATAGAGTGGCAGAGTCGCCGATATATACTGTAAATCAAATAAATTAGCCCTTATGTGACGATTTGGTCGTTTATAGAAATAAGCAAATCTTATAATTATAATTACTGCTCGATATAGACTGCCGACGCTTAAAGCGCGATAAAGTTTTAGGTAGTAATTATAAAACGCGAACGCATACATGTTACAATCTTATACAGAAAAGAGGAGGATGATTCACTTACAAAGTCTTCCGGTGGAATCCTGAAGCATTCGGTTTTGAGGGTGGTAAACCTCGGCTTCATCAGCAGCTCCACTGGCATTGCTAAGCTTCGAACGCCGATCGAAATCCCCATCAACCCCCCCTAAAGCTTGACAACCTATTCCAACGAGTTTGTGTTCAGGTTTAAGTATCGTGGTCTCACTAAGACTAGTGCCTCCGGATTCAGTAGCTTGACTCCATGACATTAAAGATGAGTTCCTCCTGGTAATGCCCTGAGAAGCCTCGACAGGGGATTGTAGCATGGTTGGCGAACTGTCGATATTCCGGCGCTTGGTAGGCGGTCCGAAAGTATCTTGTGATCCGGAGTGATCTAAGGTGCTAGTGGTATACTGGCAATCAAGATGTCGCTTTGTACATGTGTTACATGGCTTCTCGCCGTTGCACTATCAAGGTTTAGTTATCAAGTTGAACCTTAACAGATAGTGTGACATGATCACACATTCTTGATGGCTACCGTTTGATGATATCATGATGGTCGCACTAACAAGCCATCGTCAGAGAATAGACTATCGAGAGGCCATAACTGCCCGGATAGTCCTGAGAAGATCCGAGCCGCCCGTGTTAAGCGAATTTGTACGTAATTCACAACTCAATCTAATGTACCACAGGTTCGGTCTGCATAGTTTAGGGGGCCGGAACGACATAAGTTTGGAGTACATGACGCCAAGGACAAGGTGAGAGACCACGCTTACCTTTTGTTTCCTACGCTTACAGGAGTCGCAGGCTTGAGCGGTGCGTTGCCTTTTGTCTGGGTCAACCTTAGGCCGTGTCATGCTGATTGAGAGACCGAATCGTAACCGCCATCCGACCAGGAGTTACAGAGTGGCGTGGCCCAAGCCAGACAGTGCCAACGACTGAGAAATCGGTGCGGCGCCGAGTCCACGGGCTTACTGAGTGATCGGTCTTGGATGTGGACAATAAGACCCTTTCAGCCCTATCGGGATGTAAAGACTCGAGAGATCGCACGAGAATGTCTACTTGTCTGCAACGATGACCGGCAAATACAGTTATCGGCCTGCATACGGCATCGGTAGTGTGGCCTTCAAAAAGGCAAGGAATGATAGCTCCGGGAGAAATATGAAGAAGAATATTTTTGGGTCTGAAATGGAACAGAGCTTCCAAGCACTGGGGACACTAAAGATCTAACAGCTCTCCTCCGCCCAGCTCATTCCTAAAAGACATGAGATGGAAAGGAGGCTAGGGTCAATAACGCGCGTCGGAAAGGAAAAGTAGTAAAGAAGAGGAGGGTACACTGCTGGGTCAAGCCAAGATCAAGAGACTGAGAGAAGGGTAACGCATAGGAAATAGGTATTTGGGGAGACCAAGGGGACCCCGGTCTCGACCGCGTCTGTCTGTCCATCATGGCTGATGTGACGAGGTATATTCATTATAAGAGAGATAGCACAGAACTAATCCGTTTAGAACAACCATGATTGGGTAGTGCCGTCGTGGACGTGGATCAATCAACTGAGACTCCCGGCCTGAGCGGGATGGCGGGATTGTGGCGCTGGCACGCATCAAGCGAAAAGAAAGACGAAGAGGCAAGAGGCACGTTGGGTAGACATCTACTCAATACTCGACCAGATATTCCGTTGCCTACGTGTATTGACGAGTACACGCATTCAAATTTTCAACCTGATTCAGGTAGACAAGCCATGGATAGTAAGAGCGCGTACAAGAAGCATAGCACATCATACAGCACGACACACCACATCGCAGCCAAATACAACCTGGCCTAGCACAGGGCCTGACGCAAGAAGACTGGCTCGCTTAATGAAGCAGGACCGGAATGATAAGAAACAATCAGAATGTGCTGTTGGGGCGGTAAAGTAACGTATGCTGTAGGGCTCAGGTAACCTAGCTTGGAGGTTGAAGACCGGAGGCGCATACTGACGTCTGTACTGTCATGCAATTATTGATTACCTACCAGTCAAGCGCACGGTTCCTTGTCAAGTCGCCATTGTGAAGTCGAACCGACACCCACATGGAATTATTGAAACCCATCGACGTATTCTCTGCACAGCTAACCTACGGAATTTCCGTGGAGTGTACCGCAGCGCCGGTACAGGATGGAGCTAGGACCGTATGCCGAGCCATGTAGGCCAGCACCTAAGGCAGCAAAAAGATGATTGCTCATATTGCCTAGTAGCCTAGTCATGGGTAGCACTGTGACAAGCAGATGACCTAGATGTGGGAGTACCTACATAACCCGGCGACTCGGTGCCCTTGGTGTGTGTTTACATACCTACGCAAAATGTTCGTGATCAAAAACCACGAAGGAGGGAACACATGACTGTCCGATTGGTCAGCGAATCTCACCGGTTGAGAGTCAAGTCTTCTTGATCAGTCAGTCAATCAGTCAGTCCAACTGTGGTGATGATCGATCAACATACGCATATGCAAGAGGAAATAGTATCGAGTACCTACCCAATGTGTACCTTGCTTAGCAGCAGAGTGGAGGAGGAAGATCGAAAGGACACGGGGATGTGGCGATGTAGGGCATACATGAGTACTCACATGTACCAAGATTTCACTTCGTAAGATGTTCTTTTGTCGCCTCTTCTTCTTCTCACCACCTACGCCTCCTCTCCATTTTGCACTGTCTATCTACCAATCGCTGCTGTAAGGCTCGACGTGTAATAAAATGCTGTATCCTACCGCCTGCCCGCTTGAGAACCAAGTACTCGGATACCTTATTGAATCCGTGTTAGCCGTTCTTCGAGCTTACTATCCAAGATATCCAAGATGATGGATTGCCTAAGATTAGATGCCGTGGTGACCAAACATCTGAAGAGCTGGTACGCAGGGAATAACCGACTACTTCTTCCCAAACTATTCATGCGCAACACCTTGTTGCGGCTCGCTTCACCTCTCCCTATTTTCCATATCATCCTATTCCTATAGATGGTATTAGTATCATAATTGACTCTTGCGAGGACTCAGTCAATATGATCTGAAAAGCGGTCTAATCACACCTGGCATGCTCCATAGGTAATTGCTGAGATTCAAATTCATAACCCTGGATCTCTCTACAAACCTGTAATCGGCAGCCTGACAACAAATAGGAGGTAGCTACAATCTCAGAAGGATGATTCAGGTAATCTACTTGCATTCCATCTCCGGATGTTTTCTAACAATCTTTCTTCCTAGGCTAGCGGTCTAGATGCACCAACGGATCCTACAGACGGGCGACTTTTACTTAGTCACCTGCCGTACCACGTCACACTTATTTACGCATATGTGAGCTCTTCCCAAGATCAATTATACCTCTAGGATTTGGTTTCCCTTCCGGATAGCGCACCCGGATAATGTCATCTCTAAGTTGAAATACTCGCATAGTTTCAAGGGCTGAATATCGTGAACCATGTCAGACTTCGCTGCCATAGGTATGGTGCGTCGGAACTGGGAGATGATACATCATCTTCGGGCTCTATTAATGATCCATAAATATCCTTGGATTTATTCGATAGAAGAAGGCTTTTTTTTTTGTCTTTAACTTGTGCACGTGTTACACTCTAGTGCTGCCTCGCTTCTGTAGTTTAGTTCGTGACCAACAATAATAAGTCTTAAGTGGTAGCTTCAGGAGTCATTTTCTCGGTAATCTATCGCCAATCTGTCTTTACATCTCCTCCAGATGATATCAGAATTCTATAACCTACTTCGTAGACCTAGCAGAGAGCGAGGTGTTTGGTTCCATGGCCGTCGTGTGGAGTGACAGGACTGCAATCCATTCACTCGGAATTAAGTACACTTGCCTGTATCAAATACACGTCTATCACGACTAGTGAACTTCACGCTAGTAGTCGTAGGGTACATACTCTATTCCTCTTTTGACCATGCCATTATTCGCCATTTGATATGGAGTATAGGTCATGACCATTTCCACCGGCTAGCACCTTGTTCCGCATTGCCGGCTGCAGTACACATACTGACATACCAATGATACGAGGCTCTTAGTAATCTTTCCTCTGGTTCACTAACTAGGAGTGCGTGACATACCTCCATATTGGCCTATCGGTTGTCATTCGGCTTCCTTCAAGTGCAGAGTCTCGGCATCGCGACATTTGTCTAAAATGCCTTCAGAGCTAGGTACCGAAAAGGCATACTGCCTAACAACTAACTCGGATGTAGCTCCTCTCTTGTGTATCCGAAAAGGACAGCGACCACTTCCGAAACGTCGAGATCTTAGTAACTACGTACGCATTAAAATTTGCTTATTACCGTGCATCCGGATCGGTGCTAACTATCAAGGTATTGATAGATTACGTGGTGTTGCTCAATAGTTGAGCTTTAAGGCCGCCAAGTCGCTCGTTTAGACGTCTTGTCTTTGGCATCATCAGCACATATTTTTATAAGGAATAGCCTTACATAATTCAACATGACTATCGACAAAGGTTCTTGTGCTCTCGCTCTGGAGCCCAGGGATGCTTCCTATTCAGTAAGCATCAATACCCGCCGTGCTCTCGAAATCCTTCTCGAGGTATCTCTGTCTGAGATACCATTTGAGTTTTCTCAGTACGTTGCAGATGTAGTATTCGAAAGTACATCTGGTACTGGGGATAGTGTTTGTTTGCCATGTCCACTACGCCAACAAGAAGCTTGTGCAGCGCTTAAAGGACTGGAGGGTTGCGCGGTAGCTGCTATCTCTAACCTTCAACGCAAGGAACACCCGAGGAAAATCGCGGTGAATCTCGAACGAGTAGCCTGTTTCCTCATGTCTGCCTATATTACAACTCTCGACGGTCTCGACAAGTCTAATTCGAAGATCAGTCACAGGCTGCCAGGTTCGTTGGAATTGACCACCCCTTACAAAACACCTTCTAAATATATTGAACTGTTAGATACCGACCTTCACGGTGCTCAGTCGATCCTTTACCGTCGTCTATCTGCCGGACTTTATGAAACTCGCAACCCGGGCGCATTCTACCATATACATGGGTCACTAGATGCGACCACGACGCTTAGTATGATAGATTTGCCAGCATTCTGTCCTGGGCTGACCAACTATGATCAATGCATTAAGACCATCGAAAATGCCGTTAAGCGGTTTTCTACCTCGGAGCTAGAGTCACGAAATCAGCGTCTTCGACAAGCCGGAACTGCTGTGCTTACTCGAGAACAATACCGTGAGACTCCTCATGGCCGCGTTATGAGTTCGCTCCCCCCTTTTACAGTGCAACCTCTTGAGCTCTCCACGCCGCCGATACCGTTTTCAGAGTGTGGAGAGAGCACAGACCAATACCAGTGTCTCAGTGGTATACGTGTAATCGAATTATGTCGTGTTATCGCTGGTCCGACGATTGGTAGGTCGCTTGCGGCACACGGCGCTTCAGTGCTTAAAGTCACATCGCCTCAACTCCCAGATGTTCCCTTTTTCCAGCTTGATGTCAATGCCGGAAAGCATACAACATCGCTTCACCTGAAATATCCGGCCGACCGTGCCGTTTTCGATACGCTTCTCGCCACTGCCGATGTGATTCTCGACGGCTACCGTCCTAGCGTCATCACACGATTGGGATACTCCCCGGAAGCCCTCGCGGCCAAGGCAGGCCAGAGAGGCCGTGGGATTATCTACGTGACAGAAGACTGCTTCGGAGGGTCGGGTGTTCCCGGTGCAGAATGGGCTCACCGGGCAGGCTGGCAGCAGATTGCGGACTGTGTAACGGGTGTGGCTTGGGAGCAAGGCAATTTCATGGGACTGGGCGAGCCTGTGGTGCCCCCATTCCCTATGTCCGACTATGGGACGGGGAGTCTGGGCACAATCGTGGCTCTGGCTGGTCTTTATCGACGGGCTACGCAAGGCGGCTCTTGGATCTGCAAGACTAGCCTTTCGCAATACAACTTGTTTCTTCTCTCGCTCGGCTCGTATCCTGAACACGTTCAAGATGAACTACGGCGTCAACATGACACTCAGTTTTTTGCTCTGCGTCATAACGATTCAGTGGATGAGGTTGGGAAGCGTGCGCTTTGTAGCATCCGCAGGCTGCATCCGAGGCTCTTTACCGACAGCATGATGCAGAGTGTATACAGCCCGGGGTTTGGCGGAACAGTTAGGCGGCCAAAAGAAGCACTGGAGGTTCAAGGCTTGAAAATTGGCCACGTACGCCCCACGCGGCCCAACGGCTTTGATCCCCCAACGTGGGAAGGTTGGGAAGAAGACAAGGCATTGTTGAATGACTAGGTAGGTAGTTAGGCTCCTTCTTCATCGGCTACCCGAAATAAGACTTAGTCCGACAACATACAAGTTATATAGAGTAGCACTTTGGGGAGTCATTTGACTCTCTAAAGTGCTCCTCGCTTGTTTCACAGCATATGTTGACATGGTGTATTGTATCCCGTAGTCTTTCACTGCTCTTAAGTACCGGTAGCCCAAGTTCATCCGCTGATCCAAATTCGCCCGGAATGGTGAAACAACCCTGCAAGTATTGTCGTCATGCGCATCCATCTCGGCTCCCGGCCGTAGCGTTGGGGGTATATTGGGTTTATGAACAAGTGGCTACCGCAAGGTTGTGGCAGCACGAGACGCCGCACAGCATACGAGGCGTTGCTAATAGGGAAAAGACTGGCTCAGCGGCTCGTATCAGGAGGAGAGGACGCTCGCAAAACGAGTAGATATCATGATAACCCAGAGTCTGAATTTATTTATAATTGTCAATACATATGCTTCATGCAGCATCAGCCAACCGCGTTTAGATGTGGAAGCGCAATATCCTAGTCAGTTATAAGCCACCTAGGATAAGTCAAGCACTCAAATACTCCAGTTTCGAGCATACTCAGTCTTTGTTGGTAGGAGCCTTATATGATTAACACTTTTGTTTGATGTACACAATTCCAGGATATCCGTGTTGCATACCAAAAACCACACGACTTTCCTCACGAAAAACTATGTACGGGACAACAGTATGATTAGATACTAGATGCTACATATCAATAGTAGACAACTTGTATGCTTCAACGTAGCTGGCCTCACATTCTCGTGTAGCGGGGTGTCACGAACTTTCCCCGGCCGCCCACATCTCGACACAGTCACACTACAGTCCGCCACAGTGTTGACTGTTTTCATCGTGACAGGTACCTAAGACATACCTAGATAGTTCAAGCCTAACTCTATAGTGTCCTTGGTACAGATATCTTTTAAGGGGCTGCAGGTATCACCGGCTGGACTTTGACTCACCAACTGTTGAGATACCGAGTAGGTGGGATTATGTAGTGCACCGAGAACTTGCAGAAGGACTTACAGTAAATTAAGTCCGATTCTTGGCCGGTTTACTTGTCCCAGAGAAGTTGCAAGATTATAAATTATAAATATTTCCCAAGCTCCCTCGCGTACTACTAGATTTGGTGTGAACGGGGGCGAGGTACATATTTTTTGCTTTCTGCAAGCTGATCAGGCACTGGGGAAAAGTTTTATACATAGTGAATGGGAGAGGACATTACTGTAACCTTGACACGAATGTCTCGATCCCTGAAGCCAGAGTAATACGTTAATGGCCACGCAACCAGAAAGAAAAGCACTTTTATTAGTTAAAAGGCAAATCATCTAACTCTCATCAAAGCGATTCTACAACCCAAGCTTTCCCGCAACACTATTGCCATGTATTCAGTACCTCCCATTAGGACTGCTAGGAAAATGAAGGTTCAATCAGAACCGTGACAGTCTCAATTTTTACTTCGTATACTAGGTAGGTGCTTATAGTACCTACGCATGCATATTCATGGCTTAAGCAAGTACTGTAGCCACCCGCATCCTTGCGGATGCCGACATCCACCCATTCATCTACAACCTCACTCGACAACATACGGTAATTATGTGCCTAAACTGACAAGCGACCTACGCTGCCCCCTTAGTAAGATGATAAAGCGCAAGAAATATACTCTGAGGTGAAGACATCTACTGGAATCCGTTTAACTACTTGTCTGCTTCCAGTGCGAGCAACTAGGTATATCATATGCCTATGTCGACATGTATCGTTTCATGCGTCCAGTTCAAATTGGAGCGTATGTAGATAATCTCAGTCAATCTTTCCCACCCTCATCAACCTATAAACGCCACAATTCCCGGCATTTCCGTCATGAACTCCAAAGGAATACTACCAATATTTGATGCAGCCGCGCCATTTCACCTCTATGCCCTCCCAGCAGAGGTCAGATTACAGATTCTAGAGCACACGGACCTTATTACGCTGACGCGCGAGGTCCGCTGGGATCCGGTGACGGGGTACGATGAGCCGCCCTCGAGACGGGCTCGGTCCGGTCCGGGCGCCTGGCGGACTCCGAGGGCCCTATTCCTCGTGAGCAAGGGCTTTCTACGCCAATGCACGCGAGATTTTCTTCAAGAATGACCGCATTATGGTTTGGCATCACACTGGGATTGTAGGCGACAGTGACGCTAAGCCTTTTAGATAATTACGCAGCCACATTGTACTTCACGAATATGTTGACAGCAGACTCGTTCCGACATGTACACTATCTTGAATTGCTCATGTTCCCCAGCATTCACCCGTCTATGACGGTGGGGATGAAGATGGAGGCTGCGGGGAGGGTTAAGATCACGCGAGAGAATTAGCTCCGGGTGCTGAGGCACATATGTAGTAGCGACAACGCGGCGAGAGATAACCTACGTGTTCTTCGTGTTTCTGGTCTTTATGACGGTAAGACTCGAAAAGGTTTATCTCGATGGCTGGGGATTATGTAATATGGCCCCTAAATATATGATATAATATGCAGAGAGAAGTGTGGTCATGAGTAGTCATTGTACTTTTCGTGATTTGTTTCCCCTTTCTCTTAAATGGGCCATAAAAAAGAGATTTACTAGCAGCGCCTATCATCAAAGAAAAGGTGTATATGATTGAAGTTGCTATCGGCCAAATATGCCAATCGCCATCCGTCGTTTCTACCAAAGCTATGCATATCTTTATATTTCATGACTACTCACAAAGAAGCATGGTCCAGTCCGAGCGTATCTGAGATACCATCAAAATCCAGAGGTGTCGACACTGTTGAGTCTATAATTGTGTTCGCGTATAGGCATTACAAAGTTTATAGGTACAATATTCCGCATTTATTGCCGATTTATAGGACCAAATTACCCGGCTTAGATTCCAGCACAGTTTTCATCCTTTGTAGGAATACCTTGGCTCGCTTCTCTTCGTCCTTAGGTACCGTAAGGCTGAAGAAGTTGGTGCCAGTCGACATACCTGGCTGGGTTGGGGTCTTTCTCTTTTTAGGCGTTGACGTTTTGGTGGAGCTCGCCAGGAAATCGATGATGTCCAGCTTAACATGTGGCTTTGGAGCAACACCGGTCAGGTTTGAAGGAGGAAGAGCCGCAATTTGGGGCAGATATCGGCCACGTGATGCCTTGGGGCCGACATTATCGAGACCTAGGACTTGGTTGAAAAGCTCATCCGCAGTAGGCTTGTAGTTAGATGGTAACGGCAGTGCGTCGTTAGCGACTTGGGCGGCCCGCTCAAGGAAGGTAGACAGTGGGATAAAAGTGCCTAGTGTTTGTTCCATCTTCGCCTGGACTTCGATGACTGCTGCTAACGATACGGGCAATGAAACCAGTTGTTTCTCTGGAACTGGAGCCTCCTTAACTGAGGCTTTATCCGCCTTCTTCACAGTCTCCTTCGGGGCAGCGATCTTGATGTTGGAGAGATCAAGATGAGCATTGTGGTTGAAGCGCTTCATAATCTCCTCAGGCCTGCCAGCAGACACAGTTCCCAGGTAGGCCAAAACATCACCTTTAAGAAGTCGTCCAGCGGGTCCTGTGGGCGTCATCTCGCTGATAGCAGACTCATCTAGGCCATTTTCCTTGATAAGATGGGCTACTGATGGATAGAGAGGATATTTCTGAGGTGGTGCCTTTTCTCCTGACTTTCTCGGCTGCTTCTGTGCTCCGGTGCCCTCGGAGCTGGCGGACTGTTTGGGCTCATCCTTCTCGGCCGGCGTACCCTGTTTGGCGGACTGAGAAGGCTTCTTCTCATCGGTTGGAATCTCTAGTTGGCTGATATCGTCACCGGGCTCTGCGATGACTCCTATCCTAGTACCAACTTGGATGCTCTTGCTACCGTCGCCTTGCATGATCTTCATGAGAATGCCGTCATCCTGGGCCTCGACATCCATTGAGGCTTTGTCGGTCTCAATCTCGAGCAGAACATCACCGGCCGAGAACGAGTCGCCCTCTTTAACTTTCCAAGTAGCAATGTTCCCTTCGGTCATGGTCGGCGACAAGGCAGGCATGGTGAAATTTTGGGCGGCGAGTGAGGCGGTAGATGTGCGAAAGCCTAGATAGAGGTAATAACGCGTAAGCGGTAATCCAGCAGCACCAGCGACGAAGAAGACGAGAGTTGGGTTGTTCATGTATGCATAATAGAACAGGTAGGGAGTGCGAACCTCGAGAAGCAGCATCTTGGGCGACCCGTCGACCGACCAGCCTGGCCGAGAGGCGTGTTGCTGTCGCGAAGGATGCCATATCGGCGGTGGAAAGGGAACTGAAGCTCAATTGAACTTTTTTCACCCCGTCTACGTCGCTTTGGATGGAGTTGAGGATTACTATGAGATTAATATTTACTACTGAGGTAGTACTTGCCGGGTACCTAGGTACCTACATAGTACGGAACTGGAGTGTAGGCGCTTGCACTATTTTGGAAGCCGACGCTTATCTCCGGTTCCAGTTTGTTGGGGACTTTCCGTAGCGACAGCCCGTACCTAACAACAGCAAAGACCTCGGAGCCCAATCGGAGCGCAGGTACCTCCATAGGCACAGTACCTATGTACCTACATAAGTACATATGTGGTTCTTAGGCATGTACATACATAGGTACATGCAGTGCATGAGCTGTACCCAGGTACTTGCCGGGTAGGCCCTGTCGCAGAGTGTGGCCCCACTCAAGCTAAAGGTAGGAACCACGATCTGCTTCAGTCCTGTCGAGAAAAATCGTCGAGCGCAACATCTGAGAACTTACTGCTTGCAGAGCAGGGCTCTTCGAAGCCCCAAGTCCGCTCTTCCTTGCCGGCTGTCGTAGCTCCTTACAACCTCTGTACGCGTGCAGTCTCGCAGGAACTAATGGCGTCCTTAGTGCCTCAATGCCGGGGTTTCACGCACCCGCTCGTACTTCTTGTGCGAAGCACCCTAAGGCCAGGAAGGTCGCTGGAGCCTTCAGCCCGAATAACGACATGTTCGCCGTCTCTCTTCCTCACAGGCCCATCCCGGAGCCAGAGATGCCTCTCGTTATCTCGTGTCCTTTTCAAGGCAGCTAACACAGCCGACACGAAGAAGAAAACGCCTCCCACAACAAACAAGCCACCCGCTGCCGACTCGCTCGCTAGTAGAATGAAACGTATCCCCCCATTGAGCTACGCCCAGCAGCTTGCCTTGAGGGCCACCCCAACAATATTATACGAAACTGCGCCACAGACCGGATTCCTATTCTCGAGCTATGGGGCAGCGTTTTTCTGTATGGGCTCCGCTGCGATTAATAGTTGGCTCAATGTCTTCAACCTACCTCCCGGCATCTCGCCCTGGGTCTCGACTGGATTCGGCGTCATCAGCTTCCTCTTTGCCACTTTAGGCACAATATTTGCCTTGCGGCCCAGCTATATGATCCACTCGATCAAGCTTCTTCCCTTTTCATCTTCGCAGCGGCAAGGAGTAGGGCCACTTCCCTCAGGAGTGACGCTTGAGGTTGCCGCTAGGCACCCTGCGCCTTTCCCGTTGCCACTCAAGCGCTTCCAGGTAAAGCCAGAGCAAATCGTTCTAGTAACCAGGCTGCTAAATCGCCCTGTGGTTCTTTCCGAGCAGCAGAGGATTGCAAAGCAACAGGAGGATACTAGGCGCAGGAAAGAAGCACGCGAATATGAGCTGAATCATCTGATGACAGCCCCTTTCCGTGATGCGGGTAGAGCTTCTTCAACCCTTTTTGGTAACATACGTCGGGGTTTGACTGGCGAAGGGTTTTCACCAATATTTATCAATGGGGTGCAGTACAAGCTAGATTCCAATGGAAGTTATGCCCATGAGGGCGGTCTCGCCCTCGACCGGCTCGTGAAGATTGAGCCCGATCCAGAACTGGCCCGTTCACGGTCGAAAATAGAATGATGAAATTGTGTTATCTATCAGCACACCATCGAAAATCCGGGTTACACAAGTTCAGCTGTATGATATTTTATACTTCCTAGATACATGAGCCACGACTGCCATGAGGCACGCATAGTTTATGGCCATAAGAGTGTAGATAAATTAACATTACCGTAATATTGACCACCACCGTAGAATAGCTGCCCTCACTTATCACTCCTAGACGCATCAGTGAGAATAACTGTGTAACTAAGCCCGAGAGAGAACTAAGTAAGCGCATGATAGGATGTTGATGTTAGAGGTTGGAAGAACGTATGCTATATGGTATCCCATGTCAGGTTTCCCTTATACTCTATATAAGTAGGTAACGCCGTTCAACACATAAGGGGAACCTCCACCGTCGCCAATTCCAGAACCCTATTCACTAAGTAGTCAGAAATGTATGCCATAAGATCAACCCGCCCGTCTCCAAACACAAAAGTGAAGCTTATATTGGTAATCCAGACTCGCTGAAAACCCTCACACGAATTCAGAGTCCCAAGAAATAATATATAGTTGCATTCACCATTGCTACATTCTTAGAGGTCCATCTTTAATTGGATTGTGTATTCTCTGTTTAGTTTATATATATGTATGTGTCTGTGTGTAATGACTGGCTAGTTTAGAGTATCATAAGTCAGGAACCGGCGTGACCTTCTTCACGATCCTCGCGGGCGTCCCAATAGCGACAGAGAAGTCGGGGATGTCCTTCGTAACAATACTACCAGCACCTATAGTGCAACCCTTTCCGATAGTCACTCCTGGCATAATAGTCGTGTTGCCACCGATCCAGCAATCGTCACCGATGACAACAGGCTTGGCGTACTCGATTTCGTCTCTCCGCGACTGGACCTCCGTCTCGTGCGTAGCCGCGAAAATCGAGACGAAAGGGCCGAACATCACTCGGTTCCCGATGGTCACTAGGCCACAGTCTAGTATCACGAGGCTAACAACAAGTAAGCAGGACTTCACTTCTAGATGGTCCAGTCGACTGGGTAGCTCATAGGAGGTGTCATATATGCCATGCGATAAAGGAAAGGAGAAAGAAAGGCTTCGCAGGCTCACTTGAAATTGGAATAGAAGTTATCCCCGATCTTGATGTTACACCCATAGTCGATGTTAACAGGAGGTTCGATAAACACACTCTTGCCGACACTGCCCATTATACCCTTTAACATCTCTCCTCTGTCCTTTACTAGGGAGTCGGGCGTAGCGTCATCTGGGAAGTGTGTGTTGTATTTGTTCATGAACCGCCTAGCCTTGAATCGGCCAGCAACAAGTTCCGGCGCCTGTGCGTCATAGCTGTGCTTTCTAATTAGTCTGAATCTTTTTACTGAAGACATACATGCCTCACAATGGCCTTGGATAAGAAGCACTTGTATTAATATTTGACAGACTCACAGCATCCCTGATATCATCTTCTCATATTCGTCCCCCCATGGTATGTGGGAGAGGCTCTTAGCCGCCTCGATCTCTGCGGGGTTCTTTTGCGTACTAGCCATTCTTCCTCGATCAGCTTGGGACTTCAAAGGAGCATGAAAAAGAGAGCGCAGCTTATGCCAATATTCAAGCCGAAGAAGGACAAAAGCTCCTTATATGAAAATATTCGGGACTGATATATATATAGTCGTTTTACGTGTCCACATCACGATGTCGGCATGCCCCGAGTCGTTGCCAAAATATCCAGCCCAAATAGGAATCTCCGTATCTGGTTAGTCCAGGCACTTGGGGTGCTATATTCATGGCTAAATCTCGGCGTAATATTCAATACTATCAAGGACAGACCCAACGTCATCTCATCCACATTAGGTTATCTTTCGCCATAACACGGCCACAGACACGAAATATCTTAGATGCGAGCAGGATCTATGCGACCAAATCTAATAGCAAGGGGACTCAGGGGGCGGCAGTGGTCGTTACAGGATGAAGAATCATTCATTTCCAATACAATACTGTACACGTTGCAGCAGAGCAAGTGGATCGATCAGATGCACTTGTAGTGTAGCTTTCCAGGTTTCTCGCCAATTCCGCTAACCTGGGTTTGGCAGCTCCGCCACGAGCGCATCAAGAATTTCCATTACACTGCGCTGCGATGCGGGAGAACTGATAATTAAAATATGCAGGATATTGGTATATCACATAAACACTCGCTTTCTAGGAGCAAGGATCCTGTGGACTTTCTTGGGCAGTGCACTATTTACTTGGTAGACTGAATCCCTAATATCACAACTTGTAGTTATTGTTGTGCACGTTCGAGAGTGCCAATACAGTAAGTAGTATCATGGTATCACAAAGCAGGTTTCGTTTCTTATCGTCGGGTATTATGTGAATTCTAGATCCGGCATGACGTATCTTCATTCTAAATTCGACATCAAATTGTTCATTCGGAAAGAAAGAAAGCGTGTATTGGCTTGACCATTACTAACACTATTGCTAGTGGTGTAATAAGGCTGAGCACTGAAGCAGGAAGATAACTCCTGTAAACCAGAGTTTCACATCTGGCATTAAGCAGGTATTTTGATGTAATTTTATGGTAGGTACGTTGCTAGGCTCTCTAGCGGCAGCGATAGATATCAAGTTGCAGAAGTAAGCGAGAATAACACAACCTCCTACCTAGGTGTATGCTCTTACAGATAGGTCTTGGCGATAGAAGAAGAAATAACAGGGAAAAGAGCCCCCCAAAAGAGGCAGGTTACTAGAATACAGTAGGATGAATTACACACCTTGCGTGAACCAACGTACTAATAATATCCGACGATCTGAGGTCTGGGGTTCCACGAGACAAAGTCCGGAACTTAGCAAACAAGTGTATTGTTGTGCAGTGCAGCTGGTGTTCGCCCGAAGTGAAAACTTGCCCTAGCTTCATGTCCCATAGGTATTTCGGTTTTACTGTCATCTCCACACAACTCGTTGTCAGACATAGTAACACAATTGGATAACGCTCGCGTCGATGCAGTTCTGCCCTCCCTACTTCCATTGTGTGGCGCAAGGCTGTCATTGCGAGACGGAATTGGTCCGTCTAACAGGGCACCGGGTAAAGCGGAACGAGAATTCCCGGTGTACGAAATGTATACAACCCCTCTAGGTGCCGTTCGAGACCGATCCGAGACAACAATATGAGACGCTCATAATCGCCTCATAGGCGAGGCAATGAAAGGAGGCGGTAGCGCTGCATAGGGGCTGTTAATGTTCCGGTGTAGCTGTACTGGACAGTGTTACTTGTTCATATGCACAACAGAGATTATCTGCGTGAGACATTATAAGCAGGCACGAGAAAATGCTGTTGGCTTCTACTTCTATGGGACATAACTGCTGGGGGCGAACAAGGCGAAGGGTGAGTAAGACAAGTCCTCGAGTGATAGATAACGTACGAAGCGCTGCATATGAGACAGACATTGGCGTCACCATGGCTGTTGCTCACGTGCGATGGAACAAATTGTTTCTGCTTGAGATACAGATCCGTTGTGAGAAACTTAATTAATTAGGTACTCTCATTGAAACTCAATGCAACCAGTGTCCTTTGGCATGTCTAGTAGGTCGATTATGGGGTATGGCACTATCCGCAGAGCCGCCGATTCGAGAACCGCAAACCGTGGTACGGATGCAACTAGATTTTTAACTTTCGGATGCCGGATACTGGATGAACAAAATGGGACAGATCGCTGCTCATAAGGGTCTTCACTTACGGCACTTCGGCGCAGTGGTGAGGCATCTGCGGCCCGATTGTACGGGCTGCCTGCCGCTGAATGCTTTAATTAATTTGCTACAACAGCGTCTGTGATCATTTGCCAAGGTTTGTCTCTCATCATCACCTTCGGCAAGCTGCAGCTCATGTGACTGCGGGCGTCGAGCCATGTATTACCATACGTTGCCCGCTTGTCTCACAGAGGGGCGACGTGGAGAGACTCATCCTGAGCTTTGCCCTCCAAGAGAAGTTACGTTATAGACGTTGAACTTGCGACATAAAAGCATGTACCTAACTCGTATATCGTAGTTCGATAAGTAGCCGCCGAGAAAAAAGGTCTCAGTATCATAAGTACATGGGCTGCATGTCTGCTAGACATGTTAATTGCCGCCGAACGATCTTCAAGTACGCCTTGTGATAGGTGGTTCTAGAAGAAGTGGCAACTACACTTGACAGATTCAATGTGCTCTGTTATCACGCGGAAGGTCCGAGACATCCCTTACATGGATGCTGCTCTATACTCTTTCTCTATACTCTCATTATCGATGCAATAACCAACTGCTTTTGTGACCATGGAGAGAGACCAACCATACTGTAGCGGCATGAGTTTAGGTTTATCTGCAGCCGGTAGATCCGAGGCTTTTAGATCCCATTTCCCGAGATTGTGTTCAAAAGCGCTTGACTTTGCGGCTGTCGGCATCGGTCTCTTGCAGATGGTGGTGGCTGAGGCTGCACTCCGCATACGTTCCAGGGAGCGGAGACAATTGGCTGTAGATTGATATCTAGTGCAAGCTGGATTTCCAGATATGGCTGGGATGGATCTGCTCGTGAGCCAGATCAAGCTTAGATCATCTTAACCTTGGCACAGGTCGTCGAATGACAACCCGTAAATTGGACAACCGCTTACCTGTTTTGATTGATTCGCATCTGCCTCCCATCTGCTCTCCCATGCATGTCCATTTTCAGAAATGGCTTATCTGCGGTTGATCAGCTCGATAACCCCGTTAGCTTGCCGAGAGAAGTAAAGCCCGGCCAGACCCTGCTCCAAGTTGGCCTGCTAATGACCAATGGAGATCGTATGCCACCACAAATAGTCTTCCCAGCTATGGAGTTGACGATCTAGATAGTACTTCATACGCAAGCCGCATGCGCTTCTTCTGCAGGCCCTTTCTTGCATCAAGTAATGCTGGATGAACGACAGCATCCTTTGGAGAGTAATGTGCATAGGTAGCTATCTTTCATTCGCGGACGCAATGGCTAGGAGGGCATCGCAAATCTGCAGCCCGTGAGAAAAATCTTCCTGTGAGACAACCTATTGCACTAACTATGCAATATAGGTGTCCGTGTTCCGGGTTCCGAATTTTGGCTGGGTGTATGGCGGTGAGAGCCTTGGGCGACGCTTGTTATTCTTCCATGATACAAAATCCGCCTTCTCGTCTCCAGAACGGTGCCAAGCCGTTGGCCAAGCTTTCATGGATATT